GCGAAACGAGAAGTTCACTCATCAGGACCAGACCTGTCTGGCCTGAGCCGACTCTGTGTCGAGAAAGGATCCAGGCAACTGCCTCGGCGCTAAACCAGGAGAACGACGCAGGAGAAGGGTAGGTAGTTAATGTCTGGGTTGCGTAGACAAGGGTTTAAGCAAGTCTTGGTGGGTAGTCGGCGGACTTGTGGATACCATGCTCGGCGTGCCGCCAATTATCACCCACGTTCTTGTCCGGCATTGATTTGGGTGGTGGAAGGACTCAAAATCTTGTTGACAATGATGGATAGTTGCTGCGAACTGTGGAAGCCACATTCACCTCTGAAATCAGCCTGTACGGACGGTCTTTCAACACTAAAAATCTAGACACTGATTTCGGTCTCTAGGTGCTATAATTCATGAAAAGCCCCTAGCACATTTGGGCACCCACCCCTCTCCTCGCTCCGATTCTGTGTCAAACAACTCAATCTTCACTTGAGAGTGGGGTTCCCACAAGTCGGTGGCGCCAGGGAACTGATAGGGACTTTGCCAAAGAAGGTAGGGCGAGTTCGAATACTACCCAGTGCTCATACTGTCCGTGACTTGGCGAAGACCAGGCAAGCCCTTGGACGCCATCTTCTCTACAAAAACAGGTTGCCCTGCTAGGACACGCTTCGAATCAGTCTTGGCTAGTGCTTCCTTGGACATCTCCTCCTGCCCGATCTCGATCGTCCCTCCACTAAAAGAACTATACCCCTATCCTAGCCAATGTATTGTTCTATCTATTGCGCTCGGCGGAAACGTCTTACACAAAATAGCTTCGTATTTTCCATGTTCCGCATCGTCCCCCTTTCAGAATTAGTAAACGTTGTGGAGGAATCGACAAGAACCACTTACGACTTGCTTGAGTGTAAAACTTCCAGACATATCTGGAACAGGATGGATCGATGGAATCGAAATGCAGGTAGATGTGCGTGAACTTTTGCCGATTTGCGCCCCGACACGATTTTCGCTTTCCCTGATAAGGATTCCCCCGCGCCCGACCCCTCCGGCTTTTTCAATAGAGCGGCGGTGGCAGCGGGGTACATCATCGCTTCGAGAAAATCGTCGGGTTGTCATGTGACACTGATGGTCAAAGGTGTTGCAGGAGCATAAGACTGTTCAGGGAGTTTGAGAATTAAAGTGTAGTGGTCCGAAGTTTGTGATGTTCTTTGGCTGTGTTCTTCAAGTTCTATAAATTAGCAATGCCGACCAGGCTACATACACACTGTGTGGTTAGTTTATGACGTGTCTAGGTACAAAGTACCTAGGTATGTACCTTGATGCCGCTCCCTGCAGCGCCCCTTGCATTCTGGGAAGCGTGAGAATCTCCAGCTGCATTGCAGGACAAGGCGACCAACTGCTTTGAACAATTGTCTCGAGGGCCTCGTGCTACAGCAATCACCGAAACGTGTCGCTCAAGGTGACGTTGACGTCATCGAGGTCGGCCTTGCTAATCAGCCCTCCCGAGTAGATAATCGAGTAGTCGGCGCTCCCTCGTTCGTAAAGAAGAGGATATCCGGCCTACACACAACTAGTTATCTGTAAATTAGATCCTTTCAGCTCACTCTTTTACCCGTGACTGGTGATCTTAGCACCCTAACGAGGCCGACCGTAGCATAGCAAGTCCAAACCGCAGAGAGTACTGTAACGGTTTCTCTTTTTAAGATACGGTATCTCTCCTTGAAGTCAAAACGGGCAATCATTATTACAGAAAGATCGCCTATCAGGATATCGTACTAGAGTCATGGACTTGGTCCGCTTTTCGTTTGAAACAAAATGGCAGTACTTCAGGACAAGAAACTATCCTCGTGCATTCAAGTTGTGCTTTTCGGAACGTAAAGGGCTAGCAAGTGATATATGTTGTATCCAGCACCCATCGAGTGTCTCAGACACACTAAACGGCTGGATTGTTCCTCGTGGTGGGCCGTGAGGGGTGACTAACCAGCAAAATCTCGTCTAGAATCGTCCTTGAGGTCCAGAAAAGGTCAGGCCCGGATGCTGATACTGGTATGCCCAGAGCATCTAGTCGTTGCCCGAGAGAATAGGCCCATCAATGTTACTAAATATAGGGGGAAACAAACCAGGAAAAGCAATGGGAACGACTAAACCGAAAGACACCGCCCCACAGATCCCGGGAGGAGGTAAAGCAACGTCCTCCGGCCGACCAATTGATCACCCCTTAAGCTTCTTGAGTTGTAAATAAAATGGGGGTAAGGCCTCTTGAGGTGTCGTGATCATTACCTTTTTCGTGTGGCCAGATGGCTGGTTCAAGAAGGTAGTTTGTTCTTTTCTATTAATTACCACTTTCCTGACTCCCCTAATACAACATCCCTATCGGACTTAAGTCTTGAGCCCGAGATAAGCACTTTACTATGAGGGTGTTCGAGCCTGAAACACCCATCAAGTAATCAACGAATAGGGCTTGGTCGAGCTAGTTGGAGGGGTCATTTTATTAATAGGCATGGTAGCCTGTGAGATCGTGAAGCTAACGACGCCGGGTCTTCCAAGCGGTTCTGGGAGTATTAGATAAAATACAATATCACTATCCTGCTTTATACAGGTGTTAGTGAGGGTGGGACCCGACATCCAGATGATATCGCAGATCCATTTATTAATACCCTGGAGACCCCAAGGCGAGGCGTACGGCGACCTTGAAGGCGACGCCAGCAGCAGCCTCATAATTAGAGTAATTAGTACTAAAAAAGGTATTCTATCCCCCCCAACCAGTCAACGCTACGGCCGTTTGGGACACGGCCGGTTTGTTCAGAGGGTCAGTGGAGCTGCGATCTTTCCTGCCATATTTCCGCCTGTTTGAAAGTCTCTACTCGACCGCCGACGGTTACAGTGATGGGGACAACAAAGTCGATAGAGACATTCATGAAGGGCATTGGATCGGGTTGGTCACCACCTCATTTGGGGACTTGGAAGATAATGGGGAAACGTCGAGGATGACAGAGAAGGGGAGTGAGTAGGCCTGGACGCGCTTTAAGGGTGAAGGAACGGAAAGTTAGGGACGAGGTGAGAGCTCACAAATGTTAATTGGTTGATACAAATAGTTAGGTGAAGTCATTTCTCGTGTAACGGATTCAGTTGCATCGTTGAGAAATTTTGCTGCCGCAAGGGGCGATTGTCTTTTGTCACCCTATGTCTAATATCTATGACAAGTGCTGTTCGAGTATCTAGCAGTCCAATGGTTTGTCGTGTTTCGATGCCTATTTCAGTGCCCACATCTGTGCCCCCATAACCTCCCTTGACGGGGCCTATTATCGTTCGAGGTTGAAGAGCTTCAAGGCTCTCTTAGTTGCTCCCCGGCTGAAGGTGCGCTCAGTGGCTCAAAGACGTATTTCCCAATGATTCCGTGGCATAACGTCTCTAGTCTGGGTGGGCAGTGTGCTACATCGTTATGGTCTTGGTCGAAGTGAATGTAATTACGAGTTGGAAAAGTGAAGTAATAAACTACAAGTGGTATCTAAGGAATGCAGCAGAGGAAACCACTACGATCCGAAGACCAGACAAGGAAAGCAGAACGCTCGGCCGACCGCTAAACCATCTGTTCTTGCTCCCCGGGATGCCTTGAGTCGCTTCTGGATATATTTACCCGTAACTCAGATGCCGAGTTTCTCTTATGCTATAACTACCCCGGCACCTCCCTGTCACCTTCATCGTCAACAGAAGCTTGGTCGTTGTCGGGTTCGATGACATGAAGGTTGTTGCGCCGAGGATAAAACAAAAGCACTACCAAGACCGATCACTTACCACACAACTAGCTTAGGGTGGGCCTAATTAGCATTCCATCTTATCATTGATCGTTCCTTCATGAAAGTACACTTTAATTTAAAACAATCTGACGGGCATCTCAACTTAGAGCCTAGGAGGATAGTCTGACCACATTCTGATTCCTTCCCGGGACGGGCCCATCATCATTATGAATTACCTCCAGGTACCTTATTCCCGTGAGACTGATAGAGAATGCTAGGTACAACCTCCCAAACACCAAGACAAGCCGGTTTCATGGAATCCAGATTCTGTACGTGATGAATGGCGCCAATCCATAAAAAAATATATAGCAAATGCACAGGCGGTCGTTCACTTATCCCATTTCATGCAACAACATGACAGCACTTACATTGATCAGTAATTCCGTGGGTTTAACTCCGGTAATGCTACCAGCTTGTTTGCTTTGCCCCTGAAATTAACCCTAACCCTCACACTGCCCCATGAAACCTCACAGTAAACACCGAGTTAACCGCGATCCCGCGCAATTCCCGACGAGACCCAAGACATTTTACAGAGTCAGAAACTCCCAAGACGCAGGCGGCGCATGTCAAACCAATTGCGCCAGCCCCTGTAATGCATGTGAGGTTCGGGTTTGTGAGTGGCGCAGGCGGCCACGTCAATGCCCAGAACAAATACGTTTGGGAGCGCTTAACTACAACCGGAGGCCGGGTTGCGTGGCCGGCAAGACCCTTGAGCAACGGCTGTTCTTCAGATCAACTACACTACGGAGTACCTCCGTGCAGATCCCGATATGTGCCCGACAACAAGGATTCGCAGCAGTTGTCAGTAAGCAGGAGACAGTGAGACGAACATTGAAGAAACGCAAATTGCTCCATTGCAGTCGGAATAGAGAAAAAGAGAAAAAAAAATTAGGCAGCATTTATTTTGGTCCCCATGTAAAAAATGCAAATCCTGAGAAACCCCGACCCGTCCGTCCCATCTCTTCCTTTCCGCTCCCGATGTCCACCGCCCGTTGGACAAGGGGCCAAGCGACGAGCGTTTCCAAGCCTCCGCCAAGCTTACTGCTCTCCACTCGCGGTCCCAATCAACCCAGTCGCCGGCTATCTCGGCTTGAAGGAAACGCGTCTCAGCAGAATTCCAAGTCGTGCCACGGACCCTGTGTGTGTGTCTGTGTGTGTGTCTGTGTCTGTGTGTGTGTGTGTGTGTCTGTGTCTGTGTGTGTGTGTGCCACGCGACTCGTTTTAAAAGCAGCATTCGAGGCACTCGAAGCAGCACTCGCAGGTTTCACCGCACAGCCAGCAGCAGCAGATGGCGGCGATACTGAAAAGGCGCAGCCCGGTATTAGCTGAGATGGTCTGATGACGATAGATAAAAGGAGGTGCACTGTAAAAAAGTACGGAACTTACCAACCGGCCAAACACCCGCGGCTCTTCTCCTCCTTCTGCGGGGGCGGCTCGTGATAGTTCATCTGCTGGGGCGGTGGGTAGCCCTGAGGAGGGTAGGCACCCTGAGGAGGATAGCCCTGAGGGGGATAACCCTGAGGGGGGTAACCCTGGGGAGGAGGGTAGCCCTGTTGGGGGTAGCCACTGTGGAAGATGGAAAAGGGCGGTCAGCACAACTTCACATTGAGGTCCGTCTTGATGCTTTTCTTCTGGGATCAATGGTCGGGAAATCGCAAAGGTCGGTTTATGAAGGGTTGAGCGTAGTGCAACTTACCCTTGCTGATATTGAGACATGATTGTGATATAAGTCTGTGCTGGGTGATGTTCAACGGATGAGGTTGTGCTGCTCCCGGAGCTTTGGAATCGATAAAGGTGGTGACGCAGGAATAAGAATTAAAAAAAGTAAGGTAAAGGGAAGAACACAGAAGGAAAAGGTGAAAGGGGAAGGAAAGAAGTCGATGGACGATACTAATTAAGTAATTCACGTCCTTGGAGCGGTTTCTGAGGGACCCAAGGCCAACAACAGTGGGGGCCTCATCTTCCAGGTGTCAGTCGCACTGGCAATCAACAGCGGGCTGGTTGGCTCGGCCCACTTTGCCAACGCTTGGGGACAGACAATTGTCGGCATCGACCAACCAACCGTTTCCCGCCGCACCCTCTCCAATACAATTTTTACATCCGGGCCTCTATCAGAAACAGATCAAGTCCGAGGTGTCTGCTGTGAAAGCGGCGAAGTGCGCACATGTGCAGACGGGGGCGGGATGCTGGCTCTCAGCCGCCTTCAAGGTTGCCCGTTGTCGTGCCTGGCTCTCGGGCCGGGCCTTGGGGTCCAAGGGTCCACTCCGCTCCCATTCGGATTGGGTGGCCCCCGCAACTATCTCAATCTCGGTGCTGATCCCAAAGCCGGTCCAAACCCCGAATATCCCCGAAACATCAGCAACTGAGCAAACCTTTCCGGCTTTGCAGGGTGGTTGTCCGTGCTTCACGTTCGTCGTTTGAGATGAGTAAGCTATCGATCGTAAAGGGATATTTTACCCTTGGAAGAACTGCTGACATCATCAGCGTTGGCAGCTCTAACTATATGAGGACCGCAGTACACTACCACCCCCAGGCGTCATGGACGACAGACTGTTCATGACTAAGACGACCGTTGAAACGGCCCTCCAGGCCCCAGAGACAAAGATTTGTTTCAATGTCCCTGAACTACCTACATAACGTTAGTTAGTAACAGGCTCGTTCGTACACTACATCAGCTCAGGCTGTAGGCTTAATGGCTGTTCGATATTGTGCGTTTTTCTATTCAGGGGCAGGGATTCGGGGGATATTAGGTACCCAAGGCTTATTTCATAACCATCAGGAAGTCGATGAGAAGTTGACCGCGCTTAAAGGTAAGAGATAATTATAACTAAGAAGTAATATTCAATAATTAAAACACACCGATGCCTTCGTATCTCATAACAACCGCCGCCCGGGCCAAAGCGTTGTGCTAGCTTGCCCCCTAATCCCTAATCAGTTATAAAACTCATGATCATATCATCATAGCCCTGACACCGGTTCCGTCTCTCAAAGTTTTAAATTGCCAGTACACGGCGAAAGCCAACGGTGCAGGACGTGTTAATTACTCCGCCATGCGGAACAGGAATCAAACAACACCAAGAAGTGCCCCCAGGGCCCAACTAGCAGCCATCAACCTGACAGGCCTCACATAATTCGTCGTCCTTCGCCACCATCGTGGTGCAGCCGTGCGTAGCAAAATGGGCGCAGGGTTTTTCCGACATGAAGACGTTATTCCCGGTGGATTCGAAGCCTAAGTGTCCGGACAACAATGTTAAGGTTCAGTTCCGTGATGAATGGAAAGCACCCCGCGACGATGTAATTAGTTGGAGCATGATCCACTTACAACTTTGAAATCGGGGTTGGATATAACGCTGGAAATGGTCTCAAGGGTCTAAAATAGTGATGAACCCAGGATGGTGTATGTTCTGTCAACTTGTAGCCGTCGGCATTCGTGGTTGATAGACACGAGGGGACCAAACTGGAGAGGGGTCAACATCTTGGGGAGGACCTCATAATGTACGGCTGAGCATTTCTAGTCTACCATCCTTGCTACTTTAACTTGAACCAGACTACGGCCAAATCACACAATCCTCGAAATTTGAGACCCGCGCACAATTTGCTTCTGAACGACCTCCAGACTCCGGAACTGTTACCAAACTGTGGTGGGGGGTCTCATCCTACCATACTCGTAGTGGTGGAATAGCCCGGCAACGCATCCAACACAACGCCACATTCTGCACAATTCTGCAGGTAGGGGGCCGCATTGCAGTGATGGTGTGTTGGTTCAATGGACGAAACGGATCGCCCGTTGATATCACCAGCCTCATTCTTGTCTCCACTTCGAGACTACCGAACGACAGACGGTGGCGCGGGGAGTAGAGGCACGCGCCCCCGAGCCGTGGTTGTTGGAGGGTGGTGCAGAATCTTGCAGCGGTTCGATCGTGTGGACTGGATCCCAGAAGCAGACCAGGCAGAGCCGGGCCAGTTCGTGGGCTGGAAAGGATGTGACGGGAATGCGTCTGCAGTCGAAGAAGTCGAATCATGGCTGGAGACGACCCCTCTCCACGCCCTGCATGTTAGTATGGGACCGAGGGATGTTTGTGTTGTGGACTTGTGGTTGGTGCAAAAGGCATCGATGGGATAGGCTGGGCCGTAGAGGGTCTCATCGCCCTAATGCACGCCGGATTCCCGGCTTGCCATTGACTGTAGTTGATAATTTCTGCAGGAGGGTGGAACGCAAGCTGTGTCTTAGGTGTTGGTTTCGGAACTCGGAATGCTCGCTCCTCGCCCTTCCCCAATTCTGCTTGATATCGAGAGCCGGCCTCCACTACTGTGTATTGGTATTTGAGTACCACGCTTAGCCCCCTAAGTCAGGTCAAGCCAATGAACTTAGGTGCGCCCTTGTCTAGATTACTATCAAGGTGGGAGTTTAGCTTTAACTTGAATCTAGACGATAACCGAATCTAGGTAATTATTAATAGTTGCAAAAAGAGCTTCACCAACTGCGACATGAGAGCAGAACGTCCGCGATAAACGAGAGTTCCTGAGGCGGATGCCGGGCTTATATTTCTCGAGCATGGAGTTCGGAGTCGTCGGGTTTTTAAATGAAAAACAACCTTGCCTAGTGGTTGGAATGAGGGTGAAGAGAAGGCAGAGAACCATGCTTCGCGGAACACGAGATCTCGAGATTGATAAGCATGCCAGCCATCTGCGGAGAGTTTCTTGGTAATCCATCCGCGTCTTATATCTTTATTGTTCACGGGAAGTCGGGGTGCGGGGCAATCTCCCCAAGCCAAATTGATGAAACAGGACGAGCTCCGAGAGCGCCGGCGGAGACTTTGTCTTGCGAGTTGCACTAGAGATAGCGCCATCGATGACGCCACAGCTGTTAGGATGCCTCCGGGTCTCCAAGCACAGATGGAATGGCAGTTAGCAGTACGAAGTATATGAAGTATAAATCCCCCTCTTTTTGAGCTACGAGAGCTTGAAGACCAACAGACATTCAAGACCATTCACCATTGCATCTCCAACGCATCGAACATTGAACTCCAGCGATATAACATATTCGGGCAAACCGACACGTCAACATGAGTACTCAGGACAAACTCATCCTCTACACCAACCATCGCTGCCCATGTGAGTAGCATCCGCACGGCCCGCTCCGTCGCTAAGAATAATGCGAATGAAGCTTAACCAATGATAAGGGGCGCACCGGGCTCATATTGCCCTGGAAGAACTTAAGATCCCCTTCGAGGAGGTCATCATCGACCTGGACACTCCGCGGACGGCCGAGTATTTGCAGATCAACCCCCGTGGTTTAGTCCCAGCGCTGTCGCACAACGGCGAGATCCTCATCGAGTCCGGTATCGTTGCGCAGTTCCTAGTCGACAGGTACCCGTCGCATCTGGTCCCAGCCTCTAATGAGCCGGGCGGTGCACTCCGTCGTGCTCGGATCGGCCTGTTTGCGGATGCCTTCTTCTCCAAATTCCAGACTCCGCTGTTTGGTCTTTACTCGGCCAAGACTGAGGAGGAGCGCGAGGCGGCCGTCGAGAAGGCGGTCGCTGGGCTCGTCAAGGAGGTCGAGCCGCTGCTCGCGGATGCCAGCCCGTACTTTGGAGGAAGTGACAAGATCACGTTCGCTGAGGTACGAGACAACCGAAATACAACGGTATTCTGCGAGCGCCGCCAGTTTTGCTAACGGAATGCAGGTTTTGACTGCCTCCTTCGCCATCCGCCTCCTCAGCCTCATCAAGGCCGATCTGCACCCCAAATCTCTCGGAGTCGCGATCGAAGAGAAGGCGCCCAACTTCCTCAAGTGGGCGAAGACCGTCTCAGTGCATCCTAGCGTCACATCTATCTACAACGAGACAGATATCCTCGAGTCGGCGAAAAAGAGGATTGCTAAGCTGAGGGCCAGCGCTTGATTAGATATCGAGTCCTCCGTAGCTGGAGCGGATGAGGAATGCAATACGAGGAATGAAATCGGAATGAAGTCCGTCGGTGCTGCGGTGGTTGATGATGAAAGCTTGGCTGCAGCCGTCGAGTCGAGCTCTCCTGAGATAGCGTTCCGAATCTTATGATGTTGTATCTCCGAACATCTTCAACCTGACCTCCCACTGTGTGAAATTGCCGTTGCGCGCCATGTCGAATATGTTGTGTTCAATTGCGACTCAAAGTTTAAAATGTGTGTTGATGAGATCAAACCTGTCCCAGAACCCCGCCGTCGTTAACTAATTACCAAGGCGAGCCGCGCGTGCGTTCGGACCCACTTGATCGAACGCCAAGCTCGGGCAGCCGTTCTTGCAGCCGAGGCACGCTGCGGCGCTGACAGCGGGTTCAGCCAGCCCCTGGTCGTCCGCCATCCAACTTTCCGTCATTTCCAGCAATCCGCAGAGCCACGTCTTGTTCTTAGCTCGACGTGTTATCGCCAGTTTAATTTTCATACACAACATCGTGACGGCGGCCGAGCACCGCAAAATCGTGACTGCGGCGCATGTCGCGCCATTCATCTTCGATTGCGCTTTCCAATGGGCTCCTCTGAGACGCACCGAGGGGGCAACCCCTGGCCCCAGCCAGCAACGAAAGGACCGAGCATCAAGAACCCTCTCTCAATGCCATCGCAATGGGTTCAGACCTACGATGACTTCATCACCAAGAATGCGCACCAAGTGTCGCGCATTGAATCAACACTTCGATCGCTGACTTACATTATTCCCGGTACGCACACGCAAACCCAAGACCCCCACCAAGCTACCAAAACCGTTGCGCACAGAACACGCAGAACACTAACTTTATCTTCGTTGTGTCAGGCCGATTCCGCGATGCTGAAATCGCCTCCGAGTCCATCCACAGCGGCGTCCAACTCCTCTCCCTCTACCACGATACCCTCCTCCGACGCGCCCACAAGCTCACCAAACTCCCCGTACCCCCTTCTCTCTCACAGCCACCCTCCCCCCACGGCCGCTACACGCGTTTCTGGACGCTCAAGAGCGGACTGTACCGGCGCGTGGCCTACGTGCTTCAAATCGTACATTATGTCGAACTTCTGTGCGAGATGGCGGCCAAGCGGCGCGGCGAGCGCGTCCGCTGGCGCGTGATTGTGCTGCTCGAAGCCGTTAAGGCCATCTGCAAGCTGCTGCTGCTGCGTATCACGCGGTCGCGGCCGCTCGTCACGCCAACACTACCCGAGCGGGACCCGGTACCGGACGAACCGGAGGACGAGGATGGACTGGATTTTGGGGACCTGGGAGAGGATGATGAGGACCGGAGGAACGCCCAGGATAGATCAGCATACGCGAACGGAAATGGGAATGCGAATGGCGGGGGCGCGGATCACGACAACAAAAACACCACCAACAACAACGGGGAATGGGTCATGTCCCGAACTGGCATGAGTCTCCCATCCCTCCCTGCCCCAGGCGATACCAGCGAGTACCTCCTTTCCCGAGTCCTAACCGCCGACGACATCAAACCCGCGCCCAATCTCCTAAACCGCCTCCAGGGCCGCGCCCAAGCCGCCGAGATCCTGCACATCCTAGCACCCCTCATCTTCGCCGTCGCCCTGGCACGGAGCCAAAACAAGCGCAAGGCGTGGACCCCCTGGCTATTGGGCGTCGGCGCCGAGCTGGCCGCGCGCCAACTACGTGACCGCGGCCTGCGGACGACGCCGCTCGAGCGAGACGAGTGGTCGCGTCGCGGGTGGGGGATGGGGTGGTGGGCGATGCGTGGCGCCTTCTACGAGAATGTCACCAAGGGTGTGGCGGCTGGGGTGCGTAGCCGGATGCCTGGGATGGTGGCGGGGATTATGGAGGATTATGAGTATTTGTGGGAGAATTACCATTTTAGCACGACTTCATGAGCGCGGTGTGTTTTGTTTTAGTACATAATATGGAGATGTTGTGGGAGGGTTAAACAGGGAGTGACAGGAGAACAGAAGAGCAGACGTTGGCTATTACTGCCACTACTATTACTGCAGGTGGTGACTGGTTAGGGCCGCAGGGTGTCTTTTTTTTTGCTTATCATTGTTTCGTTTTACTGTACAGTACATCATCAGTATCATGTTTGGATTGCATCAAGGCATACAATAGCATTTCGCTTTTCTTTTTGCGTCGAAACATTGCCCTTTGTGAGGTTTCGCAACCTCACGACGTAATAGTAACAGTTGCCGAATGTATATCTTGAACAACGTGGGACCTGGTGTGTCGTGTAGATTCATGATGTTATGGAGCTGAAGCCAAAAAGCTCATGAAGCATCTTGGTAACTAAAAATGGAGGAGAGGTTTTATTTTGTCAGACAAGAATGTAGGACGGGTCTAAACTATCATGACACGAAAAGCTATTAACTAGTTACGGTCATAAGGAGAATGACTAAATGAGATCTGCTATTCGTATTATTCATGGAAAGGAGCGCCGAAAAGGGAGGGGGAGACGAACAGGTATCTACGACACGGCCCTGCCTTGGTTTATCATTTGGTAGCCGGGTTCCCCGAAACCTCCAAAGCTCGCCCGTGACAAATAGTTTCTCAAACCAGACCTGCCACAAGGATCACAGAATGCAAAAAATTGAGAGTCAAGAGTTTCAAGGTCATAGAACAAGATCAATTGTCTCGATTGTGATACATAGTACAAGAGCACGACGCAATTCAACGCAGGCTCGCCAAATTCAACGCTCAACCAAGTTACCCCAGGGTTCCCTCCCCTTTTCGCTATGCTAATTTCAGTGCCCGCCCCCCAAAATATTGCCGTACAGATCGTTTAAAGGAAACGCCGCCTTTTTGAAGAGACAGCGCGGTTCTCGCCCTGGCGAGTGTGTTTATTACGAGAGGATACTTTCATGACATAAGTTTTGGTCATGTTACTGGTCCTGGGGACACCCGATGTTCCGAGCTTCAGGGAAGCCTTGGCTTGTTCACGGATTCGAATTCGTCGTTCTTCGACGCGGAGGACCCACAAAAGGGACAGTAGGACCTCCTTCGACGGGAGCATCGCTCCGCTAGGCCAACCAACAATCGACCCGCGACGGGGCAGCTGCTGCGATGATCCTCCGTTGGCTGCTACCGTGGCAGCCTCGTCGGCTCCTGAAACCCGGTCGACCGAGGATCCCTCAGAGGACACTAACCGCAAGACCGCCATCGTCGCATCCTTCAAGGGACGCGCCAGGATGGGGCTGCAGGTAAGGATCTTCCGAAGGGTTCGGAGTCTCAGGGAGGAGCGACGAGTCTGCGACGGAGCGGCTGTAGAGGTGCTGCTGCTGCTGCTCGTTGCTGGGCGCGACGTTGATGTCGCTATCGGTGATGAACTCGTTGATGTCGAAGTCGTTTGTGAACTGGAAGGGTGCGGTGTCGTCACCAGCCAGATGATCGTATTCGTAATCGCTGGAGTTGGGCGAAGAGAGGAGCCCGCTCTCAAGGAGATAGCGATCTGCGTCAAGGGCCTCTGGCATACTGAAAGCATCGCCGAGGTTGAGGCTAGAAGAAATTGGAGCTGGAGTAGCAGCCACTGGGTTGGTTGGAGTCGCTGTTGAGACACCATCTGCCAGCTCGAGGGGCTTGCTTCCACCAACCGACACGGCAGGTCTGAGCACAACATCTCTGCAGGATGTTGTGTCGCGTCGGTGGAAGCGTTCCCCTCGGTGAGGGCAGGAGTGTCCGCAACAGGAGAAGTGGCTGTCTCCTCTTCATCTTCCTCGTCCGCCATCTCATCGATGGGGGTGAGGGTGGGAGAGAGTGATGCGGGGTTGACCGTCTTGTTGTTGGCGGACGGGAGGGACTGGAGGAGTTGTTCCAGCGACCCAGCCGCGTTCTCGTCTTGAGAACTGAATAATTGATGTGAGAATGTCACGGGGGGTTGGCGGAGCGCGTCAAACGATGGCGTTGTCCTTGAGGCGCCCGGGCCGCGAATTTTTTGGATCTCCTCCAGGAGAGTCATGTTCATCTGCTGTGCCTGAACGAGCGCCATCTCCAACTCCTTGTTCCGCTTTTCCAAGCCCTCAACTTCGAGGCGCTTCCGTTCACGGGAGGACTGCGCGGCGCGACGGTTCCGGAGCACGCGCTCAACCCGGCGCTGTTCCTTTTCGTCTTCCGTCTTTGCCCGTTTCCTACACCATGTTAGTGGCCCGTCATCGGCTGTAATTGGCGCTGCTACAAATGCTTACCTTGGAGGGAGGTTGGTCTTGGGTTCCGGAAGAACTTGGCCCCATGACTTCCTCTTCTTGACCGGCTTCTTCTCGGGCTCGGGAGTGCCCTCGGATGGTGCCGGGGTTTGGGCGAGGGTGGATTGTGATAGTGCGGACAGGCCACTCAGCATCGTTAGGTCGGATTGACCGTCCTCGGACACAGACTGGGGCGTCATCATTTCTGATGGGTTGATGGTGGTGGTCGATACGGGGCTGGTGCCGAAGAGCGAAGGGTACATCTCGTCAGGGGTCGAAAGGAGCGACTCGGTTGGCGAGCCCTCGAACTTGATGTTTGGCGACGCGGCGCCGGCCCAGGCGTTCATTTCGGACATTTTGGCGCTGTGGACTTGCTGGGAGGACTTTTGTGGATGTTTTAGTTGCAGCTTGATAGAAAAGCGGGAGCTTCCTGTCTGAGCGGGTGTTGCTGCAGGGTCCGTGGTGTTGACTTTAACGAGGCGCCTTCCCAGTTCCTCGATAACATGTATGTCAAGAGATAAAGGAAGGCTTCAGGGTTGTCTCATTGCGGATGACGAGTCCCTCAATGACTCAGAAAGCCGTCTTGACTCGGGTGCCCAGCGTGGTTGGCTGGGTTGGTCAAAAGGACAAGCTGGCTTCTTGCATTCAGTCAAGGAAGGCGCTGCGAGAGGCAGGGACTCCAGGCTTCTTTTATGTTCTGAACACGTATGCTTCAGGGGTTTCTGCCTCAGGCCGCACATTACGCACGGGTGGGCTGAGAGTTGTGCTGATTGGCCCGGTTTGGCTGCAGGGCGCCGCAGGGTCCGAGTCCGAACGGGGAAAGCAACAAGAGCAAGCAGCTCAGCCGGAAACTCGTTCCACAGATCCACGCGGCCCACCATCCCGAATTCAGGGGAGATTCCAGTTGATTGTGCCAATGTTCAAGGGGCAGATGCGGAGACGACCTGACGCATCAAGGAGAAATTCCACCTTCCCGTCCAGCCGGCTGTCCTGGCACGAACCATCGTTTTCCTTGGGATCAATGGGGAGCTGCGGCGTTGCCTTGCAGCTGTACCCGGCTTGATGAGTTGGCTGGCGGTGTGCCTCTGGTGCCTCCCTCGGCTGTCTTTTTTTTGCTTTTCACTCTGCAGCGAAAGGGCTGCATGCTGACACATGGCGCTGCCAAAAGGGATCCGGCCACCATCTTGCTCGCTGGCTGTGCTTCTTTCGGTGACACAATCGGATGGTGCGGTGTGGTGCCGACTGCGCCGGGGACGCTGACCTCCCGTTGCCGTCTTCCGCAGCTGGACGGCGAGAGGACGACTTCTGAGTGGAACTCGGACGCATCCACCATGATGCCGCCATTTGGACCTAACTAATCAGGGCAAAGACTCTCCACGACGTTTCCACTTCAAGCTACCTTCCAATTGAGAGAGCTGATTTGCAGTCTTATTCTGCACCTCTGCACCTGCATTCAACAAGCTGAACAACTCAAAGTTGTGGCAGTGGTGACACGACGCCGAGACAGGTTGTTCGGGCCTGTCCTCGTTTCGGCAGCACTGCGGCCGGGAGTGGCATTTGTCTCGTCGCACAGTCGCTCATCCTGCTGCATGTGTCCATCTATCTGCAAGGCCCCGGCGCGACTACTACCATGGAATTCAGGGAGGCATTTCCCCGCCCATCAACTTGAATGTGATAGTTCAATGTTTGATCCGGTGTTTCCTCGTTGTTGCCCGTGACAAACATGTCGAAAACCGCTCTCGATCAAAAGCGGAAGTGCCGTGGAATGCTGAACGAAGATTCGAAGTCGTGGTGAAGCAATCAGGCTGAATCTTCCCCGGACACAGGGGGCTCCAACGAACCAGGAACCCCCATATTTGCGTTGTATCGCGGCCCCAGACGGCCGTTCTGGAGTTGCATTGAAGCGCTGTCGCGGCAGTCGTTCTCCCGGGAGCGAACGTTCGAGAAACCCCAGATTTTAATTAATCCAGACTCCAGACCAAGGCAGTATGGAGTCGGGACTGCGGCGGGCCGCGTGGACCGGTTGGGGATGGGCGAAGGGAAGCCCGTGTTGAAGTCGTTTCTTGAACGCTCCGCCGACTGACTTCTCATGGGAACTAAAACTGCGGTTCATACCGGGTGTCAAAGGGTGTCGGCGCTCGTATTGCTGACGCCGCTGCTGCAAAATAAGCCGGGCTGACTGCGTTCAACATCCACTGAGGATTTGAAAGCGCATCTTGCCACCGCGTTCGGCACTTTGCTTACACTCTTTAAAAAACACCAGAGATTGATAAAACCCATTCTGCTTTTTCCATCAGTTAACCACGGCGGACCGCCATGGCGAGATGATCTGGGGAAATGCAACCCATTCCGAATATTAGCATGGAAATCCGGGGAAGCGAAAGGGTGTGTTTCCCCTCATGAGTGCAATGCCTGCTCCATTTTGAGGGGAAGGTCTCGTTCCGGAGCGCCCAGAAAGGTGAACCGGAACCTTTTGTGGCCTGCACTTTCTCCAAGCGGTGTTTTGGAGTCTCTCCGTCTTGGCGGCACGTGCACTCTTGCGTTGCACAGTCCCCAAATCCCCGACAGGAATTGTTTCCATTGCCTCCCGGTTTCTGCTTTGCCACAGAAAGTGCCTCATCAGGGCCCCCATGGTCGCACTGTCATCGCCCGCTCTACCTACAACAAATATTCTCGACGAAGATATAACACCTAGATAAAATCCACGAATAGGTAACAGGAATTCTTACTATGTAATCGGTCGCAAGTGCTTCGCACCGAATTCCCCAGCTCTATTTGACAACTATGTGGGGTCCTGGGAGGGAGCGGCTGGGCGGTCCCAGGTTGACCGCTCAGGCCGAGACGCGCCTAGAAGGCCAAGCGAAGGTTCGCCGCTTCGCTCTCCGCCTCCCGTTCCAAACTTTCCACAATCCACTCCACACGCCCCAACCAGGGCCAACGTCAAAAAAGTCCACAGCGCAAGCGCGTTGGAACAATCCTGGATTGCACTCCAGCGAACGGTAAACGGTCGGCCCGGCATCCCTGGCTAGGCCCTTTCCGTGAAGAACGCCGTACAGCTGGCAGGACGAGGGGCTTCCCCGGATCTTTTCTTCTTTGGGTGCTCAAGACTCTCCTCGACTGGTGATGTGGAGCTGGTTACCTGGGGTTGGGAACCGAGGCGGTTTTGTTGATGAAGTGCGCCGAACGGCGGAGGCAGTCAAGGAAACGGGGAGCGGAGGACGACAGGGTTGTCGCCCTCCGCATTTGATGGCGATGTGGAGGTGACATCAGAATCCTGGGGAAGACGGAGACGGGAGTGTCAAGCGGCACGAGAATTACGCTTTTGGAGCGGAGTTGGTGATGGATCTGTGCCATCGATCCTCTCTGTCCTTGGTACTCCTCCCTTGGCTCCACTAGAGATGGGGAAAAGGTATATTACTCGGGCCGCTGCTACTATGCAAGTTCATAGGCTCAGCCGCATATTTTTGTTCTCTATTCTATCGATATGGGAGCCGAGTGATATGGGCCAGCTCAATACCCGTCGACGGCCCTTCACGTTCCCCCCAATAACTAAAAATGCTCTAAGCCTGGATGAGAAAACACTTTTCTACTCCGATGACCGTCTATCAGTCCACTTCGCCCCAGCCCGAATGCCCTTCCCCGTTGTGTTATGGACCGTTTCACCCCAACGCCGAACATGCTGACCGCCGCCTCGCTATCGTGTGAAGATAGCGGTGGCGGATTTTTGTGAAAAGTTTTCCGGTTTCTTTCCCTCACCTATCGCCGTTGTCTATGGCGTCTTTACTTCAAAAAACGCCGTCCCAGCTCGTTCCCCACTGGTGCTGCTGGTGAGGAGTCTTCACGAGTCCCTCGATGTCACTGGTGACCCAGCCACCATAGAAGTCGCCCGGCGGCGCGTGGGCACGCTCGTTGTCGACGTAGCATTCCCAGGGGCCGACGAAGAAGGCAAGGTAGCCTTTGAGGGCTTCGTATTCCTTGGGGGGCTCGTTGAACGACCAGATGCGATTGCTGAGAATCTCAGCCGCCGAGATCGGGCTCATGATGGCATAGTTGGTGGCGGCGCCGAAGAACTCGGAAAAGGTCGAACGGGGGGTGGTCGAAAGAGGCAGCCTGACTCGAGCAGGGGGAATGTAATATGCTGCAGAGGAGAGAAAGAAAGAAAGAGTTAGCTATCATCCGTGTTGTTGAGAACGGGGACGATGTGGTTGAAGTGGTGTTGACGTGGATCGTCACCCGCCGGATATCGGTCGGGCGGATACGGGTCTGGCGGATGAGTAAGGGTTTGGGGGGAAAGGCAAAAAGGGGTCTTGGGAAACCAAAACGGGTATCGAGATGGAGATGGATGATGATGATGGAGACGGCGATGGAGATCTTGATGGAGAAACTGAAAAAAAAGGATACGCACTGGGAGCATGATGGGCCTCCAGCACCCAGTACGCCTCGCCGGGAGGGCAGTCGGCTACTAGTTGGCCGTGCCACTTGATCTGGATGTGACGGTTCGTCCGCTCCACAATGGGCGGACGAGGGAAGGTCGTGACGTTGTGTTTCCGCATGGCCGACATCTTTGCCGCTGTTCTGAGGTTGTGTAGAGGGAGGCTTGGTCGTGGTCGTGTTCTGCTCTGCTCGGTTCGGGGAGGAGAAAACCTTGCGGTCAATCCGAAGGCGAGGTGACGGTGTGAGAAAAAAGCTCTTTCGACTTCTCGAAAATGTTCTACCGGGCCCATCCATGTGCAAGCTGCGGGTCATGGTGTGGCTTGTATGCAGGCCCACAGTTGCATTACCCACTCTGGGCACGCGTGCATCTGCAACGCTCGGATAAGGTTGGACTCTGCGAGGCAACCGCCCGCGCAAATCCCTGAAATCACCAGCCACACGTGCCACAATCTGTGCGTCATTGGGCCACCGAGACCGCTATCGCCCCGTTAGCCCCGCCATTTCTTTGGGCCCGTTGCGCCCCGCCCCTTGGCCACCTGAGCCAAACAGGAGGCCGCTTCGGCGCCTTTGACGCCCTGGAAACGGTCGCTCAGCCTGCCTGCATCCTAGGCAAGTTCGCCGCTCCATCATGGAAGTAACCTTGAACCTGAACCTTATCCCTCAACGCCTACCTCTCGACGAACCCCAAAGCTCGACATCTCACCACCACCTTTTGATTCCCGCGATTCCCTGGATTCTCTAGACCAACCGAAAGACACCATGTCGAACCGTCAACTCGCCCGCGACATGCAAACCGAGTTCCAAGCCCGGGTTCGTCCCCCTCCCCATCTCCGGCTCTTCCACTCGTCTCATCCGTGGAAGTGGTTGAACTAGTCACAAAACCAAACCGGTCCCTCTTGTCTAACGTCGGTGTACTTTAGTTCAACGCAAAACAAGCCCGTCGCGAAGCCCAAAAGGCTGCCAAGCAGGACAATGAATTGAAGAAGCAAATACAAAATGTACGCGCGTCAGCTCTTACGGCCTTTAAATACACTCCATCTTAGTCCACAACTCAAACCTATCGATTAACTCGATCGCTGACCTTAATACTTCTTCGATACAGCTCCTCAAGAAGGGTGAAACCGCCCAAGCGGCGCAAAAAGCCCGCATGCTCCTCGCCAAGCAAGCAATCGCCACACAAATGGACCAAGCCGCCGACATCGCCGAGCTTTCCCTCGCCCAGATCCAAGCCAACAACGCGATGAACCGCATGACCACCATGATGGCGCAGTCGTCCAAGACCATGTCGCGCGCGCAGCGTTCCACCAACCCGGAGAAGACGCTCCTCACGCTCGAGCAGTTCCGTAACCAGAACGAGGAATACGCCATGAGCAACGGCATTTACCAGGATGCCATGACCCAGAACACCTCGGTGCAGGTCAGCGACGACGCCGTGCACGAGCTGCTCGGGAAATTGGCGGACGATGCTGGGCTCGAGTTGGGCCAGGAACTGAATGAGGCCTCGACTAGCAAGGTGGATCCTGTGAAGGAGCCGACTGAGCCGACGGCGGAAGTGGAGGATGCGCTGCAGCAGCGGCTTAGGGCTCTGAGGGCTTGATAGATAAGGCTAGAATCCGGGCAGGATGGTGATGGTGGGGAGTTAGTGTTTGCGCTAGGACGTTGGGGTGCTGGGACGATGACGAATACTTATGGGGATTTCCTGTGCTCAAGGCGGAAATTTTTTGGTCTGGAATTTATCGGAGTTTGGGGTCCTTGCGGGTTTTATGACGGCGGAGTGATATTATAAGGAGGCAGGCTTTGCTCCGAGAGTACGAATTCTGGTCCCTTTTGAATAGACCATAACTACATGATTACGACCAAGTTCTTATCTATTTTAACGGCCTCTCAAATCTTATAACACTTAAATTCGCCGCTGTACAAGTGACATACTGAATCCCTCTCATTCATAAAATTTATCTATCTGTCATGCTATGCCTCCATCTACGCTTTTCCATGCTCATAAAATCATCACGATTTACTCCCCCCATCTCGCAACCACAGCGCAAACACGCGAATGGATGGACGAACCAGTCTACATGTACAAGCTCGCCACAGCGGTAATATCCCTCCTGATCAACTCCTGCGCCTCTGCCATCTTCATGTACAGCGCCGGATCGCCAATAATCCTCGCCGCATTCTTCACCTCGCGACACGTCTCGTCCAGCCGGGTGATGGTCCGCACAATCGTCCCCTCCAAAACATCCGTCAAGTCCGTGATATTCTTGAAGCTCATCCCCCTGGCCCATTCGTACACAACTTCCATCAAGCCAAAGCGCGGTTTCGACACGAAATCGCTGCCCTCGTCGCTGGTCTGGATGACCTGGTGCAAGGTCTGGATATTGTTCACCTTCTCCGAGATATCCACAATGGTCTTCATGCCTCGCTCAAGGTTGGCCGTCAGTCGCGGGATAGAGTCGGTCTTTTCCTGGAACACAAAGGCGGACAACAACGCCGCGATCTCCGCGGGCTCGTAGTCGGCAAGCACGTTCTCCAGAATGAGCTCCGTGAGCACCAGCTCGTCACCGGAGTGCACCTCGCAGGCTACCTTGCCCTTGAGCTGGATGCGGGTGGCGTCGTCGATGAAGGAGAGGTCCTTGAGCACTTGGATGCGCTGTTCGTAGTCGGGCAGCAGCTGCAGGTTTTGTTCGGATAAGCTCTGGCGGAGCTGCTGGATGTGAGTTTGGATGAGCCACTGGTCGTGGCACATGGCGTAGTGTTTGAGGAAGAGTTTGCAGCAGTCGACCGCGGGAGACTTGAGCGCGGCTACCTCGGCTGCGTGTCGTTTCGTGGCGACCTCGTGGACGGCAATGTTCCGGATGCGACCGAGATCCATCTCGTCCCAGATATCCGAGTTCCATGTTCTGCAGAGATGATGTAACCTCTCCTTGGCCTTTGGATAGCCTTCACCACCGAAAATGTCGGGCAAAATGCCCTTGGTGATATGCTTGGTAAGGCACACGATGTCGGTGATGGGAATGTGCAGGGTCTTGGTCGCGATGTTCTTCTTAGCCTGGGGCAATAGGGTGAAGTGCTTCCGGAACGCCGGTATGAAGGGAAGAATATCCGTATCGTTGCGCGTCTCTCGGTTGGTCTTGATCTCAAGAACGTGCAGCGTGGGGTTCGCCGCGCTGCTCTTGACACTCGCCCCTTCGGACAACAAGATACCAGGTGTGCGAACGCCGTCCTTCATCCAGACAATCAGCCGCCCAGGCATAAACATCTTGCGGCCGATTGGGTTCGCCAAGAGCATGCGGTAGAGCTCCTCGGTCAACTGTTTATAGTCCTCGCCCGCTTGGTGGCACGCGTCCATGTGGCCATCACAGATTGGGCAGGGGTCCCGCTTGACCTTGGCCAAATCGGCCTCGGAAAGCTTGACGGCCTTCTCGTGCTCAGGTAAGAGTTGTTGGGTGGCATGCTCTGAGAAACTGCGCTTAATCATTTCCTCGATCTTGAGTGCCTCCACACGGAGGAGGTTCAGAATCATGTTGTAGGTCAACCGGAACTGTGACCGGAGCTTGCTAGGCTCGCCGAGGATCATTTGTCGGAGGTCGGTCACAGGCGGTGCCTCGTCCCCGCCCGGTGGGACAATGATGACGGAGCCGACGGTGTCGAGGCCACGTCTCCCAGCTCGCCCGGCCATCTGGGTGTACTCTCCGGGAAGCAGGTTTCGGAAAGAATGACCGTCGTGTTTCCGGTATCCCGAGAAAACGACAGTTCTGGTAGGGAGGTTCAAACCCATGGCGAAGGTCTCAGTAGCGAACAACACCTTAACCAGAGTCTGAGCGAACAGAATCTCGACGAGCTCCTTGACAATGGGGAGCAGGCCACCATGGTGCACGGCGATACCGCGTGAGAGCAACTCCCTGAGCCGGATAATTTGGGGAAGGACCCGATCCTCCGGCTTCAAGCGTGCGATCGATTTCTCGATGGTCATGTGGATGGCGCTCTTCTCCTGCGCGGTGCAAAAGTCTTGGTTGCTGAGCGCATCGGCGTTTTCCTCGCACCGCTTCTTCGAAAAGACGAAGATGCAACCAGGAAGGAGGTTCCCCTTCTTCAGGAATTGAACAAGATGAACCCAGACGTTCTTATCCTGGGCAGCCGACGTGTAACCACCCGGCCGCCCTGCACGTCCCATATGCCCCGGAGCGTGACTTGCCCTGGGAGGCCCGCCACGGCCACCTCGCTGTTGATTCCCACCTCGTCCGCCTCCGCGCTGCGGATTACCGCCCCGTTGCGGTCCTCCACGGCCACCTCGGGCGTTGGCGCCGCCACGCCCTGTCGGTGCCCCTGCTGGCGGCAACGCCTTCTGTTTATCCTTCCCCCGAATTGCGGAGTCGGCCTCTTTCCAGCCTTTCTCCACAAACTTCTTGTCGGAATCGACGATCTTGTAGATGTTCTTGTTGCCCCACAGGTAGTGCTCCAGGGGTACCGGCCGTTTTGGCGTCGAAATGACGTAGATATCCTTCTGCTTCGTCCGACCGACCCATGACGCAAACTCATGCGTGTTCGGGACCGTGGCAGAGAGCAAGATCAGCGAGACGTGCTCGGGCAACATGATAATGACCTCTTCCCAGACCACACCACGCTCGAAATCGTTGACGTAGTGAACCTCGTCGAAAATGACAAACTCGACATCTCGGATCAGGTCAGCCCCACGGTAGAGCATACTCCGCAGAATCTCGGTCGTCATGATGAGGCAGCTCGCCTCGGGGTTGATCTGCACATCGCCCGTCAAGATGCCGACCTCGTCAAAGGTCTGCCTAAAGTCGCGGAACTTTTGGTTGCTCAGGGCCTTGATGGGCGACGTGTAGATGGCCTTGGTCATGTGCCGTGCCGCGAGCGCGATGGCATATTCCGCCACGACCGTCTTCCCGGCTGACGTGTGTGCGGCCACAAAAACCGAGTCGCCGTTCTCAAGGTGGTAAACAGCCTCCTTTTGGAAAGTGTCGAGCTCGAAGGGCCATTCCCTCGCCATGTCCGGGACCAACTCCCGGAAGTTGGGCATCTCCCGGTTGATATCGACCATATGAGCCCACTCGCGACCAGCTTTCCTAGCACTAGAAGCAGCTAGTGCACCGCGGGGCTCGAGGGCGGGGAATTCGACGGGCAGAATGGAGTCAATATCTTCCAAGTCTACGTCGTCGTCCTCCTCGCCGCCCTTTTGTCCATTGGCCGGCCGGGCCTTATCTCCGTCGGCCTCTTCTCCTCCATCAGGGGCAGTCTCGGGCTCCTGATCCAGCACATCTTCCACCTCCTTTGCCTGCCTCTCGCTATCCGCGTCGGCAGCCTTCCGCCTCTTACTGAAATCAATCCCCCTGTCCAGGCCCGGAGCCACCTCTAGCAGCCCACCCTCCCCCAACTTAATCACCCTTTCCAGTTTCTTCCTACTATCCCCCTCATCTGCCTCCCCAGCCCCACCCCGCAACTGATCCTCCAGCGCAGCCGTCGACTCAATCCCGTCCAACCCGCCAGGCGCAAACGGGAAAAAGCCAGCGGCCCCGCGCACAAAATCAGCGCGTCCCGCCGGCTTCCGCAGCATGGACGTGCTCGACTTGGCCGTGGCGTGTGATGCAGGGACGGTGACATTTCGATATCCCGTGACACGGCCCTCAAGGCCGTGGCGGATGAAGCGCGTGACGCTGCGTGACTGGGTCGGCGCAATGCGGGAGAGGAGGGAGTAGTCGGCGGGGGTGTCCCAGCGTTGCTGGAGCTTGTCGAGCCATTCGTCGGAGAACGTGGCTGAGGGGGTGAGGTACTTGGCTTCGAGTTCGGCGCGGAGGCGGGCGGGGTCTTGGGTCTCGGGGTTGGAATTAGAGTTAGGGGTTATGATTTTGTCGAAAATGTCGTCGATAGCATCGAAGGAGGTACCGTCATCTCCATCGCTGGCAAGGTGCAGAGCTTGCATGGCGTTGCTCAGTTCGGAGGCCATGATGGCCGTGTTGAGTGGCCAGGGTGGCCGGTCGTTCGAAAGAGGGTGCGGGGATTCTAGGATTGGGCAGAGTTCGTTCTTTTGCAATAGCTTTTATAGGCGAAAGAGTTGGGACTAGAAATGTCCAACTCGACGCACACGCATCCTGCAGAACGATTGTCAAAGAAGCACCGAACCTTAGCGTAGAGGTGGGGCGTACAGGGAGCTCTTTGATGGCGGGGTACCCAGCCCTGCGGGATGTGACAGTGCCGGGTTACAAGACAAATACACGCACTGTATCATTCACCTGTGTAGCTGGCAGTTACTCTGCGCATGGCATCTAAAAACGCTCGGTCAACCTCGAGCCTCCTGGAAAATTAAGTCGGTTTAGATTCTAGTGGTTTGTTCGGTACCGGTTCTTATTGCATTGGCAAGGTGGGGGTTATGAATTATGGCTTCTGAAGTACCCCTCCCCTCACATGGGGTATGAAACCAGCTCCCGGGATAAGAAACCCCCAGGCCAAGCTCCCGGTGTTATTGCCAAAGTTTACCTACTCCAAGCTGTCCTTGTTCGCATTGTTGGACGGTGCTGCAGCAGCGGGGCCCTCAGGGGTGACATATGCCTTGGACATACCACCATCCACCACAAAATCCGACCCGTTGACAAAGCTGCTCTCATCACTTGCCAGGAATACCACAGCCTGGGCCTGCTCAATGGCCTCGCCGAACCGCCCAGTCGGGAAATGGACCTCGCGGCGATGACGCTTGGCAGCATCGTCGCCTAACCAGTCCTGCAGCAGTGGCGTGTTGAGAGGCGCCGGGCACAAGCTGTTGAACCGGAACCCTTCACGGGCATGGACGATCGCCAGTTCCCTCGTAAGGGCGAGAACAGCGCCCTTGCTGGCGGTGTAAGCCAGCTGCGGGGTGGCAGAACCGACGAGAGCGACAACAGAAGCGGTGTTGATGATGCTACCACGCTGCTTCTTGTGACGGCGTAGTGCGAGGACGGCGTGCTTGCATCCGAACCAGACACCCTTGACGTTGATGTTGTGTGTCAGGTCCCAGATTTCCTCGGGGGTGTCGAGGGCGTCGGCGTCACGCGCGTGCATGATACCGGCGTTGTTGAAGATCACGTCAAGGCCGCCCCAAGAATCGAGGTACTCAACAGCAGCTTTAACGTCGGCCTCCTTGGAGACATCGGAGATCTGACAGTTGCCGGTATTGTCAGCATGGGTATTTGAGATGGGTCTGTTGATGAGCGATAAGCGGGGTGTGTTACTTTTGACTCAACGCGGCCGGCATTAGGCACAAGCTGTTTGACTTTGGCGACAGCCTTGTCTAGTGCCCCCTGTGAGATATCGGTAAGGAGGACATTGGCACCTTCTTTTGCAAATAAAATACTGGTCTCGAGACCAATGCCACTAAAGGGACGGTCAGTATGCCTCTCTCACACGCGCGGATGAAAGACAAGCTGGGCTTCCGTTTTGGGACGAGTGCTACCCCTCGGGAAGCTGGGCAGGGCGAACTTACCCGGCAGCACCGGTAATAATGGCATTCTTGCCCGCTAAACGGCCACGGCCCGAGGAAGACATTGTAGCAATCAAGAATGTGAACGAGAATTGCCAAATTTCAGGTGCGAACAACGACCTTGAGGATGAAGTTGGTGTTTATGGTCTTGAACAGGGCAGCGGGGTAAAGATAAGAGATTGGGTATGGATACATGCCCATAAACAGTGCGATAAGGGGTCATGGGATCACCAACCAGGGGCTCCTTCCACCTCGGTGGAATGTTGTATGTAATTTTTACCCACAAGTCGAACTCATATTGGGATAGTCCAGCGATTAATTGGACCTGATGGGGCAGACCGTCTGAAACAGAATACTGGGGACATCAGAAGCCATCCAGCCCATCGGAAACGAACCATCGAATATATCCGAAATCGGACATTCCCCCCAAAACCATCAGGACATACACTACTGCATCAAAGCGGGCAAACCCAATGGCACGCAGCTAGTACTGTATGTACAACACAATACACTAATTATGTCTGAGTGGAATTTACTACTTATTTACAAACCACACGTCTCACCTCAACCTCAAGCAATCCACTTCCACCCTTTGCCCTTCGCATCAGCCCATCTCACCCCAACACAGCACACGGTCGCGCACATCAACAGCGCCCCATCCCAGTACGCAATGCTGGCATACGCCCGCGCACCCTCCTGCGAATCACCCAACAACTGCCCTCCCACGGGGCTCCCAAACATCGTGCCCAGTCCCCTCACAAACAGGATAAACGCATTGACAGCCGCATACTGCCTTATCCCAAACACATCCGCCACCAACGCAGGGAACAACGCATAGTACCCGCCCGCGGAGAAACTATACAGCGCAATAAACGCCAACCAAAGCGAACTCGACGCCGCAGCCGCACTCGACAGCCACAGCGCAAACACGCTACACGCCGCCAACAGCAGGGTCAACACGAGCGTGTTCTGCCGACCTAACCGGTCACCGGCATAGCCCGTGAGGATGCGCGACGCGGCGTTGACGGCGCTGCTGGCTGCGAGGAGGTTGGCGCCGGTGGAGGCGCTCATGCCGAGGGTGACGGTGTAGGAGGGGATGAAGGATAGGGGGAGCTGGGCGCCGGCCGCTTGGAGGAAGGCGGCGACTGCGGAGAGGAGGAAGGTTGGGCGAGAGGCTAGGGCGCGGGAGACGTGCGTGTTGGGGCGGCCGGATTCTTCCGGTTGCTGCTGCTGCTGCTGCTGCTGCTGCTGCTCGCCAGGCTCCTCGGAATGAGGAGTACTGGGTTGGTTTTCGCTGGCCCCCGTGGCGAAACGGCTGCGTGGGACGGCCCAGGCGACGGGGAGGCCGGCAGCCAGACTAAAGATGGCGTAGATCCGGAGGGTCCAACGACCGCCGACGGAACTAAGCAGTGCCCGGATGACGGGTGAGAGAATGAGGCCACCAGCACCACCTCCAGCAAGGATCTAATGCGGTGCGCGCATCGCGACGCCCGTAGAATTAGCAAGCAGCTTCTTAAGGGTTGCCATGTTTGCAACCCGCCAGGGAACACTTACAAAACCCATAGCCGTAGCCCGATGATTCGTAAAATACTCCGGCGCCGGCGCCAGCAGCGGAAAATACAACAACGACATGCCCGAACCCACCAAAAACCCCTGCGTCAACAACAGCTGCCAGATCGATCGACTAAACGACGCCAGCAAGAACCCCAACGAAGCCACCAACACCCCCGACACCGTAATCGTCCTCGTCGTCAACGACCTCAACACCCTCCGACGCCAGAGCCGGCTCGACGGCGTCGTCGGCGCCCAGATGCCATGCTCGATGCGCGCAATGACGGGGTTCACTAGGATCCCGCCGGCCCAGGTGAGTCCGTAGCATAGCGTGCCGACAAAGGCGAGCAGGGCTGTTGGTAGTGGGGACGTGGGCTGTAGAGCTGGCGAGGGGACGAGAACGTCCTGGCGAGGAGAGAGGTAGTACTCTTGAAACACGCCGTAGCATTGGTTGTAGCCGATGGTCAGGGCTATGGTGGTGAAAGCGGAGAGAAGGACGGCGGCTTGCTTTTTGCGAGATATGGGTGGCAGTGTCGCCGGAGGGGTGGTGGTGGAGGGGGTTTCGAGGGCGGAGGGTCCGGACCTTTCGGTCCCGGTGTGCCGGGCCGAGAGACGGATCGGTTGGTCGACCTGGACCGTTGTCGTCATCGCGTCCGCTTTTTTGTTCCCTTTCCCCGGAGATTGAGGAAATCCTACGAGAGTACGAATATCGACAGTATATCCCCGCATTAACAAACTCTGGGGAAGGATTCAAAAGAACAAACCGGACCGGCGAGGCCCATTACTAGTACTTATTTCGTTAGGTTGCATCCTTCGGCCAGGTTCGGGGCACGGGAATGCCCGGGTTTGCACAGCGGGCCGAATGCAGGACAAGGGACCTCCGTCCGTCAGCCACACCGCGCTGGAATGTCAATTTGAGGCCGGCCGAGTAAGGGCCGGGGCTGGAGGGTTCCAAGCCTACAAAGCTGTGGTGTTACGCCCACTTACACGCTTGGTTCGCTTGGCTCGCAGGGGGTAATTATCGACGCCACGGCTTTCATCATGAAGTCAACATTGGCCTTTCTAAGCTATACGGCGGCCGCTCGCGCAACAGGAGCCAACATTTGTGTGAGTCCCTAGACTCAATGAATTTTTGGTTACTTTTTTTCGTTTTCTTTTTAAGGTTTATCTTGCCCCTGAATTACCCTAACCCTCACCTCTCTTAGTGCGCCCAACTCCAAGACGCTCTCGACACTAAGATCACCCTCCCCGGCCAATCCACCTACAACACCACTGAAAACTCATACTGGTCCCTCCAAGAAGCCAATCTCCAACCGGGCTGCATCCTGCGTCCCTCGTCACCCCAAGACGTAGCCAAAGCCGTGTCCATCATCGTCGGCGTCGACGGATGTACCTTTGCCATCAAGGGCCAAGGCCATGCGCCCGCCGCGGGATTCGCCAACATTGACGGCGGTGTGACGTTTGACATGACAAGTCTCGATAGTACAGTTCTCAGCCATGATAAATCCGTGCTCAGCGTCGGGGCCGGCGCATCGTGGTTGCAGGTCTATGAGTATCTTGACCCGTACAACCTGGCCGTGGCAGGAGGGCGGAATGGGCTAGTTGGGGTCGGTGGGTTGACGCCGGGGGGAGGTATCTCGCATTTTTCGCCGCGGGTTGGGTGGGCGTGTGACAATGTGGTGAACTTTGAGGTATGTCCTTGTCCCTAGCTCGTACAGTACACAACTCGAGTTTATGGGTCTATGACAGGGCCAGCGTTAACACTTTCCAGGTTGTCCTCGGAGACGGGACTCTCACCAACGCCAACCAAACCTCCAACAGCGATCTATACCGGGCCTTAAAGGGGGGCGTCAACAATTTCGGCGTCGTAACCCGCTTCGACCTGGCCACATTCCCCCAGGGCAACCTCTCGGTCACAAAGCTCGCCCACGACATTTCCCAGCGCAAGGCCGTCTTCCAGGCATTTACCGATATCGTGGTAGCCCCTAAGTTTGATGTTGACACGTCGCTAGTCACGGTGTTGTTGTATAACTCGACGTCCAAGGCGTGGGTTATCAGCAACTCGGCTGTGTATACGCAGCCGGTGGTGAACCCCCCCGTGTTTGCTGAACTTGCTGCTGTGCCAAGCGTTTCCAACAGTTCGGAGATCACTTCATTGGCGGCTTATGCAAAGGAAGCTGCCACACCTCCCCTGTGAGTCCCGGCTGATACCAAGCCCGTGACGGCTGTGTGCCATGTGTATGTGTGTATCAGTATGACTAACAACAAGCCAGAAACTGGCTCTTTGCCACAGCCACATTCAAGCCGTCAGCCAAGTTCATGCTGGACATTTTCGACATCCTCAACGGCACGCTGTACTCCTTTAACCCAGAGGGCGGTATTGTATGGAGTATTGCCCTGGAGCCCCTTCCGGCCGTTCTGGTATCCCATGCAGCCAAGACGGGCGGCAACGTCCTCGGTGTCAGTCCCGAAGATGGCAATAGTTATGGTAAATTGGCCCGTCCCCGATTACATTGCATTGCATTACGGCATTACAAGAGAACAAACCAGCGCTGTGCTAACTCGCCTCCTCTCAGTCATGCTCCTCTCGGCCCTCTGGCCCAACTCTGCGTCCAATCCGGCTGTCGACCAGATCTCACGCGAGCCTGTCGCCAAGATTGAGTCCCAGGCGCGGGCAAAGGGGTTGCTGCAGAAGTTTCAGTACATCAACTATGCCGCGCCGTACCAGAAACCTCTGGCGTCGTATGGAGCGAAGAATCTTGAGTTTCTGAAGGGAGTGAGCAAAAGGTATGACCCGGAGGGGGTGTTCCAGACCCGGGTGCCTGGAGGGTTTAAGCTGGCGTAGGATTGGATTGCTGTGTGCCATCGAAGAAGGAAGTAATCGCCATGTAAAACTACGAGGACCGATACCTCCTTTATACATATCTAAACTGAATACAATCAGTACAAACCCCGCCGCTCACACAAACTGCCCCTCGGTATTCCCCTCCCCCATACTCTTGCTCCCCGAACTTCCACTCTGAATATGCCCCAACACAGCATCCACATAGTTCGCTCCCGACCACTTCTGATGCGTTAACACATCCACCCCCAACTCTTTCTCCCGCTTCTGCACCAGCTCCACATACGCCGCCATCCCCTCCCCCTTAAACCTCCTCGCCAGCTCCGAGCTAATCGTCGCCGTGCTATGCAACCCGGCCAAGCTCACCAACTGCAGCACAAACCCTTCCCGTGCAATATCCCAAATGAAACCCTTCAGCGTCTCCGGCGTAAACCCATGCGCCATCCAGTTAAACGACGGCGACAAGTTATACACCAACGCCTTCCCCGGGTACCGCGACCGCACCGCCCGACCAAGGTCAGTGCACACCTGCACGTTGGGATCCCCCGTCTCGACCCAGAGCATGTCGGCGTAGGGCGCGAATGCCAACGCCCGCTTCGTGGCGGCCTCCATGCCCGCGCGGAAGTGGTAGAACCCTTCACGCGTGCGCGGGACGTCCCAGTTCCAGTACACGGGCTGGCCCGGGGTGAGGGACTCGGCGAGTTTGCGGCGGGCGGTGATGCCCATGTCGCGATCGGCGGTTACGGCGCTGGTGTAGGTGGCTGCGACGCGGTCGGGGCTGACGCGGTGGGTTTGGAAGTGTGCCGCGGCGGCCTCGTCGAAGGTGACGAGTTTGGTGGATTTCACCCATTGTGCTTCGAAGGTGTCGATTTCGGCGCCTGTGGCTCCGCGGGATTCCATGGAGGCTAGGGTCTCGGCGAGGGATTCCACGGCCGGGTCGGCTACGCCGAGGATGTACTCGTGGTCGCGCACGTCGATGGACGACGACAGCAGCTTGCCGCTCTCCGAGTCGGTGCGAGCGATGACCAAGTTCTCGGTGCCCATGACGTCCCACTGGAACCGCGCGGCTTTGAGCCGGTTGATGTGCTCCCCCGTGGGAACCAGCACTTTCCCCGCCAGGTGGCCGCACTTCTTGCCGCCGTGCATCTGGTCCTCGAAGTGCACCGCCGCGGCGCCGTTCTCCGCAAACAGCTTGGCCAGCTTCATCACCGCCGTCAGGCCGCCGTGGCCGGTGTCGCCGTCGGCGATGATCGGGCGGAAGTAATCCACATACGGCGTCTTCGCGCGATCCTCAGGCGTCTTCAGCTGGGACTGCCGCAAGTGCCACTGCTTCCGATCGTGCATGCTCTGCGCCTTGAACATGCGCTGCACCTGGTTCGGCACGGTGTTGTAAGGGTAGTCGCCGAAGTCGGGCGACACCTCATTGGTCGTCGTCAGCAGCGACGAGCACGCCCACCCGGAGATGTACAGCACTTCCTGGTGCGGCGCCTGCTGCGTCATTTGGATGGGGTCGATCGCGCCGAGCGTGTGGATTGGTGCACCTGCGGCCTCGCGCTCGCGCACTAGGTTCCAGAGCTTGCGGGCCATGACGGAGCTCGGGTATGACTGCTGCAGCGAGCCGCGCTTGCTGACGACGTCGGCGGCTGTCCAGTCACGCTTGATGCCGGTATACCGCGGCGAGGCCCACCATGCCTCGACTTCCTTTACTTGCTGCTGGTGGAGCGCATCCTCAGCGGCGCCGGCCTTCTGGGTTTCGGGGAGGAGCTGGTAGGATTTGGAGGGTGCCGTGGACGGGAGGGAGGGGTCAAGAGGTGGGAGGGAGGAGGCCATTCGGCTTGTGGTGGACAGCGGTCGGAGGGATGTTCGTGGAGTTGCTGCTGGCGGGTTTGCCTGGCATATAACCCGGTTCAGCGATGACAGCGACCGTACGGATCCGGTCCGCCGGGTGATGCGCGGGGCGATTGTACGCAGCATTGAACCGCTATTGGGGTTTCAGAAACGCCGAACGTGATGTTGGCTACTGCTGCTCGTGTCGGCGTCGTTGAACAACCAGCTTAGGGTGAATGGCGGAAGTTTGGTGGTTGAAGTGCCCATCTCTGGTGGCGTCGAGACTTTGTTGACCAAGGCCGAATCGCGGGGCCGAAGATACCCGGTGGACCGCTCGGCTCGGGTTCGGCACTTCGGCGGACCGGAGCGTGTTGATTCCAGGGTTGGGGTTCGGGTTGGGGTTAGGGTTAAGAACAACAACCCCAAATCACTCGAAAACCATCACCTCCCTCAACACTGCAAGGTGGTGACGCTTTCATCGCAGCGGACATGGTCAGTGAGAATGGTCAAATAAGCAGTGTGGCATTAAGGGAGGTGAGTTGTCCTGCTGCAAAGCGCAAGGAACGAAACGGTCATATATTCGGCGGCACCTGCGCTTTACCACAACCATCCATTTCCGCCTCGTCGTTATTAGACGCTGTTTGGGGTGCCGTGTTGGCTGGGACTGATGGGCTTTCCCCGGCGTCGGGGGTGCTCCCCCCCTCCGCCTCGGCTTCCGCCATAAGTGTATCAAGGTCGTCACCGTCCTCGAAATCCGAGGATTTCTTAGCCGGCTCAGTCGCAGGCTTCGCAGCGGTTGTTTGTGACGGCAGCTTCTGAGTTTGTGCCACAGGCCGCATCTCCCTCTCTGCTTCCACTTCGGCCATCAAAGCGTCCAGGTCATCGTAATCGTCCTCGGGCGCTGGTGCTGCTTGCTGCTTGGGTAAGCCGTTCCCAAATATACTTGCTCCCTCAGTGGACGGAGTTGGCTTGCCAGCAGGTGGCCGTGACGCCTCCTCTGCTTCCGCCTCGGCCATTAACGCATCAAAATCGTCGTCATCCGGTACCCCCCCGGTGGCAGGCACCACAGCCCTTGGGCCCCCGTTCCCAAATATGCTCCCAGCCGGCCGGGAGGGTCCAGAATCCGCCTCAGCTTCGGCCATCAACGCGTCTAAATCATCGTCGTCTGGGATACCACTATCCACCACCTCGCCAGGCGGTGCGGCACCGGACGCATTCCGCCTTGGTGTCGCACTGTAGATGTCGTCCCCGAAAAGGCTGTCCCCGCCTGGGGATTTCGCTCGGTCCCGGCCAGCTGCCGCGGCGTTCTCAAAAATTGGCGCGACCCCTTCCCCTTGCCGGGTATCAGAAGTGTGGATGCGATTGTCCTCGTCGTCGAACGGGTCAGCTACCTTGGGCTTGCTCTCGTCAATCCATTTCAGTCGCTCATTGCGAATCGTCGTTTTGTGGCCGGTCTTCTCCACCATGGCCAATGCATCGAGGAAGGTGGCTTTTGGAAAGAGGTCGTCGAGCCATTCTTGGTAGAAGGAGAGGAGGCGAGCAGCGTCCGAGAACTGCAAAGGGGGTTAACTGACTAGTTGCAAAATACACCTGGAACATGCGCATACCTCGTGGCCTTTCCCCTTGAGTTTCAACCTTGGCGCCGTCTTTCGGAGCTTTGGTATCCCCTTGTCCGAAAGTAGGCTTTAGTGGCCGGTGTTAGTCCACAGTGGAAGGAACAGGTAAGGCGCGTGGGTTACAACTCACCGAGCGTCGTCAAGTTTTACTCGCGGAACTCTTGGTTTCTTCTTCAGGTCCAGCTCTGTGTCAACACCCAGGACATCCTTCTTCTTTCCCTTCTCAGCATCTTGTTTTGCGGGTTCGGGGCTCAGAGACCGGAACGGGTCGTCGTCCCAATCGGCGAGGTAGTCGTCGACAAAATTTCTATTCCCTTTGTTCTTTGAAGAATCTGTCGCCTTAGAGGCCGTTTTAGCGGGCATTTTCGCGGTGTGGTGTGCTTTTTGGTGTTGTCTTGAGGATTCAATGTTTTGCGACTTGACCCTTTAATTGACAAGGAATTCTTGGGAGACGCGTTTGCTCAGCGTGTCGCGTCAAACGAGCCCCGCCATCTGTGTGGCTAGTGCGAAGTGCTATTTGTGGCGCACGCTGAGGCGCTAGCAATGCCCCACACAACCGATGCAGCCTGAGGCAGCGGCAGCTCGAGCTTCACGCAAGCTTCCCGCATCAGAGACTCGACTTTCAATTGCCCCCCAGTACATCGCGATTCCTCGACGACGCCTTGCAGGCCGCCAAGATGTCGAACCCTAACACCCAGACGTACTCTTGGCCGAGCAAGGTAGTCGAGTCTGAGTTCCCAGTAAGTCAAAAGCCCAATTGCTAGCCCCTCAATGCGAGAAAGTCGCTAACCGTTGAAATCAGCTCATCGACAACGACCCGTATGTTTTGCGCTGCTCTTCCCCAGTCGCTCCGCTTCCGACACGATAGATTTCGATTCTCGATGATTCTGACCGAATTGCCTGCCACAGACACTTCACGCGCGTGATCCGATATGCCCGGACATCAGATTACGTCCACGGGGCCACAGCCGCTGCGGCTGGCCCCGGTGCGCTCTGGCTGATGGAGAGATTCGCCCCGTCGCAGGCTGGCAAGGGAGGTTTTGCTAAAGCTATGCGGTTGACGGGCTTCCTCGGCTTGGCCGGCGGTTTCCTCTACTATTATCAGCGCTCTATCCGTACGTGATGCGATTATTCCATTGAGATCAGCCCCCGGAGTCTCTGGACGATATACCTGTTGTTTTTGAGGATCGTGCGGGGTATTGAGAGGTTTCTGCTGGCTTGGGCTTGGGACGAAATGCTGACTGTGGAAATCTGTGCAGTCCGCTTCTACGGCATGAGCGAGAACGCCCGCGAGATCGAGATGGACATGCGCGAGATGGTCGACAAAGTCAAGGCCGGCGAGCCGCTGTACGGCGTGAGCAAGCTGTCCCCTGCAATGCAGGGTGTGGCTGCCCGCCAGTCACGTTACTCCGCGCTCTTTTTCGGCGTCCTCCCCTGGTTCAACTTCGTGAACCACAACCAACACGGTGTCGACACGGCCAAGTACTATCAGCAGGCGGAGAGGGAATTGGAGGCTGAGCGTCTCGGCAAGACTTCGTCATGAGCGGTGTGAAGTTAGGTGCGGGGGCAATTTGGGTACGGAAATGGGTTGGGAGGAGTTCAGCGGCGAGGCACCAAATTCTTTGTTCCGAGGGTGCTAGGTGTACATACGACAGGCGGCCAGATGACGGCCAATGTGGCCCTACGGCCAAAAGGCTGAGGGCCGAACAACAACTTTTTTTGCGTCCACAACATGAGATTCAACTATGATGGTTACTAAACTATGAAGTTTACTGTCCGGCTGACGCACCGAATGTTGTTGCCAAAAGGAGCATGAGAGAGGGGTATTTTGGCATATCATGGTGACATTTTTGTACCACATGCGACTGGAAACAGTAGGTTTGGTTTTAACGATTTGAGTAAACTAGCTGGCGGACGCTATGCAGACAGATATCTTTCCTTCACAGCCACCAAGAGCCCGACTTTCCACACACTCGCTACTCACTTCGACCCAGCTCCACACCGCTCGGAATCTAGGACGCTCAGTCAACTAAAGAGATGCGCTCCCAAATTTCAGTTCATCCCAAGTTCAGTCACATCGCAGCACTTAGGAGGCAGGCGAGCAGGTCTCCTCGCAGCCGCTGCAAGCACCGCCGGGGGTCTCAGTGGTACCGCCAGCGTAGACGGCGGGGCCCGGAGCGACATAGTCGGACATGGCCGAATGGATGTCGATGGTGATGCCCGGGTCGGAGGAGGCGTACGCGCCCGGGAAGTTAACAAGCTCCGGCGAAGCGGAGCCCGAGCCGCCGTCGACAGTGATCTGGTAGCAGCTCATGTAGAACTGAGCACCGCCGGCGCTGGAAGCCGTGTGCAGGGCCAGGGCCTCAGCACGCAGCAGGTAGTCGCCCGACTCGATGTCCGTCGGGATCGGCACGTCCATCTTGCCGCAGCAGGTGCTGAGGTCGCGCGTGCCCCAGTTGTCGTCGTCGCCCACGCTGCCGCCCTCCTTCTTCGACCAGGCGTTGGAGAAGATCTTGAACCAGCCGCTGGAGCCGTCCGCCGACTTCGCGTCGTCGACCTTGGTCAGGTACACCTGCACGGGGCCGTAGTGGGCGCCGCCGATGGCCTCGTTGCTGCAGCTGCGGTCACCGGGTTGCTGGGGGGGGGGGGGGGGGGGGGGGGGGGGGGTGTTAGCGGGTGATCGAGTAAGTCCATACAAGCATGTACCGTCTGGGGGTGCTAATCACTCACCTGGTGCATCTCGATGGTCACAGTGCCACCCGCCTTCACAGCGCAAACTTCGGCGGCCGGGCTGGTACCGGAGTTGCAGGCAAAGTCGTTGCCAGTAACATCAGTCACCGGCGAGTTGCTTCCCGGCAAACGGACACAGGTGCCCTGGTGCTAAGCATGTTAGTTTTTGGGATCCAATACTCGATGAGGAAGAGAAAGACTTATCTTGTCGACGCCGTCCACCCAGAGTTGCTGGAAGGTAGCATGGGCAGCGACCTTACCCGCGGCCAGAGCGGCCACAGCAGCGGCGAATGTTGACTTCATGGTGGCGGCTGTTTGAAGCTTAGAGTTCACTAGCTTAAGATCGGTTTGTCAGGGGGGAAAGGGAGGCGGACCAGCTCACGTTCCCCCCAAGGCCGGGCGAAGCTATATCTATATATACCAGACGACCGACCCCCGGTCGATACCAAGCTTTTTCACCAACTGCAAGCCACGTAAGAACCAAGCAGCGCATCCCACGCGGTTACCCGGCACCGGCTCCAAGACCATGCTTCCCGATCCAACAAGGGAAATCTCAACGTCCGTCCATGAGAACTGTGTTTCTCTCCCCCATCCCCCCCCTTTCCAAATCCCTCTCGGTCCTTCTCCCGCATGACTGAAGATCAATTGCAACACTCCCTTATTCAGTCATTCCCTCGTCTACCGTCAATCCTTACCCGCCCCGGACTCGTATAAAAGCACTGTACCCCAGGTTTTCTGCGCGTCTCTCCCATAACGCGGGGCCGGCAAGGCGGGTTCATCAACTTCTCGAGAGTCTGCTGCCCACCAGGCAACCCAGGCATGGGGCGAGGCAGAACGGGACGTGCGCATTGGCTGGGGCGGTCTGGGATCGCTGGGAAGGGTTAATATATTCGATGGAGAAGGCCGTCAATTTATCCGGCTTGAACGGACGGAGTTTCCGGTTGGGATCGGCGGATCTGACAGCGGAGACGGGGGTCACTAGGGCGTTGAGAAATGTTCTTGTTCCGGTTATATGGAGACTTTACAGCTTGTTGCGTTGTTGCCGAGCCGTGTTGTCATTTGACTTGTGAGTGAAGAACTGGGTTCTGCGGAGGGAGCTTGACCAAGAAATGAGTGAGATGTTTCGGGTTTGAGTCGGGCAAAACATCTCGGGAAAAAAGAGAGCGAGGTTGTCTTCGCATCGATCTTGAAAAGGTCTCTCGGATCGGTGGAAGGAAGAATTGGACTGTTTCGGGCGAAGATCGTCACCAAGATGATTTTCCCGGTTTCGAAGCTGGATGGAGACTCATGCTGGGTGTCCATCACCAGAACGAGAAGGGGACGCGAGTTTGGGTGCATTCGATCAACATTTCTTCAGGAAGTTTCCTGGCTTGAGGATTCTAGGAGACGGGGTTATCTATATTTAGGGGCGCTTTAAAACATTGCAAGACAAATTCTGAACCAAAGTGTTGTTAGAGTCCTGGAATTCAAGATCCTGGTTGTCCTCAAAGTAATTACCCATGGCCACTTATCTGCGGTGACAGACCAAAGGTATGAGCTCTCAATCTATGTTCGTCGGTACTGTCCGTGGGGGTAGATGCGTGGTGTAACTGAGGATGTTGTGTCTTGTCAATATTGAAACGGGTGCAAAACGTTGGGTGATGAAAACGAAGATACGGCGCAAAAAGGAAAATATGAATAATGAGAGTAATATTCAATCGCGTTCACTTGACGCTGCAATAAACAATACACAAATTTGAACCCGGGTTTGGTGGTGGGATTTTGACATCGTCATGGAGGTCAAATCAATAATTGATTGCACTGACCCAATGACGGACGTACGTTAAGAAACAAGCGGTGAACACTTGGAAGGCGTCAATGGCCGGAAAGATCCACAAATTGAGTCCATTCAAAATCCCGTCATGAATCAAACATCTTTCAAGGAACATCGTGTCCCGGTGTACTGATTATTTCAAGTATTGGCGTTTTGTAGTCATCCCTCTCGCTCAACACTTCTAGATCTCATCCCCGTAAGTACACTCTCAACCACAGAGAATAATTATTTCCGTCTCTCATGGTCGGTCTTCAACTCCTGCGCCCTCGGGCTAATTTAGAGTCCCATTTTACGCATCTGTTTCGTTGTCGTTATTTGATTAGCATGCAGTCGGGACGAACAGTCCAATCAACGTTCGACACTGACATACGACAGCTGTCGTGCTCGGGACCTCTTCTCGTCTCCCAGTCAACCCAAGGCCAAAGTGGGCAGAATCAGTTCTTCACCCTATTACCCAACCAAAATAATTACCACCGTTTTTGAAGCTGGTAGCCATCACCAGCGTTAAATATTTAGGCCGGAATGCCTCTTATTCGAATACCCATTGTCGGGCTGGTGGCCGGCCAGTTGGCGTCTATGAGCGCCCCTGGCTTCTTGTCAAGCGTCACCGCTTTGGAACATGACCCCCTGATCCCGGCCCAGGCCCAAATCATTGATCAACGAAGCTTCAATGTTCTTCATGACGTCCCGCCTGCGTCCGAAGCCAACGGGTTTACGGTATGTGTGATTCAGCTTCTCCCATTGAATACACCTGAACTAATATGGCGTTAGCCTTTCATCCCGCCAGGAACAACCTTAGAGTCACTTCTGGCCCAGCCTTTTCACATCTATGATGAGCAATTCCTGGAAATCATCGGGCCCAATCCAACGTTAACCTTGCTCAACCATACCGACTCGGACCCGATATTCCATGAAGCTCCTGTCTGGTAAGTGTCTCTTCATTGTGTCATGATTCATCCCAGCGAAGTGTTGATTATTGTTCAAGGTATCCTGCCAAGGATGAGATGTTCTTTGCCCAAAACGCCGGAGCGCCCGCCGCAGGAACTGGCCTGGCCAAGTCTGCCGTGATTCACAAGATCTCGCTGGGCGACATCACGCCCGAGATGTCGAGCAAGAGTAATGCCACGGGCTCGGTAAAGGTGGTGGAGGTGAATGAGATGCCTGACGTCGTAAATCCTAATGGTGAGCCCGGTGTGGTTCCTGGCTGATAGTTTTGTCCCTGAACTGACCGAGAATAGGCGGAACAAACTACAAGGGCCAACTCTTGTTTTTAGGAGAGGGTAAGGGTGAAAACATTGCCTCGGCGATGTATCTCGTGAGCCCAGAACCTCCATACAACACCACCGGTAAGGACCTCCTCATAACATCAACAAAACTACGTCTGACGGGAATACCTGCAGTAATTCTGGACAACTTCTTTGGCCGCCAGTTCAACTCCCTCAACGACGTGTCCATCAACCCGCGCAGCGGCGAGATCTACTTTACCGATCCCACGTACGGATACAACCAGGACTTTCGGCCAGCTCCGGGGTTACCTAAACAGGTGTGGCGGTTTGACCCGGACACCGGGGCCGTGAGGGTGGCTGCAGACGGGTTCAACATGCCAAACGGTACGTAGCCTGGGGATATAATTATAATACGGGATAACTGCTCATGAAAGACGGTAAATGATAACCCTAACCTCATTGTGTTGCCGCCTAGGAATCTGCTTCTCCCCCGACGGCGGCCACGTCTACGTCACCGACACAGGCGCAGCCCAAGCCTTTTTCGGAAGCAACTTTACCTTTCCTTCCACCGTGTAAGTCAAGCCAACATCCCTCCCGTTATTCTCTCATTACCGTCCCACCGTAGTAGACCCTGCTACTGACCATACAAACCTCGTCTCCCAGCTACCGCTACACCGTCGACCCCCAAACCGGCATTCTCCACGACCGCACCACCTTCGCCTACATCTCCCCCGGCATCCCCGACGGCATCCACGTCGATACAAGAGGAAACGTCTACCTCGGCTGTGGCGACGGCGTGCACGTGTACAACCCGGCGGGAAAGTTGTTGGGCAAGATTTATGTGGGTGGCACGTCGGCGAATTTCCAGTTTGCGGGCCGGGGGAGGATGGTGATTCTTGCGGAGACGAGGGTGTATTTTGCGACGTTGGAGGCGGAGGGGGCGTTTCCGGGGGTGTTATATGAGTAGGTGGATATGGAAGATTTCGGGGTGGTTAATTCCAGTGTGGAGAGTTGGTTGGGTGGATAGCCACAGGTTTCGGTTCGGTTTTATGAGTCAGTAAGCCATGATGGGTATTTTATTAGGCGTGGTCACCACTGGGTTAATTATGCACACAAGTCATGAAGCCAAAGAAGAAAAAATCATCAAGTTCCATTACATCCCCCGATATCCTCTCAGCTGTACCGCGTGGACTGATATTCATGCCCGTGAAGCTCCGTCCCCCCATACTGCCCCGGAAACTCGTGGATTTCCTGCCCCGTCGGCATTTCCGCCGCCCATCTCGGTGGGTATGCATACCCTCCCGGTACCTCGACGGCCGAAGCTGCCGAATCTAATTCTCGAGCATTGGGCGGCGGATACGGAGAGGGCGTTGTGCCGGATGTCGGGGTGGCCAAGTATTTGTAGTCCCCTCCCGTCAGAGGGATACCAGCCCCAGCCCCAGCTCCAGCTCCGGCCCCCGTCACGTCCAGCTCGGCCGGACCCAGCGCCGCCTTAGCCTTTTTCCTTTTCCGCAGGATCATCAAGAGCGCCATCACACCCAAGAGGATACCACCCAATGCCGCTCCAACAGCGATACCGGCAATCGCCCCTGTAGAAAGCCCGTCCGAAGAGGTGGACGGCACACCCGTGTCTGTCCCCGAGTGACTTTGCCCACTACCACTATTACCGCCACCCGCAGACGACGTCCCTTCGGACGACTGCGACGCCCCTGTTACGCCCGTCTCCCTCGTCAAGCCCGCGCTGGAACGCGATGAAGCTGCTGATGCCGAAGACGCACTTTCTAGGTCGGATGCTTGGAAGTTGAGCTGGTACATGGGCGCTAGGAGAGACACCTCCCCCACGTACACCGTTGTTCCCGTGGCGAGCGCGCCGTCGCTGGAATCTGTTGTGGTCGCTGTGACGTCGACGAGCAACGGGACTGTGACTGGGGATACGCTGACCAGGTTTGTTCCAGCGCAGAGCGCGGTGGTCACCGTGAGCGACGTTCTGCTGGCGATGCAGGTGTTGCCGTTCCTGTTCGCGCATTCGAAGCCCCTACCGACAACGGTGGGTTAGTTGGTCCATTTGTATTTCGAGAAGAAAGGATCCCGGTTTCTTGTTTTTTTTTTTTTTTTCATTTCCACCTCATTTTTTACGCTTCACGCTTTGTCACAGCCACGGGTATGCACACAGTACAGAACTCAAACATACTCAGGACAGCACCCGATCGCAGTCTCTCCGGGTATCAATGTAAACTCAATATCCCAACCCGACCTCCCACCGTACTGCGCCGTGCAAGCGGTCGTGTAGCCTGCCGGGCAAGCGAGCCCGGGGGAGTAGAAGCCCCATCCGACGAACGGGTAGCGCGGCGTCCCGGCGAGACTTGTCGTGGGCGGCCAGCAGGTGGTGTGGTCCTGTGGCGCCCCCCTTCCGTCCGTCGAGACGCATTGCTGGCCGCGGAATCCGCCATCGCATGTTGGGCAATTGAGCACATGGACGGTGCAGCTGTCCGGCATCGTCCATGTTGTTGTCAGCGGGCCGAGCGCGGTCCCTGGCAAGCCGGTAAACCCCATTTTCGTCGGCGGGCGGGTGATGGATCGCAAAGTGCTGGTAGCTACTGACCGCGCGGTCTGTCGTGTGGTCGGATGTGGTCGAAAGGGAGAAAGAACCTAAAGCTTTCCAAGGGAACCGCGTCGCACGGGAGAGGAAAGGAGAAGAGAGGAAAAGTTAGGTTGAATTTGACGGGTTCGTTCTCGCTTGCGGCGAAGGAGCGGCGGGCGCGCTGGCTGACGCCCAGTGACTTTTTCAGCCCATTTTCCCAATCGGGTCTCATTATGTTCTCCCCCCTCACCCCTTCCTCCCCTTGCGGCTAACGTTACCAAGAACTGCCCATTGCCAGGACCAAACCCACGATCAACTCTGTCATTGGACACACAAGCGCCGATGCTCGGCTACTAGTACGGAATCGTTTTGTTACGGGGTTTGTCCAATCGTCGTTCGTTGTGGTATTTGTGTTTCTGGTTCTCTCGGTGTCGTTCGATGCCACTGTCTGTCGCTTCGCCGCGCTTTTGCGCCAGGAACGGGCCTGGACGAGACCTTTTCCGGTTCTAACGCTGGAATTGGCAGCTCTCTTGAAATCCTGCGTGGTGGGCTCGAAGATGTGGTTGGTTCATTTGCGCCTGGTGCAACGGTCGCCCCATACTTAAACAAGCCGAGGTGGAGCCGGCGGTAATAACCTCAAAGTGCTATGCGTGCGTGCGTGCTTTCGGATGCTTCTTGTAACGTTATGCGAGATCCTGCACTTGCAACCTCAAGCACCTAGAATCAAGGTCACTTGATGATAAACAGATCTACACTACCCATAGGTAGTTACTTCGATGGATGCAGTTTGAAACGTACTAAATCCTTCATTGCTTCAATGAAGAGCTGCTTTGTGCGTCTTCACGTGTAATTTGCTGTGGTTTGCCCAGGCAAGCTAGGCCCGGGAAGTCCCTTCTCACCGTCTTCAATACCGACAACCCTGGCCCCTGGTCTGAAGCTGTTCTCCAGTCTCCACAAAATCGCGGCAGTGCTATCGCCAAGTTCCATTCCATCCCACAACAACCGCGACAACCTTGAAAGACGACTCGCACGAAATCACCACGTTCGGCGTTGCGAAACCGACGGCGCAAGCCATCCCCTTTGTGGCGGTCAACCCCCCTTCATCGGCAGACACGCGCGGCTGGTACTAGCAACCGAACCCCCGGCGCACCGATAACCATGACAGGCGCAAAGCGGTCTCTAGCCGAGTCCGACAGCTCCGACCAGCTGGACCCTCGACATCACGGCGCCCTCGACGACATCCCCTCACCACCGAGCCCCGCACCACCCACCAAACGCCGCCGACTAGCACCACAACCCCAGACCCCTCTACCCCTCGCCTCATCACCCTCCTCCTCGACCCCGGCAATCCCCCCACCATCAGGCCGGGACCTCCTCACCCCCCTCTCCGACGAACTCCTCCTGCGCATCCTCTCCTTCCTCTCCCTGCCCCACCTCCTCGCCGTCGCACCGGTATCGCATCGCTTCTACGATCTTGCGGCTGACTCACAGTTGTGGAAGGCGCTGTACTATGGCCGGTTTGTCTTGCCGCGCGCGATGCGCATTCCTGGGTTTCGGGATGGGACTGCTGGGGGTGGAAGTGGGAGTAACAATGGGAGTGGGAACGGGCATAAGCTACATTACTCTGGCAGGAGGCGGCTATGGGCAGATGGGAGACGGGGTGGTGTAGTGAGGCAGGACGAGGACATTGGGCAAAGCAGCGCGGGTAGGATACGGAATGGATTGGGGTTAACGAAACAGGAGCATCAGCTCGAGAGCCCGGTCGGGCGTCGGAAAGAAGAGGAGGAAAAGGAGTTTCAGCCGGTGAACTGGAAGCGTCAGTACAAGATCCGACATAACTGGGCGAGGGGGAAATGCGCAGTGGAAGAACTGAAACTTGGCCACGGGGCGGATGATGGTGGGCCGCGGAGGAAGATGCTGGTCAAAGTGGTCGAGGGTATTGCCGTGACGGCTGACAAAACCGAGGGGCTCCGGGCTTGGGATCTGAAGACGCGGAGTTTGATTGTTGGGATTGAGATAGGGGAGGTAGGCAGTGATGCGGAACCGAGTTGCATCGCTGTGGACGAGGCCGAGTTCGAGCGAGGGGTGCTTGACATAGCCCTTGGGTTTGATGATGGCAGCTTTGGTGTGTGGAGGCTATTGACCAAGAAGCGGCAGATGGATTGCCGGTACCGACATGAGAAGTCGAGCAACGGGGACTTGGTGGCCATGGCCTTTTCCTACCCTTACCTCCTGACGGCAACAAAGGCGGTTCTGGTCTCCTTGTACACCTTTGACGTGCCGACGTCGACTGGAAAGGACACAGCGGATCAACCGCCGAAACTACCGGGTGAGGAGACTTCGAAGTTGGACTCTCCCTACCTCCTGACATCCCTCGATTCGTACACCTCGAGGCCTCCGCTGGCGCTATCCCTTCGCAGGACCCGGAGAACCACCGTCGCGTCCGTGGCCTACACATTTTCGACCCGACGAGGCTGGTCCATAGGACTCCAGGACCTGCACATCCACCAGCCAGCAACAGGCATTCAATCCACTCCCGAAATCACCTCCACCCGGATCGCCTACACCACACCGGTCGAAACAATCGGGCCTTCCCGTCCGCCTCTCAGTCCGCCAGCAACCCCTCACCGAAAGCCGCATAATAACTACTCTGGCAGTGCTGGGTGGCCTAGTACCCCCTCAACCACTGCCACCTCATCAAGCCCTATCGACCCAAACGTGGCCGCCGTTGAACCAGGCCCAACAACCCTCTGTTACACCCACCCCTACCTCCTCGCCACCCTCCCCGACAACACCCTCGTCCTGCACATGTGCACCTCCACCGCCTCCTCCCTCACCATCGCAGAGGGCATCCGCCTTTGGGGCCACACCTCAGGTATCAGCGACGCCGAGATCACCGCCCGCGGCAAGGCTGTCAGTGTCAGCTCGCGCGGCGAGGAGATGCGTGTTTGGGAACTGGAAGGACGGTCCGCCGCGACTGCTGCTGCGGGCGGCGGCGGCGTGGGTGCTAGTAGTCGGAGTGTGGAGATAAGGCCAAGGCAGTGGCTGGCGAGACCTTCGAGGTCTGTTGATGCTGTGACTGGGGCGGGGTTGGACAGCCCTGCTGGTGAAGGTCGAGGCGAAGGTAATGGGGAAGGCGTTGGCGAAGGCAGGGGTGAGGGTGAGAATAGGAGGAGGACGGAGGAGGAAGGGGGTGACCTCGGCCTGGGCCTCGGCGACCCGGCCCGCGACTGGGACGAGAGGCGGAATTGGGTTGGATTTGACGATGAGATGGTGATTGTGTTGAAGGAACGGAGAGGGGCAAGGGAAAGCCTCATGGTCTACGACTTTACATGAATGGTTGGCTCTCTGGGCCGCTGGTTCACTAGTCGCTGGCATTGCCGGCGGCGCTGGTAATTGGGAATTGTTGACATTGATTGGGTTTCCCAGGGCAGGGGGTGAATGAAGACAACTCCTCTCTTCTCCTGCTTGGCCCAATCAGCCAGCCTAGGTCGGCCGCGATTCGTCGCCCGATTTTTGTTTGGGTTTCGGCATTGAAGCTAACCGCCACAACGGGCTGGTCTGGGGGACCGAAGCCATTGGCCAACGCGAAGGTCTCACGACCTGGCCGGATGGGCGCACTGTCGGCCTCTTGCACGTCTTCTCGACTCGACTCGAACCCCCTTCCCGTCGTAACAACAATCGGGGGGCGGGGGTAGGGGTAAACGCGAGTCCGTTTTTCTACAACGACTTCCACCGAAGATTCCAAGGTTCTAAACCCCACCGAGTGTTGTTCCTCTCGGAATGCTCACCGAGCCATAACACAAGGCGCATCGCACGAGCTTCCTAGGCTACGCCGGTGAATCCCACCATCATCAAGGTAGCCTGCACCCATGCGGACGCTCTCGGCCGATGCCTTTGCCAATTGCAGACGGCCTCAACTCACGAGCCTTGGTTCCTCGGTCATGAGTCAGTCGCTGCTTCATGAGTGGTGCCTCCGAGGCATTGATGAATGTGACAGATCAACACCTCTTCCCCTCCCAGGCAGCGTCCCGTCCTCCGTGTCAAGGCTGCCATCGAGTGGTCCTACAACAAAGGAGCCTATGGCAGTCGAGAATTGGGTTTGGACATGGCCATTCCTGACGCATTGAGCAACGGTAGTACCGCCGTGTTGTCCCCCTCCAGAAGACTCATCGCAGGCCTCACTTTGTGATGTGGACCTGTGGTTGTCCGTCCTTGGCCCTGTCACCTTCGCTAGCCAGCCCTTGTACACAGTGCAGTGTTGCCTGGCATGTGGCAATCCCACGCCACGCCAGAGGTAGCAGGAGATTGGAGAAATGAGGAAGGCAATAAACAAAACGGTAAACATAATTTAGCAAATATTGGGTGAGGAAGAGGGGGTTCTTCCATCATCAGTCTTCACTCAGCCTTACAACGTCCTCGACCTACGAGCTGCAGAGAAGGTCCGCTGCTCAGTTTCAGCCCTTTCCGAGGACGACGTCATGGCTAATCGCAACTGCAGAAGGCGTCTTGTGTACCCTTTCAATCGGCCGCTGGTCCTTGTGCCCGCTGGTGTGAACCAACCAACAAACAGCCGGCGCAAGTTTGAAACCCGCTTCACCCTTTCTCCAGCGTTTCCTGCTCTTTTCCCTTCCCGACCTGCACACCACCATTACGGTCCGCTGCTCCAGATTACGCGAGGACCGAGTGCTTGTGATCGATAATCAAGACTTTAGCGAGGAAGAAACCGGGTTTAATTGACCGTAATGGGTGGATGGATATCTCGATGGACGGTTGACGGTCGTCGTCGCTCTCCGCTGAGACATATGATACCATTAGATAGCGGGTTCCCGCCTTTCCCAAATCAAGGTTCAACCCAACAAGAAACTAATCTAGGCTGGGACCAAGGACGGTCATGGGTTACCTACACGCCGGACCGGACGGCAGATGCGCGGGCGCGTGAGTCCTGTGGAGGTCTGCGCGGATGTCTCAGAAGGGGCACTGAGACATCGAAAAGAGGAGGAGGGGGGTAGGAGGGGTGTGATCAATTGGCACCCACGATTCGTCACCTGATTCCATTTTCGGGAAGTGTGGGATGCAGATGGTGTGCGACAATGGTGTGGTGCGTAGCCGGGCGGCAGCTCCCACTCCCATCTTTTCCTCTTCTTCACTTCCCAGCTCCCCCAGCCTTGTCAGTTGCATCACCCCGCGAAGAGGTAAATGTGATCAATTGGGCGCTTGGCATATTCGCGAGATGGAGGGGGCGGCCGAGTGCGTGATAGATGCACACCTCCCACCAACATCGTCCAGTCCGTTTTGTGAGAACCCGAGCGGGGGTTTGAGCGCGGGGTGCTGGAGTGAAGACGAAAAGAGACGAAATGCAACTTCCCTCTTCCTCTCCTCTCGGTCTCTCTCTCCGACAGCCAATTTACAAAACGCTGTGGGTTGAGTGAGGCAATGGAAAGTGGCCTTTCCCAGCACTTCGCTTCGCTCGGACGCGCGTCTGTTGTTCTCTGCTCGCGAAGACAAGGCACACCGCGCATGGCATTGATGTTGTCGTGTTTCCCAGAGAACTTGAGGCGTCGATTGGCCCACCTGCCAGGTACCCGGACTGCTGTTTGCTCTCCGAATGGTCGGGCGCGAAGGCGACGTCTCGCTTCCGGATTTACAGTGCATGCGACAAGGCAGGCGGCGCAAACACAACGCGGTTGGCTCAAAGGGCCTGCCCCCAACCGCCCCTGCCAGTGCCAGAATTAAGCTCTCGATAGGGCCCTTGTCGTCGATCAGACCCTGGAATTCCAGTTTCTTCCGCCCTGAGTGTTAGCTGGCAAATTGGTTCGCTGGACATTCGCATTAACGCGTTAGTTGTAGGTAGGTTGGTTGTTTTCAATGTCGTGAGGTCGGGGTGCCTCTTCGGTAAAATATGGCGCCATCTGTTGCCCGAAGCCGTGGAGAGTAAATTTGTTCCTTTTTCTTGTGCGGAAAACTGGTGGAATCTGTGATGGATTCTGGGTTGTTTGAGGTGGGGGCCAACGTGAACAACGCAGCGAAACGCTGATCTGGCGCCAATCAAGATGCCGGGGAGTCGTCGAATTGGTCGCCGACCATCGTGCGGCAAGCTGGAAAGACCAGACTCGCCAGGAATGCAGTTGCCCATTGGAAACGAGTTGCATCTCAAATTGCTTCCCAATTGACCAATAAAAATGGCCTTCTGTTGGTCAGGGCTTTCAGGGGAGCCAACCGCAAGTCAGCTTCTCAAAGAGGGAACACGACATCGCGGGTTCATAACAACCAGAAAGACGACGAAATCGATGAAATTAAGGGCTTTAAATGCCACCATCGACATTTTTTTCTTCAAGACAGAGAGATTCCAACCCCCCACAGGGAGCAGCACTGCTGTTGCCCCGAAAGGGAAGGAGAGCTTTCCGAGGTTGCGGCAGAGATGGAGGGGCAAAGTCGGACCGCCATCTGCGCCTTCTGCACTTGAGAGCGGGGTGATAAGATAAGCCTGAGCGGATGTAACTAACGGTGGGCTGAGACGGATGGATCGCCATGGCATGTGCACTGAGAGTTTTGTCACAGCAATTGGGGTGCGATGGTGGATAGATCGTTTCGAAGCGGAGGTTCTTAACCCGAATTCTCAATGGCCCGTGGGGTGTGCCAGAAACCTGGGGTCATGGGATTCATGGGACTAAAGTTGGGATGGATGGAGTTCCTTTGTGGCCCCCATGCCAGTTGCTAATGGGTCGCCTCATTCAGTTACAGAAAACGGTGGGTTTCTTACCGAGAGAGCTGGCGTGTCTCTGCATTTGTCAACTTCAAAAAGCTGTCCGGTTGCCCCGGAACGCCTAAGGAGTTTTCTGCGGTTAAGTCCTTTAAAGTCCGATTGGGAAAACAATTGGCAAACCAGAAAATCGAGGAATCAATGATGCTAGCTCGGCAGGAATCCAGTCTCTCGGAATTTATCAATTGAGGACACAAAAGAATTGACTCACCAGGCCTGCAATGCAAATTGGTGACCGTTTCGGGGCGCTGCTTCAAGATGAGCCACTTCCAAAAAGGAGCGGCATTGATTGCTTAGATTTGCTGAGGCCACTGGCGAAGTGGATCAATATTATGGAAGGAAGGTGCGGTTGGCTTCTCTTGCTCTCAATCAAGTCCTTGATTCTAGGCTCTCTCTACGAGCACCTAATTCACAGTGGCCTGAGAAGTCCATGGAAACCGAGGGGCATTGGGTCCCATCTTCACTCCATCCGTCCCGGCCGGCGGTGTTGTACACTGTTCTTGACTGTGAGGAAGGTAGGTACCTGGGAAATGCCAAGGGTACATACATGTGGGTCCCCGACCAGCTTGTTATCGATAGCATAAACCGGCCAAATCACAGACGACAAGGGATTGTTTCGGGCTTGCTCAAGCAAAAGCTCTTTCATGTTCTTCACCACTGCCTGCCAACTATGAGTCACACACCCATACTTCTGACTGTCAGATCCCGTCCGGCCGCTCCACGCCTGCGCGAAACGGACCGCTTTCCTCTTTTTTTGTGAGCATGGCGTGATTGGCCAATTCACGTTTCATTGCTTCTCCTCCGCCCACGAAGCATGAATTGACAGGCGAAGACAGGCACCGCAGGCTGCAACTCACCAGCACGGGCTGGCTTGCCGAGAAGGTTAGGTTGGCCTCCCCGTTAACGACAGCCCAGACCTCCCGTCAACAAGGAGCGCAGCAGAACAAGACAGCATTTCGCTCCACAACCCCCCGCCCACCTTGAAACGAGTTCGATGCCCAAATGGCAGCCCAATCGGTCTTCAATTGACTTGAAGTCTTTCAAGATTGTGTAAGAATTGCTCAACCGGTGCCGGAGCTCCACCTCCTAGAGCGCAGAGAATTTGTCTGTCCCCTCTTTCCCCTCTCTGCCCCTCCTCTCACCCGATTAACCCCTCCTCGAGCGAGCTGATGAGATGCTCATGGTGTGGGATTTCCCTTGCTTCCACAGGAGCGGTGAGCCCCCGAGCATTTAACAAAAACACTTTATCTCAACTCAGCCGGCCTGGCACCATGGCGGAGGCCGACTGCAAGCGTATCCCAGTCTCTCGCGCATCCCTTCTCGCCAACTCGCTGACAACACTCCGCGCGGGGTATCATCTTGGGTGAGAAGAGAAGGAAGACTGGGAGAAACTGACAAATACCATACCTGTCGGTGCTGCCACATTACCCCTCCACCCCACGGGTTTCTCGCATCTAAGATCGTGAGATCATCGATGGCCATGGACAAAGCCCCACTCCTGCCGGCTTCATCTACCTCCTCAGGATCCCTCAACACTTCAGGTACGGATGCCTTAGAACCCTATGCACTCAAGGGCTCTCAAGATGCCCTTTCCTGGGGCACGCCCGCGGCAAGCCTGGGTCAATGCAGGCTTTGTTTGCGGTGTTGGAACCAAAGCAGCATTCAAAGCTGCTGCCAATTCACTCTGGCGAACATCGTTGGTCCGTCAGCTTCGCTCGCTTGCCCAACAACCACGCACGACCTGAGATAACGGTTACAGAACAGCTAGTTGAACGAGTTGACCTGGGGATATGCGCGGGTCCCGTCCGCCGGAAGCGCCAGGTGATGAAACGTCCGTCTCTTGCAGATGCCAGGTCAGACATCCCGCGGCTCTGTTCCCGCTGCTTGCAACACTCATGCTTGCAATACTCGCAAACAGTCGACACCTGGCGTTTCAACACGCCGGTGTTTCTTTCTTCCCACAGTCATCAGGCAATTCGCCCCTAGATGTGGTGGTCTAGGCATTGCCTAGAGCGACAAAGCATTCAGAGACCGCGCAAGAGCTTTGGGAGTGAGGCGAATCCTCGGGAAACACGGTTGATTTGAGTTGGCAGCCCTGATCCCCATCGCTCGTCCGATCTGAATAAGTCGTCGACATTCTGCGAGGTACCTCATTTTGGGCAGAAGTACCTCGTTCCAACCCGACGACCTATTTTTGCCTAACGGAGCTGAGATCCTCAAACGGATGATCATTGGCTGAACGTGGAGGCCTCTGTCTGATTGGATAGCCGTGAACGGAAAGGAGGGGCGTGTGTGTCATGCGAGTTGAGTGACTCCTTGCGGTGTGCCTCGAGAGGCCAAGACCCCTGCCAGCGCCACGCCTCTCCACTTCACCTCAACCCCAGATTCGTGCCCGCCTTCCCGCACTGGGTGGTCTTGCTGAGCAGCAATAGACGCGTTGTGCGCCGCATTGTGACTTGCTGTCGCAATCACGCCCCATATCCCGTTCCTAGAGCCTTGGGCTCACAGCCCTGCCGATGCCCAGCCGGGGCCGTCAAGTGACGGGGGCTCTGGGGGGTGTGAAGAATGAGATGGATGGATGGATGGCCCTGGAGATGACCATGCTGCTGAAGAGGTACTTACATGGCGGCTCCCCCTCTTCTTTTGAACGCCCTTCATCTTCTTTCGTCCCTTCCACCGGGTTGTGTTGCGCACAAAACCGAATTGTGCTTGCCCAACACCCACGACACCTACCCGGCCGTCACTGTCATCTCCACTGCCAGGCCGGCGCCGAGCCTTCGACCGACACAACCCCCTTTCGCCACCCTCCGGGCCGTTCCACCAGGTTCGATTGAGTCGGATTGACCAGCAATTGCAAGCCGTGGCCACTATTGTCCTGCCCACCAACCAATACTCTCATTGTCGACTAAGATTGGATAAATGAATAGCGGCAAACAGACCTCCCATTGTCTATTATTCAGCAATTGAGAAGGACGTCGTCTCTTCCCTCTTCCCGCCCCAACTCTCCCCATTCTCCTACAAAGATCCGTCGATCGGCCACCTGAGACGTCTCCGGGCCACGCACCATCTCTGGCACGCCTTCTCGGCCGCACAAGAACCAAGGCAGTTTGGAGTCAAAGTGCTCTGGTCGTACCACCAACCGCCAACAACAAAGACTCCAGGCACAACTTGCCCATTGCACCCAGGTCATTGTACCTACCTTCCTGCGAGTTCGCATTCTACGTGCCATCCCTTGATGACAGCGCAGATCCTCGCCACCGCCTTTTCTCACACCGCAGCCATAACGAGGTGTTATGGCTGACAAGCCACATTCATTTCCCATGCCACTGCCCGTTTCGCAGAGCGGGAACCAGACAGCCACAAGACCACCCCTGGCTCCCTCTTCCTCTTCCCCGCCTGCCTACTTCTTCCCCCCCACCCCAACAAAAGTGATGCAGGACGCATTTGCCCTGCCGCAAGACAGGCGCTCCTCCATGGCGTCAAAGCATCCGAAACCCTGCGATATCAGCAACCTCATGTCGCCTCCCGAGCCCACTCCTCTCGATATGTTCAAGTCGGGGGGTTCGGCGAGCGGGAAGCCCATTTCGGGCCCCGAGCAGCGCGTTCCACATCAACCACTTTCTCCGCCGGTCTCGCCATTTTCGCAAGCCACGAACGCGATCAGTCCGGCGCCTACTCTGAACCTCGGCGGCAAAGACCCGATCCTCTATCCCGCTAGCGAAGCTTCGACGGGCGCGCCGACCGGTCCCCTCTTTTCGCCCACCCAGGCGTCGGTGGACAATTTCCGGGCGGACACAGAGCGACTGGTGGACGAGCATATCGCGTCGCGGCCGGTCGGCCTCTTCCGGGACACGACACCGCCGAGCAGGGAACATTACGTTCTAGCTCTTCGCTTCCAATCCACATGTGTCACCCAGTGCCGGGAGAACCCGGCGAAGTGGCTACGCCGGGAGCGCGAACTCCTCCGCGCCGACCGCAAGCACACGGCTTTCCCGGCGCAGACGACTCGACTACCTCCCATTCTCCCAGCCGCGCGGCCTGTGGTTCTTGGTCCGCAAGCGCCCAAGTCGGTGCCGGCTTCCCGTATTCAAAAGGCCAGACCGCCCAAGGCGAAACCCCAAAACCCGCGGCCCATTCGAGCCACACCTGCACCAGCCCGCGAGGCCATCCGGGTCGGTACGCCGGAACCGCGTGTGCGAACCGTCGCACCCAACCGCGAAGACAAGGACTTTGCATCCCTTGAAGACCTCTGCCCGCCCGTCAATACACTTCCGGCGAAGGCGAACAGTCTTAAGGTGGACTGGAAGGGGAATGCGCTGGACTTGAGCAACGACCCGAATCGGAATCTGCTCCATCCGGATGAACTGATCCTGGCCAGCAACCTACGGCTCGACTGCGCCACATACCTCACCAGCAAGCGGCGCATCTTCCTGCGACGCCTCGAGTGCGCGCGGATCGGCAAGGAGTTCCGCAAGACAGACGCACAACAGGCGTGCAAGATCGACGTCAACAAGGCATCGAAGCTGTGGCAAGCCTACGAGCGCGTCGGCTGGCTGCATATCGATTGGATGGGGAAGTATCTGGGCCGCAAAGCTTGAACTCGGCAATGGTTCCTACGGCTTCGCGATGTTTTTCTTCGGATGGATTTCACGCATTCACTTCCATGCTTTACCCTCAGTACATGCAGTTGCTAGCGGGACTTTTTACCGGTGACCCTATCTCTTGGGGCTTTCCCTTTTCCTTCCTCATGTTTTTGTCACTGCATCACATCACGGCATGGCACGGCACGGCATCAGCATCTCACAGCACGATCATATGATACCCCCAAACGCCAACAGGGATTGGCGAATTCAGTCTCAGTTCACATTTTACATTTCAGTTTTTCATTCTTCCCCAGTACATTTTCCCAGTCTTGCATTACCAGGGTTTGGGCGGTTCGGTTGGGGGCGGTATAGTTGGTAGCCGGCTTTCCGGCACCATTCGGGTTCACAGATTGGGCTTGGGTCAGTCTGGACAGGACACAGACGGGAATGGGTGGTCACTTGTCTTGCATTTGATGGCGTTGAGCTTTTTTCTTTATGGTTCTAGGGAGGTTCTAGGGAAGTGCCCGGAGATCAGGAGATCTAGGCACTGGCGGAAGTCATGGACGGAGAGATTGGTATCATGATTTATACCCCCCCTTTCTGCGCCCCTGTTTTATTTTTTTTCAGCACATTCCCCCCTCTTGCACTGTTTTTGCGCTAGCAGCCCACCGCCGGTCTAAGGCATCCTATCTCCTCTCCTATGTTTTCTTCTACGATGGACAGGAAACGGACATACCAGGTTCTGCAATATGCCGCGTAGTTAGCTTTCTCGCTGCGTTCATAGGAACAAAGACAAAGAAAACTGGCCGGCGGACGACTCCTGCGCCCCCCATACATGGTGGGAGGCAGTTTCGACCGGCGGTTGATATCAAACCTTTCTCGATTTTCTCCTCAATGCAATGGTGGTCCTAAAATCCTATGCCTGTGACTTTTCGAACGAGATCAGTTCGAAGTCCCAGCTTCGAGAAGGCGAGATGCCTTCCAACCAAGCCAAGGTATTACCATCCTTGGGAAACGGAGCCAATGCACTGATCGGAGTCACCCGCATGATTTCCCTGGATCCGCGAGAAACGGTAAACGCGTCAAGTTTCGGCCGATCCGGCTTCCCGGCTGGGCGGGAGCGAGGGTAAGGGTTATTTTTTTTTTCTGCAAGTCGAGTCGAGTTGCAACCTTGCAGGCAAGGGTTCAGGGACAGGGAACAAGGGCAAGGATGGTTCGGCGTTCAGCCCTGTGGGGGAAGGAACGTTTGGCGCATGGGGTGATGTCATAGTTGCTACCAATACCGAAGCGGATTCTGCAGCGGAAGGTTGACTTTTGCTCCACCTTTTTGCGCTTTTTCATTGTTTACAGGTGTACACCAGCTCTTGAACTTTCAATTCAAAGTTCGACTCAAGGGTATGCACGATGTTTGGAATTCTCTTTTTCGAATTTAGTTCCGGACCGTCAAAATGAGGTAAGAATCAAGACACTGAAATTCGTCAACATCGCTGATGTGAGACGGTAGGAGAATCTTTTCATTCCAATCGACCAGCATTTCCAAAAAATGCGAACGGAGCACACGAGTTATATCTGGCATTCAATTAACTGTTTATGAACGGCCCGTTATTCGGTCTTCGATCACTCATTTCTTACATACCTCATTGTAATGTACATCACCCACTCCTCCTCCGCTATTGACCCTCTCAATTCCCTCAGATGTTGTTGCCTCTCCGCCACACCTAGCTGACGTGGCCTGGCTTGGTGGCCAATTCCGATCCGAGGAAAACAGCGCACTGTCCGAACAGACCGAAGATGACTCGTTGCTGTCGTCGTCACCGAGCTGCGAGGAAACGGACCCAGTCGCAACGACTTCACCGATTGACGAGGGGTCAGTCACCAGGCAGCAGCGCAACCAGCGCAGCCTCTTCGATCGCCCACGGCAAGAAGGTTGTTCCGCCCAGTTAACATTCACCTGAATCTCTCCGTTCGGTCCGGGCCATCCGAACCTTTTTACCCCAGTGACTCCCACCCCCCCTTCTTACACTTACAACCCAGCAGCAAGGGTATACCCCCCATCCACAACCGCAACCTGCCCGTTCACATACTGGTTGCACACCAACCCCAACACCCCCTGCGCCATATCAATATCCCGCCCGGGGCGGGCGGCAGGAACTTTCCCGACAAACTTCTCCTTGTCCAGATGACTCTTCTGGAACTCATCACTCTCCCCACCGGCCGTCATCTCGCTAGGGAAAACCCCAGGCGCCAGCGCGTTGATGCGAATCTTGAGGCCCGCGCCGGCAACTTCGGACGCGAGCATGCGCGTGAGGTGGTTGGCGGCCCCCTTCGCGGCGTTGTAGGCGAAATGGTGCTGGGCGGATTTAACGAGGCCGCTGATGCTGGTGATGTTGACGACGGTACCCGACCAGCCCGGGTGGCGTTCCGATGAGCGTTGGAGGAGGGGGAGAAACGCGGCAGTGGCGAAGTAGATGGATACGACGTCGGTGTTGTAGGTGTCGAGCCAGTCTTGGGTGTTAGCCTTGGCGGTGTCGAAGAGGTTCTTTCGAAGCTCGGTGGCGGAGCTGGAGTCGGATTCCGTCTGGACCGTTTCGCCCGCGATGCCGGCGTTGTTGACGAGGATGCAGAGGCAGGGCTCGCGGGACTCGACTTCTTTGACGAGGCGGGTGACGTCTTCCTTTTTGGTCACGTCGCCCGGTAAAGCGATGATCTCGCCCTCGATGTCCTTGTTGTAGGTGTTGACTACGGTGTCAAGCTTCTCCTTGGTCCGGCCCACAACGTAGACTTTTGCGCCGTTTGCGGCCAGTGCTTGGGTAATCATCAGCCCGATTCCAGACCCGCCCCCGGTCACGAGGGCCACCCGGCCCTTGAGATTGAAGAGGGAGTTGCGGTGGAAGTCCGCGTGGGACGCGGCTGCGGCACTCTTTGACATTTTGGCGTAATTGCGGTGGGTGGTTATTTGGTGAGTGTATTTGAAGAATTGATTCGGGGCTGGGGAAGCGGCTTTGTTGTTGAGAAATTCAGGGCCTGGTAACCGTGATGCTACTGTAAATGCTCTAATGCTTATTCGCGTGAGGTAGTGTGTGCTTAGATGTCTGGTGAGACTAAGGGACATGTCTATTGATGTTAACATTCGAGACATAAGAATTGAGAAGGTTGTAAAAACGCCAGGCATAGAATTCCTTTTAAACCGTGTAAAACCCTCACCAGGAACGAGTATGGGTATCATCATTACTGATAATGACGAAACGAATACCCCATACCCATGGTAAATAGCAGATTCGATGACGGCATGTCCAAGTGTCTGGTCACCACTTACACGCGGTCAGCCAATCAGAGAACCGAAAGGCTGAGCCCACCTCGAACCGCCGAGATTCACCTCGTGTGGGATCATGGCACATACAAGGCCGAATACTGGCACTGGACTATCACATACGACCATAGACAGTAGAAAATACGGGATCCCGTCCGCTCTCCCTTAGTCAACCTACTGATCGCCAGACTAGTACTCAGGTCGGTGACGACTGGGGAATCCCTGGTGTTGTATGTTTTTGTTTCTTTTGCATTTTTTCCTGCGCGCTTCAAATTCAGATACTTTGGTGTCGTTGGCGAGCATCTAAGGATCAAGAAGTACGAGTAAATTCCAAGCTTCGGATCAGTGTTTTGGGGCTGCTATATCAGCGATAGACTCTTGTCTATGTCATGTGGAGTCGTGGACGCCGGACAGGCATATTGTTAATAACTTAGGGCTCCCTGTGAACGATATAATAGATTATTCATTTCCGTGAAATTTTTATGGGCACGAAAAGTTTCATGGGAAATACATCAAGGCAGTTCCGCTTCATTCTAACACGTTCAACACAACTTCCACCAATACTCGCTCTCGAGTCTCGACTAACATTCATTTTGAACCCACCTTCGCTTCATCAATCTTGCGTTACCTTTCGCCCATCTTTGTTAAAACACCAATACAGTCGCTTATCATCCACAATGTAGTTTATATACTTGCCCTGTCTGCCTGTTGCCAACACTGGGCACGGACGGCAAAGCAGCTACCCTGGGCGTCCTGTTCAAGGTTCTGGTTGAGCTTTCGGCATCCGACCCCAACCGAAGGATGCTTACCAAACTTTTACTGTTGTCCTGGACCTCGACTGCTAAGTCTCGGGGTATCTACATTTTCGGGCTTGGCGAAGGTGCCGCGGCTTCAGATGGAGTCAAGGATAGAGACATTTTGGCCGGAATTGCCTGCAAACGTTGAAACCGAGGTTATCATGGAAGCTATTGGCAAAGCTATGAGAACCGGAGTCATCGAGAGACAACTTGCCCGAAACAATGAGAAAAAAAAAAGAGATGCAGGAAGAGATTCGATACCTGGAAGAGAGGAATCAGTCTTTGGGAGAAGGAGGTGGCAAAATTAAAGATGGTAATCAAGGAGCTTAGGGAAAGGGAGGCGATTACAAGTGTAAGGATGTTGAAACACGAACGCCTGTTGTAGATAGAGGTCGAAAGGCATAAGAGACATAAACTAGCTAGGCAACCCTGTAATCCGACCTCTTCTCACACCGTTTAAGACTTGACCCGATCCTGTCGGTCTGGACGTGTGCCGACTGGGGCGTGACATGCCCCCTTGCGATGAACGCAGGGACTGGACTGTGATGCCGCGAATACGAGCATGTTTAGCGCCGTAGTATTTTGCTACTCCGGTGGCTCTGTAATATCAGCGCCGTTGGTTTCCGGTACCGCTGGTGCCTCCGTAGTACCGGTACCGTCGGGCCCAGCCAGGCCGACAGCAAACTCCTTGTACACCATGAGACCATATTTATCGAATCCGAAAGTATCCGGCAAGTCTTTGGCAGCCAGCCTTTTGCAGGGAAATGGATCTTCACGGGACCAACTCCTGAGGCTGTCCAGATCAGCCTGCTCTATCGGGTTGACCAAAGCCTTTACCGGCCGCCGACGGATATCTCTAGACCGTTGGAGCATCGACCAGTTCAGACCAACGACAGCTTCTTCCCAAACTGGGACTCTTCGTGCCGTGGCACGCAGTTGGTTGCAATATTTCTCTCCCTTGGAGGACCACTGGTAGTGCTGGACAACGTCTCGGCCCCAGCAACGCACCACCTCCTTCAGAGCAGATCCGTCTGTGGCCGAGTCTTGGCTCTTGGCCTTCTTCCGCCTTCCATACTCGGGGCACTCGCTCGACATGACGCGCTCGCAGGCAGCGGCCAAGGTCTGCAATCTGGTTTGTTGATCGAGCAGCTCATCTCGTTTCTGTACACACAGGTCGTATCGCTGCGTATCGGTCTCGCAGAGGCGGAATTCTTCACGGAGCGCTAAAACGATTGCCTCATCGTTGGGTCGAGGCGGTTCGGCACCTACCAGGCGCATATCGGACCCAATCATGGTTTGCAGGGCGCACGGCGGCTGTTTGTTTGTTATAGACACGTAAGGTGTCGCAGATAGCCAGCGCGGGCAGCTGCCTCGTCAGTCTCTTTAGGGCTGTCGTCCGTATAACTGAGGTGGTCGGCGGCTCTGGGGTCAGGGGCTGGCTGAGGAGGTCTGCGGTGTAGAGAAAGTCTAGACGTAGCGCTGGCTTCGCAGCAGCCTTCGCTAGGCCGGCGCTCTTCTTTTCTCCCTAATAATAAAGCACTCTAGGCATCTAGCGCTCCCCCTCCTCCCCTCCTTGCCTCCTCCGTCGTCGACTTCGCGGACCGGGGGCGTGTCTCCCGGCCCTAGGAAGCGAAAGATTGACGATAGCAGACTGCACAACCATGGACCCGACCCTGATCCCGATGCGGCATCCCGATCAGGTCGATCCCCCAGCCACCACCCTCTCAATGCGGACCGCTTTCCCCCCGCCGTCCAGTGTGAGCCACTCCTTCGTTGCATCCACCGCATCCGACCGCCAAGACAGAAGCTCCAAAGGTTTCCGCCATGCCGTGGGCCCTGTTAAGAATGCTACCGGGTTACAGCACCTCGACAAACCCGTCCTATTCGATTCGCTTGACGGCAATGCCGGCTTGAGACAACTCCCTGGAGACGTACGGCAGCTTTATTACGACATCTTTGCTACTACCAAATACCAGACGGGCATCTATCCCGCCGAGATTCGCACAGAGATCGAAGCTCTGTACACGGGTCATCCACCCCCGGACTCGGTCTATCGGAAACCTGAGGAAGTATACGATCAAGACGGGATGGGACAAGAGGAGGAACGCTTTTTTGACTACCTTCCTGTCAGGCTGCTTGCCGACATCAAAGAGGGCGCCACGTTTGAAGCACGCATCGCTCACGCCGAGTTTTACAAGGTCCGTAGCATCAAAGACCGCGCCAGGGAGTGCTTAGCTCTCCATCGCGCCGAGGCGGCGTGGAATACAAAGGTTCACGAACCGCTATGAGAGCTTGCATTGTCAAGACGATATACGTCTGTCATCTGCGAGAACGCAACTTCGGCTAGGATTCTGCCCTGCTTTCTTCCGTACCTCATTACGGGTGAGGTGGCCGAGGGCAAGATGGTCGACTTCGTACTCGCGCCCAATCTCGGCTCGGGGTCAGAGCTCGACATCGCCATCCAGAATAAGCTTATCGAGCTAGCCAAGCAAAAGAAGTCCTCGGGAGGGACCTGTTTCGGCTCACCTCTGTGTCAACCAAACCGACTATCCTCCCTTGATGCGCTCTCCCATAGCCGTGACTATAGAGACCAAAGTCGCTGGGGCAAGTCTCGAGGAAGGACGACCACAGCTAGGCATATGGACAGCGGCTTGGCATAGGCGGATGGAAACTCTCGGTGTCGGCAAACCAGGCTCGCAGCTGCCTACGCTGCCCCTCATCCTAACCCACGATCATGAGTGGTCTCTTTACTTTGCAGTCGACCGTCTTGACAAGATCGAGGTCTTTGGCCCTATGCAGATCGGCATGACTGACAGAGGCCCTTCTCTCCATCTTCAAACATTACTCGCCGCCCATCTGGGTCATTAATTAGATACCAAGTAGGGCACGAGAGTCGAGGCAATTCAGACTTGGATGTGGTTAGGCATGAATTAGTACGGCGGTTTAACAACACAAATTCATATTTCAACCAGAGAAATTGCCCGTCATCTGCTCCAGTCATATATTTTAAGGTAACTATGTGTGATTTAATCAGAAAAACCACCGACGCCCATATAATTCACGTTCCCCGGTTGCCCGGCTCCCTTACTACGCAGAGCCTCATACTGTCTACATCCCGATGGCCATCGGACTACAACATTCCCTCGCGGAGTTGTTTCCCCCTAAGCAATCGGCATTCACCCTACCCCCGTCGGCCCAAAGCCTCCGTTTTGGTGCCCCAAGTTGATCCGCCCGTTTTACATTGCCCAGAGCTGCGAGGACAATATCCCCCCTACCTTGATTCCAGCCCGAGGGTTTACTCGTCTGTACCAACGTTATCGAAGAAAGCAAGCTCATCCGAATGAGACCAAGTGTTGGATCGGTAGAGTACCGACGAGTTGTTCTCAGAGAGTGCAGAAGCTAGGTGGAAATTTAGAACCGTGGATCAAGAATCGGCTGTTGGACGTGAGAGAGCATCAGGATGAATAATATAGTGCAGTATAGGCATCGTGGTTAGTTATCGAGATATCGATGGAATGCAAAACGCAAAGGGGTAACTAAAGGGACAGTTGAAGCTGTAAAAAAAAAAGACAACGAACAAACGAAAAAATGGAACTTACAAGCTTGACTTGCACCCACCTGCCTTGTGGCATTTACAAGTCAGTTGAAGCACGCTGAAGGCGGTGGTTTGCCTATAAACCTTCTCTGTCTGTTCAAAAGCGTCTATAACTGGTCGCTCTGAGGACAGAAAATCGCCCCCTTTGAACAACAACGAAGACAAGAAGCTGTCGCTAATGTGGGGCGCCCGAGAACGTGACTCTGAACTGCTAATCAGCCTTCCCATTCGTCAACAAGACCAATAGGACGGAGCCAAAGAACACGGCAACTCGGGAAAGCCCGACGAGCAGCTGTGGGCAGTGCGAGCAGCATCCGCAGAGTCGCAGGCTGGCCGGTTGGCCGTAGACCGGCCCGCGCCTGGCCGGCCGGCGGACTTCCACTTAGCTCCCGCTACCTTCCTTGTCGTCCGCTCCGTTCACGACGACCCCTGCGCGTGCGAACGACACTGGGGCTCAGGGTGGCTTGCGCTCAGGCACGGCTTTGCGAAATTGGTTGATGACTCTAACAGCGCCTGTGATTCCGCTCTTGGGGTGGCCGAGAGGAGGCTCGCCGCGCCATCAGAGCTTCAGCTTCAGCGGTGTGACATTGAGTCTCGACTGGAGCGCGCGCCGAACAGAGCACGGGACCCGTTTTGCCGTCCAGACCGTTAGTACTTCCGGAGGCGTTCGCGCTCGAAAACGAGAAATGTTGAGAGTACAGCGACAGCATCAACATGGAGAGATGACTGGACTGTGTGTGGTAATTACCGCAGACTTGACTCCTGAAAAAGGGAGGAAGATGAGCTGAGAAGTGGATGGGTTTGCTTTTGGTAAATTAGGGTTGTTGTCCCGGCCTGGCTCCTGTTTCCATTGCGTTCCTGGGTGAGTTTGCTCGAGAATACATCAGTCAAACCGGTGTGTTCTATCCATTTCACTCCAGTGGGGGTGGTGCTTGGGACATCTGAATTTCAACGCGCGTAAACTGACAAAGACTGGCACAAAAAGCAGCCCTATAGGAGTGTTTTGCCCTTCTCCTCTCTCCCTTCTCCTCTCTCCCTTCTCCTCAGTCCGAGTCCTCATCAGCAGCTTGGCCATCGGCAGCACCTAGAACAACCACTTCCATGTGTCCCTCTGGAATAAACGCTTCTAGCCGATCAATATCATCCTCCGGGTCCCCCTCAATCTTCGCCTGGGACTCAATACAGAAGCCCCGATGGACAAGACAAAGGCGGAATCCGCTCTGGGGGCCGTGTCTTGTGGTTTGATAGACGCAGAACAGCATGGATGCTCGAAGCCTGCCGGTGACCTCGTCGCGCTTGCCGTGCCAGAAGATGTGAGATCGCACGGCATCGAGCATGTTCGAGATCTCGTCGAGAGTGCCGGCGGTGGCGATTTGTCGCAGGATGGCGGGCGGGAGGGGTGTACTCCCAGACACGACGTGGGAGCTCATGATGAAGAATGAAGAATGAAGGATATATATGATTGAGGGAGGTTGGCGAGATTCGGAATAGCGAAGGGAGAGCGGACAACAAGAGAGATATAGTGCAGCTGGTCGCAGCGTCGGAAAGAGCTCAAAGAAAACACTCGCCGTTCTCGAGGTGTGCCATTCTGCGGCCAATACTATCCGACCGCTGGCAAGAGCTGCCGTACTTCAGCTTGTCCAACCCGACAAGAGCGTTGTTGCTGCAATGTTGCGTGTTTCGCACGCAAGCCGGGGAGTGAATACGGAGGTCCAGGAATTTATTCGCGTCCATAATCTTCTCTAGAGTGGGGAGGAACCTAGATCGGGATCCTAAAGAGCAAAGAGAGGAGCTAAGATGATGTAGTGCCTGGGATTTGGGAATGCAGTGTTAGACGCGCTGTGTGGAAGCATAGAGCGTTTGGGTGCTTGAGGACGGCCGAAAGGAATCTCTTTAAATACACAAATGATTCCCCCTCCGCCCTCAGACCAACAGGCACCTTACGGCTCGAGATCATCGCGAGAAGAGAGACAGGTACCTCGATATGGGCTAGTCCTGCCAACAACAAACCCCCCTTGTATGACCTAGCCTCCATCGCCGGCGCCGTTTGGCCGTCGTTACGGAGGCGGCCCCGATCCGGGAAAGCGAACGGGTTTAGGGCGGGCAAAACTTCGGGCGAAGGTGGGCCGGGGGTGCTGAGTCATCAATTGCGAAAAGGGAAGGTTGTGCTTCAACATATATTGCACTGCTGCCAGTGGACAAACCTACCTTGGCTTGAAAGCCCATAAAGCTCGGTATTCTCAGCCACAGAGGAATGTGTGAAACGGGACCATCATGAGTCAAACGCCGCAGAAACAGAAACGTCTGTCTCGCATTGGCAAGGCCGCAAGAACAGACCCATCGGAGTCTAACAAAAGCCACGACTCTACAAGTAGTGACACAAATGGACACTAATAACGTCATAGGAAAAAACAAGACAGACACACCCCATCTCGCCCGTCTAAGTATATCGTCAAAGGGTAACATCCTCTGTACCGGCTTTTACCTTCATCATCGTTTCCTCCAAGGCCTTTTCATCCTCTGCACCCAGCGCTACGTCCCCAATGCTACTGACAACCCCACCCTCCCCGTCCTCCGAATCTTCAAACCAGCTCAAAATCACCATCCTCCCTGCCTCAAACAACTCTCTCCACTTTTGAATAAACTCCTTTCTACCAATCGCCGACGCAAGTGAAAAAGTGCTCGCACACATCAACCCGCGACTGGTGAAGTGGCCCCGCATCAATGGCAAAGACATGCTCCCGGTGGTACGCACATTCAGGTCGACGACAAAAAACTCCTCGCCTCCGTCGCCCCGATTGGAAGCTTCCAGAACGTCGGCACCAACGGGGCCCGCGTAGCCATGTGAGGCGACCCAAGCGGCGATACGCTCCATCAAGGGGGTCAAGCGCTTGCGGAGGGCATCTTGCCGGGAATAGGAGATGGTGCTGCCGGTCCAAACCGAGCCAGAGATTGTCGTGATGGTGGTATCTGTGGTTGCTTCACTCGTGGTGCTCTCGCTATCGCTGGCAGTATCAGTGGAGGTTCCGTTGGTGTTGTTAGAGCTGAGGCTGCTGCTGCTACTGGTCCTGCTGTTGAGGCGATTGGTACTCGCACGGGTGGGGGTGGTCAGGATCTGCTCAGAAGCGGCAAGGAAGCGAGCTTCGCCAGTTGAGGTGACGAGGAAGGTAAGGCCATAATCGTTAACGGGGTCCTCAATGAGCTCAGTAAGGAGGATGGCGGTCGGAGAGAGATGTGCGTTCTCCGAGGTTAGCAAGGGAAGAAGACGATGAAGAAGTCCTCCTCCAATGGCTTGTCCTACGTTCCGGCCTTCCTCTGTCCTGGCTCCGTCTCCCCGGGGATCCCCCCCTAATTCCAACAGCAGCTGAGCCTTTTGGACCTCAGTACGGATAAGCCATGTCCCGGCCCCGCCATACCCTTGCTGGGTTTTGACAACAAAAGGGATGGGCCGGGCACGGACAGCGTCCAGGATGCGTCCTATCTGCGCAGATAACCAACAGCCCCTGGGTCCCTCACACGCAAGCGGAATGGCGGCGGTGAGGGACTTGTCATTGTCAAGCTCCTGGCACGGCAAACAGCAGTCTTGCGCCGGCGGAGGCGGGGCTTCTGTCTCGACAAACTGACATTTTGGCGTGGGTATACCAGAGCGAGCAAGGGCGCCTTTGCTGTTGAGTATGAAGTGCGCTTCCAGACTATGTGTGAGTGGGTGTTGTTCCAACCCATCCAAGATGACTTTGTATTGGAGTCTGTCAATGGCATGTTCCTTCAAAGGGATGCTGGCCGGACCAGCGCAGAAGATCAGCTCTGGTCGTTGGGAAGGGTCAAGTGCAGAGAACGTGGCCTCAGCATCGCGGCGGTCGTGCTCGATATCTTCAGAAGAGCGCCCCAGGTTGAAAAAGATGACGGGGGCATTTCCAGCAAGAAAAGAATCCCGCTGCGAGATGTGACTGAGACATTTCTTGGCCAGCGAGCGCGTTAGGGAAATGTTGTCGTTGCTGAGCTCCTGGTGAGAGCCTTTGACGAAAGTTTGGTCTTGGTAAATGAATTTGGTATTACGTGGGACATCCCGTGTGAGGCCCACAGCGGAGGAGATACCGCAGAACGCCATCCCGAGGCGTGTCCGGGCGTTTTGGGGGCAGGCCTCCCGGTAGAGGTCGGAGAGGGTGGCGTCGAGCTTGACCACGGGAAGCGCCATGTTGAGCGAGTGTCTAGGAGCCGTCGGCTGGTGTTTGTGAGCGAGATGTGTGCTGTGCGACAGGTAATAGGATGGGGAAGGAAAGGAAACTACAGAGTCTGATTACGAGTTTGATTCGGTATATAGGTAGCTGCGCAGGGACGGCCACTATGACAGTCAAGGTACAGACAAAGCGCGGGGTGGTCGATCGGGCCTGGACCTTGCACGTAAAAAACGAGATGGTCAATGGCCAATGTGAACGAGGAAGGACATCGTATGTAGGGAACCGAAAATGGTAGGTTACCGTAGGTATGACGATTTTGAGACACTCCACTGCATCCTGCATGGCGATTCGAGCTCGTTATGCCGGTCCCCCTTGGCTTTCGGCCTCCATCTACACGTAGATGCCCAATTTACGGGATCGCCCTAAACAATCGCCGATTTGTGACACAGTGGCGCTCTCAGGGACGGCTGAAGGGTAGCAGTCGGCTGATCCCGACCATGATCGTTTAAGGTGTGCTTGAATCCCTGGTCGGGTCGTCTTGACCGGTCGCGTTTGCCATTGCCAATTGGTCTCGCAGGCGAGTTCAGCTCTCGCGCAGAGCTCAGCTCCCGCGTCGAGCTCGAGAGCAGGGGGAGGTCCGGGATCGAACTGGTGTGATAGATGGTGATATCATGCGAATCCACTGCATTGCGTCTGTGACACGGCCTAGTTGTTGTGGGCCGCTGGCGTTGTGCGAATGTGGTGCGACGTGCTTTTTGGTCGTTCTAGGGATAATCCCCGCCTCCGTTTAAGCCATTACAAATAACCAGGACACCACAATCGGTAAAGCCGCGATCGCCGTAGTCAAGCAATCGGTACAAGAATGGTGGTTGGCTCGAGGTTGGCCATCGAGATGTGGTGTTACGCGCTTCAAAACGCTGTTCTGTCTCGTGTGTATTGTTGCTTGTTCTAGGGGTAACGCCCGCCCCCGTTTCGCTGGCCTACTAGTTCGATGCCCAGAGACTGGGCAATTACACATTCGCAAATAGCGACGACACCACATCAAACATGCTGTTGTTTCGGCTTGTGATTGGCGAGTGTTGTGGTTCTGGGGTGAAGCTGAGACTGCTGGGTCTTCCGCGGAGATGCTAGGACACCTCTTGGGATTAAGAGGGGGCGTTTGTGCCCGGCTTTGGCAAGCTGATAATAGGTTGGGTTGTTCCTACCTCGGGCTCAAGCTTCAAGACATTCCTCCCCTCCGTAGGAAAGAGCAACTAAGTTCTACGGCTGCTACAGGAATTTCGATTTTTGAAATGGGAACGGGTGGGAAGACTCGGCCGCTTGGCACCTTAGATAGGGTCTTTCGAGAACGCCATTGGATCTTGTTGAACGGTGGAAGGCCAGTGTTGAGCAGCACGTAGTCGACAAATATCTTGCCTGAGATGATTTTCTCGCGCGTCAATCAATGTCATTGGCTTACCTAATCACCAAGTCTGCTCACATGGTATAACCACGTGCAACGGCGCATGATTTCCTTTCTTCTAGACTTTTTGAGATAACTGTTGAACGCATCACTGTTGCAAGCATCGAGTGTGCAAAAGCTGTGCCAATCAACGTGAAATTCTGTCAAGCTAGAATGTCTTTTATGAATGTGCCAGATGCGCATGCTGTCTATCCCACAAGCCCCTCTATGCCAGATCTGCAATCATGCAATGCCCTACTAACCACCGTAACCTCGTCATCTTCACCTCGAGTAATATCCGTCGATAGCCTTCCACGAGAGCCTTTTAGCACCGTCTAGGATACTCTCTTCCCGGCTCCTCCAAACCATCGAACAGTTCCACTTCCACCTAACCTGTCTGCAAACGTCACAACTCACAGGCTCCCAAGCAACGGCACCTTCTCATACAACCCATCATACAACTGACCAACCCACCCAATCGTCTCCCCACCCCTCGCAACCACCCCCAAACCACCAGCCGCCCACAGCCCCGTGGCTGCAACAGCCACAGCATTAATCACCAACCACCGCCTCCGCCTTGCCTTCCTACTCGCCCGATCCACCACCGCATTCCCCGTATGCCGTTCCACCACCCACCCGGCCCCCTGCGCGAGCCCAATCCACTTCGCCCACCCCCACACCATATGCCCGCACCCAGCACCCAGCATCACCGCATACGCCAGCCACGACACTGCACCGTGCCGCGCAAATCCGTGCGCGACAAATGCCAGTCCAACATTCGCACTATCCCCCTCGACAAGCAGCGGCAGACCACGGTTAAGAAACGCGTGCGCGGCTAGCACGCCGGCGAAGACGTATCCGGACGCGGAGATATAGCTGAACAAGGGCCAGCCGCGGCGGAGGTAGCTTTTGGGGGGTTGTCTGGAGGAAGAACCGGTCTTGGCGGCGGCGGCCGAGAGGGCGGCAGAGGATTGTTCGCCGCCGTAGTAGCGGTGGAGGTTGTGGGAGCGACGGATGAGGCGGAGGGCGAGACCGGAGCCGACGTGGGCGAGAGCGGGGAGGGCGACAAGTAAGGGTTCGGAGAGTGGGGTTTGGTAGATTTCGCGGGCGAGGAGGAGGTAGGATTCGGAGGCGGCGACGGAGCGGGCGGCGAGGGGGATCAGGGAGGTTGTGGCTAGGTGGAGGGCGCCGAAGACGGAGAACGCGTAGGAGGAGTAGCGTTGGATGCGGGTGACTGCAAGGGAGATAGAGGTTAGCGGGTGGTAGCCACTAAGCACCAAGATAAATTAGAGGGAAACGGACGGTAGTAGATGGCCCCATGGCCGCTGCCGCTAAGCCCGAGGCTGGTCGAGGTCGAGGCGGAATGAAGGGATGGCGACGAGTCGGCAAGGGAACCGTCGGTATTCTCCTCGAGCAGTGGGTCGTCTTTGTTGGCATTTGGCGAGTCCATGGGCGCCGGGTCGATCTCTAGCAGCGACACGAGCGTGGACTGGGACGCTTTGGAAACGAGTGATCGTTGGTCGTCCATGATGGCGGAGAGAACCGCGGCCGCCTCGTCTCTCTCTCTCTCCCGTCGCCCTCGGCTGTTTATTGTTCTGGTCGTGCGTTGTTCGGTTTGACGGAGTGGACTGCATTTGTTCGTTGGTTGAATCCGCTAAAACCAATCCCGGCGGGGTCCCTGGTGGACCCCACAGCGGTTGTACAGGGGGTAGTCTTGGCGCACATCAGCGTCGGACCCTTGCAATCAATCGTGGTGCATAACATTATTTCTGGGCTCGCAATTCAACTCCAGTAAACGAAACATCTCGAAAAAAACAAAACTCCTGTCGAACACCACCAAACTATCGCGAACCGACATTTTAACCTCAACTCTACTTCCGTAACCGCCACAATGCCTCCAGTATGTCCACTCCACCCAAACATCCAATGCCCAATTCCCCATTCTCCGTATTCCCCATGTCCCAACTTTGAACTCCCTAGGTAAACTAACACAAACACCCCTCAGCGCCACCACACCCTCCCGGCAGCCCAAACCTCCTCCGCCCGCGAAGCCCTCCAATCCTTCTACTGCCAGCTCTGCCAAAAAGGCTACTCGCGCATGAACGACTACGAAGCCCACCTCAGCAGCTACGACCACAGCCACAAGCAGCGCCTGAAGGACATGAAAGCCATGGTGCGCGATCCGGCCGCGACCGCGCGGGCACGGAGGCAGGAACAGAAGGCCGATGGGGTGATTAGTATTAAGCTTGGGGAGGCTGCTGCTGCTGCTAACAGTGGTGGGGGACCGGGAAGTGGGAGTGGGAATGCTGCTGCGGCGGCTGCGGCGGGTGGGTTTAAGAAGGGGGGGTTTAAGAAGACGGGGTTTAAATCGGCTTTTGGGCCGCCGGTGGGAGGAGGGGCAGGAGCAGAGACGGCTGCGTCGAAGGAGGAGGGTGGGGTGAAGAAGCAAGAGGAGGGGTTGGGAAAGGTTGGGTTGACGATGATGGGGAGTGAGTTGGTGGAGAGTGATACGGAAGATGAGGGGTATGAAGTGTATGACCCACGACGACCGACGGATTGAGAATCCCTTCGATGATGGCTGTCCAGGAAAAAATATGTCGGAAACCCACAAAAGGAAATGGAGGAAAGGGGATGAACTCCCTAATTATTCTCAGAACGACATATACAACGCCGGGATCAACGCCCTCTTCTACGCCAAACATCTACGCCAAATACCAACAACGCCACTTCTCCCGCATTATCAAAACAGCGTTACATCCGCCCATGCGCCTATTGTCCACCCATGGACGTCCACATCCGCGGCTCAAACTGGGACAAGTCCTCTTCCAACAACCCGAGAATATGAGTGTTCCCGGAGAACCAGTTCCCCAGCTGGTTCGCCTGGGCAGCGGGCCCATATCCGGTATCACCATACATCCCCCCAGGCCCGTTGTTCCCACCCCCGCCTCCAGCATGCCCATAATGGTGTTGCCCCGGTCCCGGCCCCGTTGTCCCAGGAACATGGTGATCATGCATTGGATGTGGGTGCCCGCCCGCAGCAGCAGCAGCAGCACCAGTGCCATACGGCGGCGCCACAAACCCCAACTGGCTCAGATACATATCGATATTATCCCCAACCGTCACCATATCATGATCCCGCAGCCCGTGAGGATCACCACCTCTGTTGCCACCACCACCGCCCGGGCCCAGCCCAGGAATCCCCGCAGGACCACCGCCGCCGCCGCCGCCACCGCCCATGCGATGGGCGCGCGCTCGCACACACAGCGTCGCGACGTTATACAGGACCTGGCAGATGCGGTGGAAACGCACGACATACTCGCCGGCCCCGGTACGCGTGGGGTCGGCACAGACGGGCTCCATGGAGTAGGTGAAGTCGGCTAAGCGGCGGAGGTCGTCGGTGTCGGAGGTTTCGATGATGTGGCAGAAGAGGATGATGAGCGGGGTGAAGGGGACGTAGATGAGGTTCCTTTGTTTTGTCATCAGCCACCGATACCCGCAGAGTTTGGGAACTGGGGGAAAGGAACATAGGGGAAAGAAAAAGGGGGACTACCATCGAATACACCCCGCTTTAACAGGTAGACTATCCCCCGCCATGTCCATATACTCCTGATGGCAGCGAAATGCCTCGCGCGCGGCGTGGATGCACTCCGGGTTGAAAGTGCTGGGCGAACCGGGCGGGCTGGGCATAGCGCGGTAGACGAGGGTTAAAGAAGACCAGTGGGTTAGTTCGTCGCCGAGGATGGCCATCTCCATGGGGAACTGGCTGTGCGCGTCGAAGCGGACGCCGCGCATCTTTTCGCGCGTGTGTCGCATGAGGGGTTCTTGTTTTTTTGAGAGGTTGACTGTTGTCTGTCAGTCGGCTCCTAATCCCAGGGGAGGAAAGAAAAGGAAAGAGAAGAGGGAAACGAGAAGGAAAAACGCACGCATGGTTTGAATCAACTGCCTCGCGCTCTCAGACCGCTGCTCCAATGGCGCAGCCAGCGCAGCCGGACTATACAGCTGCTCGTACGCCTTCCCCAACACATCGGCATACGCAATCCACTGGTTCAGCACAAACCGCCACGAGTCATCCGGCATATCAATCGATTCGTCCAGCCCGCGCGCGACGGTGATGTCGTAGTCTTGGATGGCGGGCGCGCGACCGGAGCGCATAGACAAGGCTTTGTCGAGGAGGTAGGCGGCCCAGAAGAGGATGGCGCGGGCCGGGGCGGTGGTGTCGACGGGGGCGGCTGGGTCGGCGTCTTCGTCGTCTGAGTCGTCGTTGGAGATACGGTGGTAGCCTAAGGTCTGGCAGAGGGTGGCGGCTGCGGCGGTGAGGTCGCGGGCGACGGAGAATTTGGAGATTTCGATGGCGTAGAAGGCCTGTGTCTGTCAGTGTGTGTTCTAAGAAATAGGTGCGAGACTCGAGGGGGAAAGAAAAGGGAACTCGCCCCCATCAGCAACAACTCAATACTCTCCTTGCGCGCAGGCATCAGCAGCGGCATGTTACTGAGCGCCGTCTCAAGATTATCCCGACACAACACCATATACTCCAGCAACTGCTGCCGTTCCGGCCCCGACGACACGGCCGCCTTGTCCTGCAGCAAAAAGAACAACCCGCCATTCACAACCCCCCACGACATGATATTAAAATCCTCCGTCGCAAAATACACCTTACTGCACCTCTCCGCAAAATTCCCGCCCACCACAAACAAACAAATCGACGCGAAGCTCACCAACCCCCCATCCTTCTTCATCTCCCTCAGCGCGGTAACCACCACAGGCGCCGGCGGCATGGGCAGTTCCCGTAGCCCCCCAGGGGGTAACGGCTTGGCGTGCACGAAGCGCGACTCGTGCGCGCTGGGCCGGTTCTGCATGGCCACGATTTGCTGGAGTGACATGAGGGCTGATTGCATGTCGGGGTCGAGTCCCGGGGGTAGGGTGTGGGCGACGGCGTGCTCGAGGAATTCGCTGGCGAAGACGGTTTGGGCGGCCATGGAGGAACCACCTTCGAAGGCGGAGACGGAGGTATCGTCGTCGGGGATGGCGGCAGCAGTGGTGGTGGTAGTAGTGTTGGCAGTGCCGGCGGTGTTGGTGGCGGTGCTAGTGGTCGCCGGCGAGGGGTTATTTCCACCGGGGCCGACGGCGGTAGCAGAACTGGCATAGCCGCCGGCGGTGAGAGGTTCGGTGGCGGAAGCGGAGGGACTGCGGGTGTGGATGGAGATGGCTAGGTCACGGATCATGTTTTCGATGTTTTCGAGCCGGGACTCGAAGTGGTCGATCTTGCGCTCGCTGTGGAAGTGCATGGCGCATGTTGTTAGAGGTTGTCGGTAGAGGGCATGAGTGTACAAAAGGGTGTGTGAGAGAATATGAGAGAGCATGAGAGAGCATGAGAGAATGTAAGAGACTCTTAAGAGAGTCTAGGATATGAGAATAACCACAAAAATGAGATGAGATCAGACTCACTACTGGGTCGAGATGAGCACGCGCTGCCGGGCCTCCTTGGGCCGCTGGCCGGCACCGGTCGAGCTGCAGGCCCGGTTCGCCGTCTTGCAATTGGCACATGGCGAATCCTTGTCACATCGGATCTGGCAAAGGGTCGGTGTCTCAGTTACTTGCAGATGCAGACAGCCACAGTCGGTTGACAGACAACCAACTGCCAGAAGGGACTATGCTTAAGTGTGGATCGTAGACGTACCTTACGAAGTCGACATTGGTCACACTTTTCACCGGAAGAGACAAGAAGAGAGAAGCCAGCCAGTTAGCATGAGCACGAACAGAGCAGACAAGTAGACGCAAGGGCGGGCATGTGGTGGGAATGTATATCACGGGGTACATAATTAACCAGCGGGGTATAGTGAGGTATAGTAAGACGGGATGACTTACAGCCCTCCTCGCAGGGCCTTCTCCATCGTGGTAGTCGGGCTCCTGCATCTCCACCACCTCTTTCTTTCCTTCCTTCGTTAAAACCCCCTCTCAAGCCCACTCGGGTCAAGTCTCAGTCTCGGTCGTCCGCGGACGGTTTTCCTCGCGCCGGACCTCGCCGAGAACTGTCGGGCGGTACCGTTCTCCGTCCGAGACCGGGACACCCCGCGGATTCCGGATCCGGGTCTCCGGGTGGGATTTCCGCGTCCCGCGCGAAGCGTTCCAATCCGGATGGGTGGATGGCGCGGAGCCGAGCCGGAAGCGCGGGAAGGAAGAGCGGGAGGCGGAAGGGAATGAGACACCACCGACCGAATGGGAGTGGTTGTTTGGTAACTTGGCGGGGGCCGCGGGGGCCGATTATTCACTCTCAAAGATGGAAACGTGGGCAGAGAACCAAACAAAAGTAAGGGAAAACACCCAAACGGGCGGTTGCGTCTTCGAACAGGACGCAGTACGCAGTGCGCAGGTCGGGTATGTAAGCGAAGCGGGATGGATGCAGGTCCTACTGTGGAAGAGAACTGGAAAGGGAGGGTGAAAGGGGGGGTGGGTTGAAGTTGTTCGTTCGCCTGAACATTAGTTACCCGCAGCGCTTTGGTGGGCTGGTGGATGGATTGATTGGTTGTGCTTTTCACAATTACTTTTTGGTTTCTTCGATCTCCCGCAGGGAGGAAAGGCGGGCAATATGGCGAGTGTTAAAAAGAGCGGGGAGGGGGAGGCAAATGGTTTGAGGACACGAGCTGAGGGGACACACTGTCTGGCAATGGTCAACGCAAAATCGCGTCGAGCTTCCGATAAGAGAAACGGGGGCGCGGGAAAGATGAAGTTGCCGAGGAAGTTGTGAAAGTTGTGGTGAGTGTGGTGCTTGCTCAGGGTTAGGGTATAGTACGTATTGAAGGTGACTGCAGGATTTCTCTAGTGGCGTCGGCACGTTCTTGGCCGTCTCATCAAGCGTTCCACGGCACTCAGGTCCGCGAACCTGAATCATGCATGCGCCCAAAACGAAAGGTGAAAAAATCGATGATGCGGTATAAACCGAGATGCCTCGGTTTAGGAAGTCGACTAACTTGGTGTCGGTACATGAAACGATAGACTGCTGCATGGGTACTGTAATGAGATACAAAAACACAGTGGACGACCCTAACTAAACCCAGAAACACCCAAAACTAACCCCCTAAACACAACACTCCTTCCCCTTTCCATTATCACCTTCGCGCATTCCACTTGCATCTGCATCATCCACCAACACACTCCGATTCCGCTCCTGCGTCGCAACAGGCACATCCAGCGCAGGATTCCGCTCAAAGAAATTGACCGGTTTCAAGCCGACAACCATCTTCTCGACAGGCATGACAGGCCAGTCCTCGGCGCGGGGGTTGTGTGTTGACCCAAACGTGTGCCACACCACGATGTCTGTGTTGCGTGCGTTTCCCTTTTCTTCTTTTTCGGTACTCTCTTGGCCGTCCTCCTCCTGCTTCTTCTGCTTCTTCCTCCCCTCAATCCACGACGCGATCCCCTCACCACCGGCCGATTGCATCGTAAATCGCCCCGCAGGAAACATCTCGTCTAACTCATCCCTTTCATCATCATGATTATCACTGCTGCTTCCATGAGGATACCTCGTCAACCAAACCGCATGCCTCGCAAACTCCGCCCGCTTCGCATGCCAGCTCCCCGGCTGCGCCAACAATGTCTGGCTGTACCACGGCATCAGCCGGAACCCGACTGGCGTACCCGTAAAGGGGTGCCGTCGCGCCTCGTTGACGATGGTGAATGTCCGGTTGGTGGTGAAGTCCAGGTCTAGGCCCGTCTCGTCTTCGACGTACTGCTGTGTCGTGACGTACCCTACGCCGTGGGGGTTGTTTTGTGCCAAGGCTGGGTCTGGTGCTGTTGGATCGTCGGCCGGCAGGGCGTGGGACTCGTGCACGAGCAGCGAGTTGGCGTGCCCATCGACGGCTGGGTCGATGCGCAGACAGAACAGGTGCTGGTGAAAAGGGGCTAGAACCCCGGGCGCGACGGTCGTGCCGTAGGGGACGGAGATGTTGCGGCCGTGGGCGTCCAAGTCAACAGGGGCTGTGGACAAGATCCCCGTGGCGCGCACCTCGTAGTGCAGCGAAGCGTCCTGACCAAAGTAAAAACAGAAGATGTACTCGTAGTTACTCGCCGTGATGACCGTTTGCAGCACCAACACCCGGGACCGGGTCACGGCGGCGTTGCCCGTGCGGAAGTTGGTGTGCTTCCACAGGATCCCGTCGTCAATCTCGTGGCAGCAGATCACATTGGGAACCTTCAGCGGGAGACCCGACGGCCCCCCCACGAGCCAGCCGTCAAAGTACTTGATACACCCTAGACAATCACACCCCAGCGCTAGACTATTCGCGCACAGCCCAGCGCCGTCATTGCCCAAGTCGAACGCGGCTTTGCGAGGGTAGGGTGTGCGGGGGTCGCCGTAGGGGACGAACATCTCGGCCAAGGACAGACGGTAGAAGAGGGAGCGGCCGTCGAAGCGGATGTCGTGCAGGGTCATGCCCTCGCGGTAGTTGAAGCCCACGCGGAAGTGCCATTTCTCCCAGGCGATCTTATGGCCGTCGACGACAAAGGACGGGCCGTGGGGTTGAGTGACGTGGTAGGGTTGGGTGGTTGTGCGCGGGGGCGGGAGGTTGTTGAGGGTTGGGTAGTACTCGCTGCCGGTGTGTAGTTTGCGGTGGTCGTATTCTTTGGATGTGGTGGTGCTCCTCTCCCCGGTGGCGGTGGATTCGGTGACACGGTCGTGTTGGTTTCCCGAGGGTAGATGTAAAATCTTGACGACGCGCAGGTCGTGGGACATTTTGACGCAGAGATCGAGCGGGTAGGCGTAGTAGTTGGCGTCGGGGTCTTCTGTCATGCGCATGTAGAACCAGCACTGCCCATATTATCAGCTTAACTAACATCCCCAAGGAAACACACAGAAACAGAAAGGAATACCATAGTCACAAGCTGCGACATGTCATTCATCCCGTCCGTCCCATACGACCACGGCTCCGCAACCACCGTCGCCCCCTTGGGCAGCTTCAACGCAGCCACCTGCTCCTGGACCCCCGGATCCGCCAGACATGCCTGCTCCGCCCGGCGCATATACGCACCATCGATATGCGAGTGCCGGCCAGGTAGGGGTTTCTCGGAGATCACTCCCTGGGAGTCCTTGTCTAGCTTGACCTTGAACTCGGTAAAGGCGCCGTTAACGTGGGCTAGGATCCGGGCGACACGGGCTGGCGGTTTGGGGTGCTCGCCGGCGTGTTCCTGGTCTAGGAAGGGTATCATGGCGGCTTTGGGTGGCTCGCTGAGGGTGATGGCCCGGAAGAGGATGTCTGTGGGGTTGGCATGGTGCTTTCGGAGGATTTCGGCGGCCTACCAATGATTTAATATTTATTTTCTAGTAATTATGGATTGGGGGGTTGAGGTTGTGGTGAAATACCAACTGGATCTCCTTTCCCGTGAGCGGGTCAAAAGGGTGCTGGGACGTCATGGCGAATCAGGGGTAGCCGGGAATCAGGGGTAAAGTCATGTGTGTCTTAGCAGCCAAAAGTGATGAAAATTGAACCAAAAGTGAAAGAAAGAGTGCGAGGGAGAAACCCAAGTCAAAAAGGAAGGGGCGCCCAACGACCCGATGTTATGCGGGCCGGCAACTGGTGGGCCGACCCGGAGCGGGGGTGGCCGCTAACGGGAGGTGCAGCCGGGCCGAGCGGGGCCGGCGCCGGTCCCGTTCCGTGAAGGTCAGGTCGAGCCGAGATATCCGTATCCGCGAAAAAGAAACCGAAAAAAGAACAAAGAAAAAAAGAAATATTACTCTATCGAAGCACTTCCTTTTCATCAAGTTGTCAAAGCATTCCAACGTCAAATCAAGAGCATCCTACCTTAATATCATTTATTACGCATGAAATTACTCTTACACACTCGCAAACACCTCAGCCGTCTCGACAACACTCCGATCAAACCCCACCCACGGCTCCCCCATCAGTGCCCCCGCCTTCCCAGCATCAAACCGCCACGTCATCTCCGGATACGTCTCCCCCGGGTTCCCTTCCACAATCACATCCCGCCTGTGCGGGAACTCTCTCCGTAACACATCGACCATCCGCTGCGGCGACACCCCGGACTCGCCCACAACCATGTACCGCTCCCGTGCGTCTCTTTTAACACTGGTGGCACTCTTCTCCACGGCCTTGAATGTCAGCCGCGCGAGATCCCGCACGTCGACAAAGGCGCTCCGGTTGGGAGAAAAAGCCGGGATGGGGCCGCCGTGGTAGAGATTGTAGATGTCGAGGGCGCGGATGCTGAGTTTGTCGATGGGGTTGGGGAGGAATAGGGGCGGGCCGAGGACGAGTCTTTTCATTCCTAGTGTTAGTATCTCTCATCTTCATCGTATTAATCAGAAAATGGGTAAGAAAACCTACGCCGGACACAAAGCAACCATATCGAACCCCCCCTTTCCCTCACTCTCAGCCTCCATCTCCACTTCCTCACCCACCCTCCAAAACGCCCGTTCCGCCGCAGCTTTACTCGCCTGGTACACCACATACCCCGACGCATTCTTCCCCAGCCTGCGCACCTCTTCCTCGGCGTCATCGTTCCAGTCCGCTTCGGTGAAGACATGCCCCGCTGGTCGGGAGGGGGAAACGATAGCGCTAAAACTGGAGAGGAATACGACGGTGCGAAAGGGGTTGGATTTGGATTTGCCCCTCCTCCGAGCCTCGGTACGTGCAGACGCTAGAAGCGAAGTGGTACCGCGCACGGCAGCACGCATCATCGGCTCGGGCTCGGTGGCGGTTGTGGAGACTGGGCTGGCGCAGTGGATGACGGCGTGGACGTCTGGGTGTGTTAGTCAGGACTAAATCTGACTAGATCAACTTTTAAGGGAGGAAAGTGAATAATTCACCCCGGATGGCATCGTCAAAGGCCCCATCCGCCGCGATGTCAGGGACTTCATAGATTTCCAATTCGCGGGCCTCGGCCGCCTCGCTGCTCGGTTGCTTTATCTGTCGGTAAAGATCAAGCGCCCGGAGAACAGCATCTCGGTCGGCAGACGGCCGAACTGTGCCGCGGACATGCCACCCACCGGAGAGGAAGGCCCGGGCCGTGTGCACGCCGATGTAGCCGTTGATGCCCGTGATGAGGACGCGTTGTACGGGGGTCATAGACATGGTGGTTTTGATTCTACTCTTAATGAACGGGATTCAGAATCGGGGTTGTGGAATGATTATTGTTTTGTGGAATAGTTCCAAATTAGTCACAGCAGATACTAGGCTCAAAGTTGTGTAAGTCAAAGTTATGGAGCTGCCGAGGTCCGACATCGCTGCGAACAAGCGTCAAACTAAGGGCGCCGAGGACACCCGTAGGAAGCCGCAGCTCGTTGGCTTTTGTCTCCGTTCCACGTCCATCTCGACAAATTCATACCAGTATTCGTGTTACAATTTGTTTTAGAATCAATACGTATAACGCTATTCACGGCGCTTTTTCGAATAATACGTGCTTGAATGATTACGGCTGATGTTCCTCATGCACCCTGTCACACAACTGGGTCGACTCGACCCAGAAGCACATTTAGCTATTAATTAATTAACGAAACTCAGCGGTTAAAACCAATGCCTTAGACCAAACGCTCATTCGTCACGGTCTGCGATCCCATTGGCGATGTGGCCGACGCCACGCAGGATGGCGTCCAAACAGCTAGACAACCTCCGGCGATGAACAAGCCCGTCTTACCCTCGCGTTGCTGCCCAAGGATGGAAGAAATACGCGTGGTGCAAGGTAAGGTATTCGACTATTTATTCGGCCAAGTCTCCATCTTCAAAAGTCTTTGTTTTGTATGCTTTTTAAACTTGCAAACCCATTGAACTCAGAATCATAGAGTCTCATATCGCGTCATCTGATCATCAGACAAATCAACCAACAAATTCTCGAAATGAAGACCTCCGTTTTCGTTTCTCTTCTCTCCCTTCTAGCCAGCGCTACTCTGGCACTCCCGACTCCCGAAGAATCAACTGAGCTCACCACCGATGGCAACCCCTGGCACGGCCGGCAGGTGCGCACTCGTGACGAGAACTGGGACCCCAACAAGGGGGGTGATGTTCCCAACCCGTGGGAAACTAGTTAGGGAGGTTGGCATATGAGGGAAGAAAGGAAGGAGAAGGGGATGAGCTAGGAAGGGGTAATTAGGTAGTAAGGGTCACAAATCGGAAATTGAATTATGGCTTAGTTAACGAATATCTATAAATTGTAAACTTCAGTCAGGGTATACTCGCTCTTGAATCCACCCACCACTTATACCTCCTGCTTCTTGCGCATTTGAATCAAGCAATCGTGGCAGTAGCCGTCTTCTCGGACCGCCCCAGCTGCACAATATCAATCTCCCCATTCTCCTTCGTCGCCCTCTCCAACCTCTTCCGCGAACAACTCGCCGTATACCTTCGACACGCCGCATCATCCCCATCCTCCCCCCAATACGACGATTCCCGACAGCTCTTGGCCCACAACTCAAACAACAGCGTCCACACGCTCAACGCCGTAGTAATCGCGATCAGCCCCAACGAGTTCAACGCTGTCCCCGCGGCAGGCAAACAGCAAAACACCACGCACACCGCAAACCGGTTCATCAACCGCGCCCATTTCGGTAACCGGCACTGGCCCGCGGGGACTTTGTGCTCGTGGCTCAGCGCGATAAGACCCATGCAGAACAGCGCCAGGCCAAGGCCTTCGCAGTAGTATAAGCGCAGGCCCAGGGAAAGGGTCGCGGCGGAGCGTTCTTGGTAAACCTCGGTTAGACCGTCGAGGGGGGTGGCGGCGGAATCGCGGAGGACGACCATTTTGCAGAGGGCGGCTGCGGCAAGGATGTAGGCCATGCTGAAGGGGAGGTGGGACCATTGCCAGAGGAGGGCTGTAATCGTTCGTTAGAGAAAGTCAAGTCAAGGGGTCACTTGAAGATGTGATGAAGAGCGGGAAAAGGGGTAAGGGGGAAAAGGGGAACTTACAGGATTGCACGCTCCGCCGAATGGCATGCACCCGCAGGGTACTCCCATCAATATCAAAATACAACCAGTTAAACACAGCCGCCTGGGTCAACCCCAAGATAGCCTTCCCCAAAAACGCATTCAGCGGCATCGCAAACGCCCCCGTATTCTGGAACATGATGCCCACGACCGAGTACCCAAACACCAGCGACACAAACGCATTGGTCCGCTCGACCTTGTGCTCGATGTTGATGGCCGGGAAGAACTCAAACCAACTGCGGAAGCGCAGGGCGAGGGGTGTCTCGTGGGCGCTGCCGTACCGGAAGAGGGCTACTGATACGCTTTTGCCGAAGAGATCGACTGCGAGGGCCACAAAGGCGAGTACGATGCGGGTTACGTTCAGGGGTGATTCGGCTCCTCCTTCTTCGCCACCTGCTCCTCCCTCTGCCGCAGCCCTGGCCTCGATCGCGAGATGGGTGTCGGTGGGAAGGGGGTTGGTCACGGTGGTGCTGGCGATCCAGAGGGCAGCGCCGACAAGGATGTTGAGGACCTCGCTCACCATGGTGCCTTTGACGAGGGGTAGTAAAAAGGCTGTGGCAGCGTAGTAGATGGCCATAGCCAGACGGGCGGCTAGGTAGAAGGCGACCATCTGGGTGTAGGAGTCTTGGCCGGCGTGGAAGGCCTGGATGATGTTGGTGGTGTGTCTGGATTGCTGATCAATAACAGAGTCAAGAAGGAGAGTGAAAGTCAAGGATAGGTAGAGAGCGGGAGAGAAAGCACTGACCCTAGGAGACACGAAATCAAGAAAATAATCTCGACCCGCTGCAGGATATCATCCGTCTGGAACCAGCTGACGACCTGCTGCACATCCGACCAGATGCGCCAGCTCATGCAAAACGTCACGATGAACCGGATCAGCTCGCGCCCGTCGGACTCCTCGGCCGCGTGGTCGCCGTTGATGGCGATGATGCCGACTGTTGGGACTTGGAGTTAGAAAACAATCATGAAGATTGAGGGAGAATACATACCGTAGAGGAGGTCGAAAAAGAGCTCGAAGCTCATGATTTCTGTGTTTTCCGCCGAGCGCCTATATTGTTAGCGCCCATCGTCCAGCCCAAAACCAAAACAGTAACACACCACTCACCACAGTAGTCCCCGATGAAAATACTGCTTAATAACCGGCCGCTGAAATAACTTCATCGCCTCGCCGGCCTCCCCCTTCCCCTCCGTCGTCCCACTATAACTACTCACCCCCGACGACGACGCCGTCATCCCGTCCCCTTCCTCCCCATCCTCCTCCCCCTCTCCCTCCCCATACGTCCTCAACTTAGCATGAAACCCAAACTTATCAAAATTCGCATTCACCCCTCCAACCCCATACTCCTCCTTCGCAATCTTCAACAACTGCGCCTCCAACCCCTCCAACTGCGCCCTCACCTCCTCCCACTCCTCCAACACCTGGGCAACCCCATCCCGCTCCCTCAGCCGCTGCCGCCGCGTCTCATGGTGCGATTTCGTCTGGTGCAGCAGGTCGCGGTGCTGTTCCGATCCGTGCACGACGACTTCCACTTGGATGGGCGGGTCTGCGTGGGCGGTGTGGGCGTACCGTTTGCGGAGGGATTCGACTTCGTCGGGGAGGGTTACTAGGACTTTGGTGCCATTGGGGAGGAGGAATTCGGAGGGGGGGTGGCCGCGCCGGGGGGGCATTTTGGCACTTGTGAATAGAGGTCTCTAGGAATCTGTTCGGATATGAGGGTTTATGGGATAAAAAGAGAGAGGAACGATGCTGTTGTCAAGTTGAAAATGAGGAACGGGAAAACTGAAAAATAAGAGTTGAAGAAGGAATGCTGGTCCTGGACTCGGTATTCAACCTGATTGGCGAGCCTTTTAGTGTTTGCCCCCCATCGGGGATCGCGTCAAATCAACCTTATCACGAAATGATCGCCAATGGAACTGCACCCCATCAGTCAGCACAGCGCAGCGGCTGAGGTGCACATTACCAATGGCTGCTCGCCTTGACCATGACGACGGCATGGGATGCTTGATGCCAAGAGAGATGGAGAAATGAGGAGAAGAAATAAGACGGACGGACAGTGGCGGACAGTGCACTGGGTTTGATTTTGTTCTGGTTTGAAACTTTCAATCACATGCTGAACACGTGCAGAACCCAACTAATCTTAGGTCGCTGTGTAAGGGCTGCCAATTAGTTAATTATTTTACCCCGGCTATCAACGGCCAAGTTTAAGACATCAAGTGACTCTGTAGGCCAACAAAGTCTAAGACTCCAAAGTCTAAATCAACGACGCTCCCTGAGTCCCGAGCTGCTCCCTACCCAACCCTCCTAGAAAATGACGGGAGTTTCCTTGCCTTGAACTCCTCTAGCCGAGGGTTAAAGCGCGACAAAGCCCCTTGCCCACTGGTGTGTTTTCCCGTACGCTGTGCTGTAGAATTAAGCTCAACCAAGAACTCAAGCCAAGAATAGTCGCCACGACGCCAACGACTTGGCGACTCGGTGTTCTTGTTGATTAATCATCAGATTTTAAACGTTAATCGGGTAACGGTTAACCTGGTTCTGCGCAGGCCCTTCCAGTTTGAAAACATACCCCGGGCTCGTCAAATGCGCCGTTCCGCCCCAATTCAGAAGAACGCGATTCCCTGCAGGGACCCTCACATATGTAGAGGTGACCTCGACTCCTCGATCATAGAGCGAATAACGTTAGCGCTTTATTGAACACCTACGGCGCCCCATGTTTCAAGGGTTGCGCCCTCAGGCTAACCCTCTCTCCCGTTGTTACTCGTAAGCAGGGCCGACGGGGAGCTAGGAGCGTCTTGTAGTTGGGTGCTTCCCAACCACGAATAATTAACAGGTAGGTAGGTATGTATAGTTATACCTAGTGTGCAATCATTTTGACGCAGCATAACGAGGCATGCAGTATATACAGGCTATGCTTTGTAATTACGCGTAAAATGCGCCACCAGCGCGCACGGGCGAAATCCCCGACCCTTGGTTGGCGTACATTCATACATCGTGGACGCGTGCAATCTGGCGATGCGAGCCCTCCTACTCATTCACTCCCATTCCTAGCCTCGCGAAAGGGTGAACCTCGCCGTCCCGCAACGAGGCGGTTGATGGTTGGATGGTGGAAGCCCTGGAGTCTCCAACTTACACACATGCATGTGGCCGGAAACCCAACCCGTGACCAGCTTCCAACAGCATGGTCCATGGGTCTCAAAAACCATTTAGCGCATAAATCATCCACTCCTTTTCCTGCAGCACATCGTCGCCATGGCAAACGCGCGAGCACAATTAGCCGCTCAGCGAAGCCTCGTATCGTCGGCCTCAAATTCACCACCATCGTCAAAACATGGCGCGACGCCCGATGGACGCGGAACCAAGCGGCCAGCCGACGCCCCCGTCTGCGATCTCGATCCTGCTCAAAAGCGGCCCCAGCACTTTTCCACAGGCCCTCTCGCGGAGGGGATCTCCAGGAAGCTCGGCCCGATTGATTTTTGGGCAAGAGAAGGACATTGGCCGCGAGAATACTTTGAACTCGACATGGAACACATACTTGAAAGGCAGAGTCTCCTGGCCCCTCGCAGGCGATCGAGTTCCGCGACATCGATAACGCCCAGCGATCAGAGACCGAGGGAGGAGAAGAGTGCTCCGTATCGGGATCCGTGTTACGAAATCATTCTCGGGACCAAAGGCAGTTTCATGACCAAGTCCAACCTCGATATCACCAACGCAAATAAGGCTCTTTGTCGGACTCTACTTGAGAACTCTCAACCGACCCCCGAAGACTCGTTGTTCCGCGATGATATCTTCCAAGCTACCTGTGACATGATACATAACCGTAACGAGGCACGCGTCATTCGGGACATCACCAGGCTTATCGTCCCCTCGGCAGAGAGCCTTGCTACATTCGGTGCGAAACACCTCGACCACCTGGTTGAGAGTGTCAACGAAGGATGGAACAGCGCAATCCCTTTGGTAGGGGCTCGACCACAACCCGACTACTCTGTTGGGTTCAGACGCGAGGCGTTTAACGACGGCCAACTCGCGAAGCTATCGCCGTTTGTCGGTGATTTTATGGCTAGGGATCTGTCGTTCTTCATGGCCACCTACTATCTGTACTTCCCGTTTCTAACGTGCGAGGTGCAGCGTGGGGCTGGAGCACTCAATGTCGCGGACCGCCAGAACGCACACAGTATGACGCTTGCTGTACGGGCGGTTGTTGAACTTTTTCGTGTAGTAAAGCGCGAGGGCGAGGTTCATCGACAGATCCTCGCCTTCTCCGTCTCCCACGACGACGAATCGGTACGTATCTATGGCCATTACGCGGTGATTGATGGGGAGGATACCAAGTACTACCGCCATCCGATCCGTAAATACACTTTTGCAGAACCAGAGGGCAAGGAGAAATGGACGGCGTATCGGTTCACCAGAAATCTTTACGATGTATGGATGCCTATGCATTTCCAGAGGATCTGTTCAGCTATCGATCAGTTGCCCTCCGATCTGAATTTGGAGGCCCTGTCCGGGAGGGCAACGGGGCTAAGCTAGAATTTGAGAGCCCTTACATAGAGCATTGAACAATTAAGCTGCCAAAGGTTAGATATCTTTACCGGTGGGATCGTCTTGAATTCCCCGTCCCGCGGTTCACCCACCATATAATTTCAGGCTTAGACACATGGGACAAACGATGGAAGATAGTCGCGTTTCGTAGCATCCCTCTGTGAGAGTAAGAGTCATCCTACAAGGCTACTATTGGACATCCAAGATAATTAGAGAAAGGGAGAAGAAGTCAAATCTCAACGAAATAGGAGAGCGAACCCCTCCCGCCCCCCGTTTATGGCTTGGCACTTGAGGCTGTCAATAGCATGTCTGTAGCCCAGTAGACCCATTCTCCCTAATTTAGGTAGTATTTTCCGGTCATTAGGTGTGTGCTTAGTCACCGTGAACTCATTGAGTTCTGGCCCCGTCATTGGCCTCTACTATGCTATTTTAAAGGCCCACCGCGCAGGCTGATGAAGCCGAGGAAGCGTTCGAGGCCCACGGCCCACCTAATAGGTTCTCGAGGATAGCAATGCCGGTATCTCATGTTAATAATCGAACTAGTAACCGATTCGAAGGAGCAAGGAGGTGGATGCGTGATTAATCGAGAAAATTTCCTCGGAACAAATCGCAACGACGCCTAATGAGACCAAGAATCAACCTGTTGAAGTTTGAGGGTCACAGCAGCAGTCTCGAGTGAACTTGAAGCGGAACTGCTGTCTGTATATACAAATTGTTATGTACACATTCTTCTGGTTACTATGCCAACAGTTGAGTTGCCCCTTTTCCCCCTACCACACCACCGGCGCCGGGCTCTTCACAAAGTCCTTCAACGGCGTGGTGCCATTATAATCTACCGAGACAGCCTGCACAAACGCCTCGGCGACGAGATTGGCCCCCTCGGGACTCGTATGCGTATGGTCCTGCGGGTAAAGCGCATTGGTAGCATCACTGCCCAGCTTCAAAAACAAGTTCGCCGTAGCCTGGAAATGGTCCACAAAGCTCGCCCCTTGGCCGACATTCTTCGCCGCCGACGCCGCATAGCCCACAAACCGCGGCGCACCCGGGGCGAACACACCGCCCTCCCACAAGTTATTTGGCGTCTGGCTGCTCAGGACGACCTGCGCGCCTTTCGCCACATACTCCCGCGCCGCGGCCTCGACGTAGTGGTTGAACGTGTAGACCAGCTCGCCGGTTTTACCTGACGTGCACACCTCGTCGCCGGTGCCCGGGCAGTCGCTGCGGCCGTTGTCGGAGGCTGAGTTGGGCGAGCCGCCGTCGTTGTGGCCGAACTCGATGATAACGATGTCGCCGGACTTGACCAGGCCGGTGATCTCGGTGAAGCGGCCTTCGTTGCTGTAGCTGCGGGCGGATCGGCCCGAGATGGCTTTGTTGACGACGGGGATGGTGAGGTATTGTGCGAGGTATTCGCCCCAGCCTGGAGAAGGATTTATTAATGAATGTCATTAATGAATAATGAGGCTTTGATGAATGTAAATCGGACTAAGAGAGAAACAAACCCATAAGACCATTGCCCGTCTTAGCCATGGTGCTATCGCCCGCCAGGTAGACGGTCGGAGACGCCTGCCGTGTGACCTTGACGGGCGTGGCGCGAACGCCGGAGGCTGCAAGCCCGGCGAGGGCGAGTGATACCCAGGAGACCATTTTGATAGCTGTCCCTCCTATGAACGCAGGAAACGAGATATTTTTGGAGAGAGTGAGCTATTCGTCGGCCTAACAATATCGTGTTTTGATACTTCAAAATATCAAAAATGACAAGAGCAACTTTCAAAATCCACTACGAGAAACAACCACGTACCATCACGGTTCCCTAATCTACTTATAACAGTGATAATAATAGCGATAATAATTATCCCGTACCATAATACAACCCTCGGCATTCACTACTCCGCACCTCCAACAGACAAGACATAATTAAGAGACGTCCCTCGCGGCTAAAGACACCGAACCACCGAGCGGCCCCTGTTCCCCTTCCGAGCTCAAACGCAACACACAACTGTAACGCTCCGGCATTGGAGGAAAAAATAGCCAATGTACAAGTGTAGGTGGTATCGACGTTTCGACAATATGAATTGCCCGCTATGGGCGATGAGCTCTAGAAGCTGGGGTAAATCAGGCGGGACGGCCAAGACCCGGGTCAGCGGATGCTACCAAATTAATGACGAATTGGCCGATGCGAGTCGTGGATTAAAGTATGGCCTTGGTACTACAGAGTATGGCATGACGCCTTTGGACGCCTTCGTCTTAAATGACCTGTGGTTAGGTTGCTAAGTATGGCGCGCTTGTAATTAATATCTAAAAGAAGAGACCTCGGAGTAACGCTTCAAACACCCGAGGAGGAGGTTGCACAGGGCAAAGTTTGCGAGCACGTGAAACAAAAGGTCAATATCCTGAATTTTGATGGTTGAGCTTGAAATTGTTTACGTACAACTCTGTTGAACACGTTGGGTCGAGGGGGTCTTAAAGACAATGGACAACCACCAGAGAGAAAGCGAACCTGCCCACCTACGTATAATTATCATCCCATTGGATACTAACCGTTGTGTACAAAAAGCCATACACCCCTAGGCAAAATGCACTTGGTTCCCCCCTCCCCCCCCAGCGTCTTGATTGTTTAACTTACCTACTCGCACGCATTAACACCACCAAACCTGTGCCTTCCCGATCAACATATTTCAACCAACATACGAACATACACTACTCAATAACTCGGTGCAACGCCTTGGTCATGTTTTTATCTTTTAGTGATTGGTCATGATGAGGCCGGCCCCGTCCGAAAACTAAATCCGTGCCTGGGGCGAGCGAGTCGCAGTATCCCACATGCATTTATCCCACAACCCCCCTCGTATAGACAAGACAACCCACACATACCCGACCCTTGGAGTTCCAGTTCCGTGTTTCCTCCGCTCTATGTTCCATAACGTCGACATGTAGTTTGTGTAAGAAAGACAAGGAAAAAAAGGGAGGGAGACAAAGAGACAGCTAGATGATTGATTACCCGCAGATAACCAACGCCGTCTCTAGCTCCTTAAAACCATATGAGCGAAGCCCCCAACGTTCCGATTTCCGATTCCAACTCCCCGTTTCCGAACGCGATTGTAAACCACTGTTCTACTACGTACGTGCGCGCGCGCACCGGTGGCCCATTCCACATTTAGTCCACCTGCTTCTCACACCCAATCCGCCCCAGTAGCTCCTTACGATCACTGTGCCCGGGCAGGCTGACACCCGTAGTTGTCGGTGACTGCCTCTTAACACCAGTCCTGCGCTCCCAGTTCTTGAGATCGATCTCCTCGACGCCCACCTCCTCCTCGAGCGCCTCCTCATAGTCAAACTCCTCGTCCACCTCGCCCTCCACCTCTTCCTCAGCGTCCCCTTCGTCGTCGCTCCGCACGTCCTCGGCCGGCGCGCCCTTGAGCACCTTCACCGCGACGCGAATGATCATGGCGAACCACATGATCGTCAGGCACTGCAGGAACAGCAACATGGACAGGAAGGACCATTTGACCGTCTCGTTGTAGCAGAATGTGCCTTCCGAGTCCCACAGCGGCTCGAGCAGGTAGCTGAAGCCCTTATCGGTGGGCGGGTCGAAGGGGCCCGTGAGGTTGTCGCGTGGGCCGCGGAAGCAGCCGGTTGGCATGATCACCGGGGTGTGCGCCCACACGGAGTAGCACACGGCGAGGTATAGGAAGTGGCGGGCGACGAGCCACGAGGTCATGAACACGCCGAACATGACGTCGCAGATGGTGTGGTAGCCGAGGTACTTCAGGCACTTGGCGATCTGGTGGGCACGACACAAAGTCACTTGGTTAGCGGGACGGTGTAACGGATAGGGTCGGAATTTTCTGGGTTCTGTGATGACATACCCCGAGAGCCAGGTCGGACACGTCCATGAGAACTAGAATCAGGTTGCCCACGCGCGTGTGGCCGTAGCGGTACGAGGTGTAGATGAGCACGCTCGTGATGATGTGGTGGGTGAACATCTGCCAGTGGTCTTTCCGGCGCTCTTCGATGTTGATGACAATGATCTGTTGTAGCCAGAAGCCCAGCTGCGCCAACATGTATCCCTTCATCAGCCCCGTCAGCTCCCGGTCGGGCCAGCCGGTCCACAGCTCGTGTAAGTTGAGGTATGCAGGCGATTGGTAGTAAATGTACTGTTGTTTCGTCTTGTTAGCTGTTGTTCTTGGGTTGAGCCTAAGCGTTGTGCAGGAGAAAGCCTACCAGTCCAAAGGGCCAGAAAATCGCATAGTAAACCGACATCCAAGCCTGCTCGCTGAACCGGGTGATATCCTTCCTCTTGGACAGGCCCTGGGATTTGGCGAACGGCGCAAGGATGTATTCCATGGTGGCGGCGCGCAGGCCCGTGAGCAGGACGATGCAGAAGAGAATCAGGTGGCCATCATACCAACCCAAGCCGTATTTCCCCGTGCTCGGGTTGAAGTAGGAGAGGTTGAAGTATTTGGCCGTGTAATCGCGGGCGCGGGGCATGCCGTGGGCGAGGAAGAGGAGCGCGAGGAGGTTGAAGGAGAATCCTGGACAACCCGTGAGTTAGCTTTCTTGTGTGGTTCGAATAAACGCTTTGGGGCTCCCGTTCGCGGAGCCGCGGCCGTGGTGGGAAGAAAGGCAATGATCGTAGACGCACCAATCTGGTTGTTAACGAACCAGCGAGTAAGCTGCTTCATTGGGCCCTCGTTTTTCCTCTTGACGCGCCGAACGAGTACGACATTGCTGTTAGCTTGCTTGTACAGAGGGCCGTTCATGTGTTGCGGCTTGCCACTCCTCCGCGACGCGCGAGACGGGCTCTTTGGGGCGCCGTTGCCGTTGCCGTTGCTAATGCCATGGCTCGAGGTTGGGGGCGTCGTTGACGTTGGGGTGGAGCTCATGGTCACCGCGTTTCCCAACCGGCAGGCCGCCGATTGTTAGATTGTATGGAGGCGGTACGAGGCCGAGAACCGGGAGCAGGTCGGTCGGCGTCGTCAGGTGTTGGGCTTTCTCTCGGTACGAAGTTTATGGCACCGAGGTCGCTTTGCCGCGTGTGGGTTTTTGATTTTCGGGAGGCTGGACAGGGGGGGCAGCCCGTTGGATGGAGCGTGCCGAGACCCTCCAGGTTGTGGGTTGTCGTTCTGTTTGGGGACTGGTGAAGCGTCGAACGGCTGCAATTTCCCGCTGTCCACACACTGTCTTTCCCAAGGAAGAACCGAGAGAAGGATGCTCCTTGAATAACGTGGGAACAAAACCACACAACTTCACCAAGACTTTTTGCGCCAACTTGCGAACCTCGAGCGACGATGCTGAGACACAGAGAAAGAGAAACGAGCGACAGGAGGTGGACAAGGGTCGCCGGGTTCGTTACTCCACCCTTGTTGGCGAGTTTGGCTTCTGCCCAGACATGGCAGAGCAAAATGTTGAATTCGGCGGCCGGCCCCACCTGAAGATCGAAGGCACTGAAGGCAAGAGGGTACACACAAGAAGGCGGTGGACGAAGTCGCACTGCAGATTTCCCAGGTCCCTGGCGGCAGCAGGGATTTGGCCCCGATTGAAACGCGGGATTGGATGAACCAGGGTTCTGCACGGGCCCTTCCAGCCAGGGTCGCCGGCAAAGGGAATTCCCCAGCTTCCCACTGGTTGCTAGGAATGGAACCAGGAGTTCGACAAACGCAAAAAGCAGAACATTTTGGTCGTTAGTCGACTGCTCTAATGCTGGTATTTTGGGCGTTGACAAAAAATATAGGGGGTGCATGTCACTTAGTTCGCTCGTGAACGCTACAACTGCTGCATCGTGCTTCACTCGCCAAACAGCACCGTAGTTTGTTTGGTTACGAGATAGGCGCGCTTGCAGGCTGGAGGGGTTCCGTTGAATCGCACCATCGGGACGGAGGGGTTGGTAACAATTGATACCAGCCAACCCAAATATTGCAACGGCAGCAGGGAGTCACGGGCTGTGACAGAATGAAGAGTTGGGGAGAACACGACCTTGTCCCCCGCTTTCTTTCCCGTTTGAACACTGATGAACCGCGGGGTTATGCTGCAAGATCCTCTCGAAGAGGCCGAGCTGCATCCGATCAGCCAGCTTTCCAAGGCGGTGGTCAACGGTGCAGCTGCCAATGGGACGGCGTTGTTGCAGCATGCTCCCCTCTCCTGACGTCCGGTTGCAGGTCGGCAAGTTGAGTTAAAACATCACGTTATCTCTAGAGACAACAATGGCCGACAGCTCCAGGTTCAGTCAAAATGCGTGTTGTGAAACCTTTCCCAATGTAGTTGTTGAGGGGGAGGGGGGGAGGTTCTTCAAGACGGAATAACTTCGGAATAACGTTACGGCTGTCCCGTTAGGCATGTTCGGCATGTAACCTCCCCGTATGGAACAAAAAATCGGGATACAAAGCACTTGTTAACTGCAACCCTCTCAACGGGGGACTTTGGCTCGCGGTTGAGCGGTCAGATGAACAGAAGAAACCTGTTTGTGTTGTCACTGGTGTCGATCTCAATGTTTAACCCTAACCCTGTATAGCAGGATTTCTCTTCCCTGTCATTTGATTCTTGGCAACGTCGTCCATCCTCAGCCTTGCACGTTTTGCCGATCTCAAACTTCGCAGCCTTCCTCCCCGAAGGCGACAACGTTCCGCCCCCGATACACACAACCCACTTCCTCCTTTCCCTCTCGTCATCATGAACCAAATCCGCGCCATCCAGGCGCTCAACAAGCGCGAAATCGAAAACGGAGTACCCCCCGAAGCCTCGTGGCACACTGACTACCGCGACACTGCTTTTGTCTACTTCGGTGGCCTACCCTACGAGCTCTCCGAGGGCGACGTCATCACCATCTTCAGCCAGTACGGCGAGCCCGTGTTTCTTAAACTCGCGCGCGACAAGGAAACGGGCAAGTCCAAGGGTTTCGGCTGGCTCAAGTACGAGGACCAGCGCAGTACCGACCTGGCCGTTGACAACCTCGGCGGGGCCGAGATTGGTGGGCGGCTGGTGCGCGTGGACCATGCACGGTACAAGGTGCGAGATGATGAGGATCTGGAAGAATATCGGATTGGATGGGAGGATATGCTTCGGCGGGAGCGAGCCGAGAAGGGCCTGCCGAGCGACGGTGGGGAGGATGAGACGGACGATGAGGCGGACGCAGCGTCGCGGCCAAGGCCAATGATCAAGGAGGAGCAGGAGTTACAGTATCTGTTGGAGAATCACGACGATGACGACCCGATGAAGGAATATTTGGTGGAAGAAAAGAAGAAAGAGGTGGAAGAAGCTCTGCAAAGGAACAGTCGGCGCTCAGAAAAAGCGAGCCGACGGCACAGGGACAAAGACAAGGATAAGCACCGTCACCACCGCTCTCATCGTTCGCGGCGAGACGGTAGTGGCGATGATAGAGAGGAACGTCACAGATATCGGGACAGAGAGGACCGGGACGACGACCGCAAGTCGAGATCCACGAGAAACGGGGACCAGACGCCTGTCGAGGGTTCCGAGCGAAGGAAACATCGCCGAGACTCTCAAGATCTGGACCATGACCGTGGTCTCGAGAGACCCAGTGGTACGGGGGATCGGGAGAGGAAGGAGGGTCGTCGCCACCGAGATGATCGTGAGCAAGGCGAAGATCGGAGGGACAGTGATAGGCGGCGACGGCACGCTCGAGATGGGTCACGAGACCGTGACGAGCGTCGGCAGCATCGTGACTTGGAGGATAGGAGACGGCATGATAGAAGGAGGAGTCGAGGCCGCTCGCCGCGCCCTTACCGGGATTAATCAAGATGAGGAGGACTCATGGTGAAAGTGGTACTAAGTTGAGAATGCACAATGCTGAGATACCCATAAAATACGTCGTAGCAGTAACCTAATACAATAATATTCGGGCACGGTGGTGCTCCTTATAATTAACAACGAATCTAAAGAGACGAATATCTTTTCAAGTCGGACACTTCAGGTTGGAGCATGGGCATGGTTCTAGTTGACACACTCTTCCCTACAACCTTTTTTCCAGTCTGTTGAATAGTAATCTTTGGACCCACGCGTGAAACATCAAGTTGAAGTGGACTTTGAAGTCGAGGCTCTTATGGAACATATGGCTAGGATATGTGCTGGGCGCGCGGTAGGTAGTACGCCGACAACTAGCCTACTCGGACTCGTAAGTATCAGAGCTAAACCAGGCAGAATAGAAGGGCGGCAGCCGTGAAGCTTGGGCGGGCATACTGGAGGATGGATTGACGTGCTCGTGGAGAGAAGCGTGGGGAAGCATCGGGTCTAGATCCGTAAGATGAGCCATGCACTGGTGTTTCAAGTTCTGGAGTTACCCAGTCTTGGATTAACTCAACCACCGCTACCGCATTCTGACAATACATGCTGAGCCTGACTCCTGTCACCGTGAATAATGCATGCCTCCACAGAGTCCTGTAAATCCTTGCCATATCCATATCCCAAACTCCCTTGCTTGCTACGAGCTGTACCATGAACGCCGCCAACAGAGGAGGAAATCAACCATGTATCCTCAACATGAACCCAAAGCTTCTGCGAGAACCATCCCCAAACAAAAACGCAAGACTCAAAACATCAAGGGCATAAACCCAAAAACACTCCTCAAGGTCCACCAAGATACCGCTTCCACCCCTCCCTCACACAATACCTTTTCCCCTCTGGGCCCTCTTGGACCACCGCAAACTTCTCCCATCGCGCATCCCGGCCTGCACCAACAACCACCAAGGTGTTCTCGCCCACCCACCCAATCACCCCTTTGGGAGGCCTGGACGTCCCCAGAGTCGTGCTGTCCGACATGGGTGGCCCACTAAGCCTGCTGCTTCTCCTGCCCGTGGGCGAATCGGTGTTTTCGTCTTCGTTGTCCACATCGAACGGCGCCGAAGCAAAGGAGTAAACGTCGGAGAACACCCGCGGCATCATAGGGATACGGGAGAGGATACCCCACCGACCGCGGCCATCGTTGGCGTTAGTGGGAGTAGCACTGCTACCGCTGTTAGTCACACTTTGGTCGAGTGGTTGTTGTTGTTGTTGTTGCGACTGTGGGTGTCCGGCCTTTTTGGAAGATGGTACATCGAAGATGTGCAACGTAGATTTGTCCGAGGTGCAGGCGAGCATGGTGCCAGGCGGGTTAAAAGCTAGTGAAAAGATGGTGGCCGGGTCGATTCCGCGACGTAGTTCTACTAGGCGGGCGCAGTTGCTAGTTGCAAAGACGCGAATAAGAGTGCCCTAGTTAGATGGCATATTTAGCTTGGGTTGACCGGGGGCTAGAAAGGGACTAGAACATGGCTATCCTTCCCACTGGGAAACTTACAGTTTCACTCGCTGTGGCTAGTAGCTCACCGTCCGAACTTAATTGCATCGCTTTAACTGCTGAGGTATGCGCCGGGATAATGCTAACGTTGCCGGTTGCGATCTCGACCAGGTGTACATGCCCCGTGGTCCTACCGGGGAACGCCATCCTCACCGGCGATAAACAGCATAACCCCCACGGATTGTTCGCCGTCTCGTAGACCGACAGCAGGCTAGGGTTCCGTGAGAACTTGTAGACTCGTACGCTGTTTTGTAGTACGACTACGATCTGCTCCTTGGATAGTTGAACGCCTCGCACCGGGGTTAGGCAACTGATCTCAAGGCCGGTTTTACTCCTCATATCGTCCCAGACCACAAGCTACAGCGCATTTGTCAGAGATCTGTTGTTGAGCTTTGGGATTATGGGACGTCTCTCACCTTGTTCGCAGCGAACTTCGGTTGCCTCCCTCCACCAACAAGGCCAAAATAGTTTGTGGACCCTAACAATTGGATTAGGCCCACGCCGGCGTTGAACTCTATTGATCGTTTTGATTAGTTCCTGAACGTTTTTCATGACTGGCCGGACCTTCTCGGCTTACCCCGTGTTGTCCGGAGGTTACATGGGTCCGAGTCGAACACTACACATCGTTAGCCACCCATATGTATGAGCAAATAAGAAGGGGAAGAAACCCCAAGTCCGGGAGTGGACGTCGAAGGATCGCCATGGCGCCGCTATCTCGGGGATTAAGGTGTCATGCCTGGGGCAGCCCGAATTGCACTTACCGCGGAAGCCTGTGTTGAGTCCCACCGCAAATAGACTGCAGTCGGGGTTGAATGAGACGGAAAGGACAACTGTCCCACCAGGGCTTTCGAGAGGAGTCCGGGTGTTCATTCTGCCGATGAACTGTGATGGTTTTGTTTAACGAGTGCAGACAACGGATGAACCGTGGTAATGGCAGCCGAGCCAAGTGGACGATGGAAGCGCAACGGCAGCCAGCCCCTCAGCCTCGGCGGAAGCTATGGGCACTTGGCACTTGGTGAATGATACTCGTGTCCAACTTTAGGATTTTGGGGATGATGGGAAGCAAATCTACGGGCCCAATATCGATGAATGCGATCGAAAAATTCCGATAGAAGCTGCCTCTGTCTATGGTCGTGGTTCTATGCTCCTCGTTGTTTCAGTGAGATGCAACCCGAAGTCGGCAAGTGTGTGCGAAAGCAAGTGAGAGTGGGATAAATAACAAGCAAGAAACAAATTAAGTGGAAGCGAGAGAAAAGAATATTAGTTCAAAGAATGCTTCATAACTACGGAGCTTGCGAAGGACCAGATTGGGTTTCAAAATGCAGTTGATGAACTTGGGACTCAGAAACCTGGAAGGGAAGAATGGCGGACGTTGGTGTCACAAGCCGCCTGCTCAGCAAGATGTACTCCAGCCCAAGCAGTCCGTTCGCCGTCGAGTGTGAGCGGGCTGACAGACACCGCGCGCCCCTAGCAAGCAAGCAGCCTGGGGAAGGCGGCACGGTCCACCGCGCTCAGAACAAGAAGTTGTTGCCAAGCAGCTGGCGACAGCTGTACGGGCTTTTGTTATGGAGATTTTGGGCTTGAGAGTCTGGAGCAGACCTTTCCGTTGTGGGACTAGCGCACAGTGGAACGAGCGACCCCTGAATTGCAGGCGGGCCATTGCTCCCTGGGTTTGGGGGGAGCTCGGGTGTGCTTGCGCCTGCCGACCAGTTGCACCGCAACATTTGTGTGAAATTACCATTTTCCGACAACGCCCATTCCTGACCTCTCCTTTTCCCAACCTGCAACTGCTGTCGCTCCATCTCGACGACCGCAAACCCGCAACCACCTCTGCGACCGCCGGCTTTTGGCCACTGGATAGAGCCATTTGTCTATTTAGCTTTATCTTTCCTGCCTTATTTTCCAAGGCCGGTGCTAGTCTCGCCCGTGCTCCCCCAAACGCGACGACTCGACTCCGCGACTCCACACATCCACCACCACCATGTCTTCCCCGGCCGTACGTCTGCCTTTCCTTGTCTCTCCGCCGCCGTCCTGATCTATCGTCCCAAAATCTTGAGCGTGTCAATTGAACACCGTCTCCAATCCCACCTGGCCGTGCCCCAGACCAGCTCTACCGCCTATTGTGCATCGGGCAGATTTTAGGACCCGACGGCTAACATGTCCTTGGCACAGAAGATGATCCGTCGGAAGAAGAACGTAAAGAAGGGGATCCAGTTTTGCCTGATGGTTTGCGGTGCCTCAGGTACTGGTACGTATCTTACGCCATCGGGCTTTACTCCTTCGCGACTGGCATACATTTGTTGACCTTGCTCCAGGCCGTACTACCTTCGTCAACACGCTCTGTGGCAAGCCGGTGCTCTCGCACAAGGAGTCCGATGATGCTGGCGCAGCCCACGTCGAGGAGGGCGTTAAGATCAAGCCCGTTACCGTTGGTACGCAGAATATCCATGTTTGACCGCAATTCTGTTGCAATTGACTCCTAACACTCGATAGAGCTGGAACTGGACGAGGAGGGCACCCGTATCTCGCTGACCATTGTCGACACCCCCGGCTTCGGTGACCAGATTGATAACGAGGCCAGGTTTGTTTCCCAGGTTACCCCCAAGTCCTTGTTCGGTTAGGCATTCACTGACGCTCCTACCTTTGAACAGCTTCTCAGAGATTGTTGGCTACCTGGAGAGGCAATACGACGATATTCTGGCGGAGGAATCGCGTATCAAGCGTAACCCCCGCTTCAGAGATAATCGTGTGCATGCCATGCTCTATTTTATCACCCCGACTGGTCATGGGTAAATCGCGCCCTGTTCTGAATCTCGGTTTGGCGATGGAGCTGACTGTTAGCATAGGCTGCGCGAGCTCGACATTGAGCTGATGAAGCGCCTCGCGCCCCGCGTCAACGTGATCCCCGTTATCGGCCGCGCCGACTCGCTCACCCCATCCGAGCTCGCGGAATCCAAGAAACTGGTGATGGAGGACATTGAGCACTACCGCATCCCTGTCTATAACTTCCCGTACGACATCGAAGAGGACGACGAGGACACGGTTGAGGAGAACGCTGAGCTTAGGGGGCTGATGCCCTTCGCCATCGTCGGATCGGAGGACGTGGTCGAGATTGGTGGTCGCCAGGTGCGCGCCCGGCAATACCCGTGGGGTGTTGTTGAGGTCGACAACCCGCGCCACTCGGATTTCCTGGCTATTCGCTCTGCCCTGCTGCACAGCCATCTTGCTGACCTCAAGGAAATCACGCACGACTTCCTCTACGAAAACTACCGTACCGAGAAGCTTAGCAAGAGTGTCGAGGGCGGTGCTGGAGTGTATGTTTCACCCATTTCTATGGTTATGTCTTGGACCTTGCTAACATAATCCGCAGCGATTCGTCGATGAACCCTGAGGACCTGGCCTCGCAGTCTGTCCGCCTCAAGGAGGAGCAGCTTCGGCGCGAGGAGGAGAAGCTTCGTGAGATTGAAGTCAAGGTCCAGCGTGAGATCAACGAGAAGCGCCAAGAGCTGCTCGCTCGTGAATCTCAGTTGCGTGAGATTGAGGCACGCATGCAGCGCGAGGCAGCGGCTGCCGCCGCGACTCAACAGGCTGCGGCTGGTAACGAAGCCAATGGCGCCGAGTAGGTTTTGCGCCCCAACGGCTCGATATGTCGGCAGCGGCTTTGATATCCGGTTGTTACCGCCCTCCCGGCATTACCGCAGTACGACAGTTTCTAGGCGACCCTTTATGCGACCCGATCTTTCCGTACCGGCGTTGGTTCTCTTGTTGTTTAGAGACAAAATATTCCCCCGTGTTTTCCTAGGCTCTTCGCGATATCCGCTGGTCAACCGATGTCAGGGGTGGTGTGGATCATGACTGAGGACGACTGGCAGGGTGGTGTCGAGGCGCTCACTGGAGTGGTGTGTTGATGGGCGGTTCAAGGGTGAGGGGGGTGATGGAGGAAGCTGTCCCCGAGTTATTGAATTTGCGGCTTGTTGTCGACGGCGCGGATGGCTGGCAGGATATCTTAGGGAGGTTTTTTTTTACCCCCTCTGGTTCGGACACAGGTGGTGGATTTACGAGAACTGCGGGAGGTGACCTACGGCGCCCTCCTCTCGTCCTGCCCGCTCACAACACCACCTCATTGGTGACCGCCTTTACCCACCCCCCTACTTTGACTGTCTGCTTTTTTCCCGTTTCTACTATTGAACTTCTAATGCAGATATCACTAAATTCAACTTTTCCTACTCTCGTCGTACGTGTGTATTCTTACCTGACGGCGCTAGTCTGTCGGCGTATATGCCTAGCGGACGAAGGGACAAGGTTTCGACACCCTGAGGTTAAGGAAGAGTTAACACTGGTGATGGAAACGCAATTTAATGGTTATGTCATCTTCAAACGCACGGCCGGCCTCGACAGCCCTGCGCCCATCCTAATGAGTGACCGTCAGATGTGCGAGTGTATGTGTGAGAGCGGTGTATAACGGATTTCGCTGTTACGTCCAATGTTTGTAAGTGGAGCTTGATTTGGCCGCTATGGGGTAGGACAATAACATGATAAGGTAGCTGAGCTCTTATTCCTTCAAAAAACACGGAAGAAAAAAGACGATCAAACAAAACAAAACAAAAAACAAAAACAAAAACCCAACCCGATGGCCGTTCGCCGCGCCCTGTACAACCGAATATCAAACACGTCGAACCGCTCTACGACTCCATCCTCTTATTAATGCTCAAAGCCCCCTGTCAAGGATGTGGATTGGTCACCCGGCCAGAACTTAGTTGTTGCTCTGGCTGTTCAGAATACGAAGGATAGCCAGGAACAAGTTGATGATGTCCAGATACAAGCTGATCGCAGCAGCAATTTCCTCCTCAACGTGATGCTTGCGCAGCACCAGCTGAGTATCAACCAGCACGTAACCGCTGAAGATGAGAGCCGTGAGCAGACCGTAGATGAGTTCGGTGGTGCTGGTGTGCGGCAGGAAGAAGGACATGAAACCGAAGATGACGAGACCCCACAGCGCGCCGAAGAGGTAGGGCATCCAGCTGGTGAAGTCGTACTTGGTCTGGCAAGCGAAAGCCGTCAGGAAGAGGAAGATGCCTGCTGTCAGGAAGACTGCGTTGAGCACGATGCCGGCGCTGTAGAAGGAGACGATCACGCTGACGGTGTAGGCTTCGAGAAGGGTGAAGGCGGACAGGAACAGGAGGTTGGTCGGGTACGAGTGGCGCTTCCAGTAGGTGAGCATCATGCAGGCCATGGAGCCGAACAACTGTTGAGGTGGAAATGTTAGCATTGGCGGGGTCTGTTCGCGCACGCACGGATATTTAGGGAGGGCCCGTAACGGCGGGTGGGGGGCACGCACCGAAATCCAGACGATAGCGGGGTGTGTTTGGATCCATGACTTGTAGCCTTCGCTGAGGAAGCTCAGGGCGCTGACAGCACCGGTCGCAATGAGTTGAACAGTTAGGATGGTGTAGACCTTGCGGATAAACTGGTTGCGGATCTCGATAGTCGCTTCGGCGACGGAACCTCCAAACTAGGACGTTGGTCAGCAGGACGAAACAGCGAAAGTCGAGCAGAAGTCTCAGTTGCAGCATTACGCGCCGCGGAATCCGTACTGCTTAACGTACCTTGAAGTCATCGGGAAGGTTGTCCTCGCTGCTGCGCGGGCCGGAAAAGAGACGCTCCTGGTCCTGCGCGGAGCTGCTCTCGGCCTGGTATGAAGGGGGCGGCTGCGCATAGTTGACGTCGGGGTCCTCCTGCGGAGCCGGCGTGTACTTGGTGTTGGCCGACATTGTCACGGCTAGTTACTGCGTTGAGCACGATCGTTTCGGTCGGACGGTTGAGGGAAGCGCAGAATGCCGAGAAGATCTGTGGGTGATGAATCAGAAAGATGCCGCAATGGGGAAATGCGACAAGGCTGACGCCAGTCAGAAAGAGCAGTGATCACGCGCAGTAGTGGGTGTCGGTAGTGTCGAATGATGAATGAATGGTTGACCCGAGAGGTGGGGATGCCTGCTCTCAGGTGGCGGAGCTGTGGCCAACTGCGAGCGGGCCGGGAATCTTCCACTGCCGCAGCCTGCAGGCCTGCTGATGACAAAGTGAAGGGTTAGGGTTAATGAAGGCGCGCCCGCTCGTCCCAAGGACCGTGTTTGGAACCCCTGTCCGGCTTTCTGGCTGCAGGGATCCACCGTTTGCTGGTTTCGAGCATCAAGTCGCGTCTCTCCACCCACCGCAACAGCGAATCGTGGTCCTGGGGGGATTGAAGGTCCACAACAGTCCAGCCAGTCCAAAGAAGCGGCACTCAGACGACGTGATACCTCTCTCCCAAAGAACTCCTGACTAGGACTCCCAACGTTCAGGGGATGAGCACGCCGAACCAATAGCTCCCGCGGCCGCGCAACGTTTCGTCTCTCCTCCTTAGTTCTCCCGCCGCCCACTCTTTGTCGCTGCGACCTCCCCCTCCCTCTCTCCTCTGCGAGGCCCGCCCCCCCTTAAAACTCCAAAGCTAAACGATAACCAATGCGCAAGACTGTAGCTCATCCTTGAGCGAGCGCAGCTATGGCGACCAACACGAACCGCTATTCAGCGTACACCACCGCCTCGGTTGGGTCTGGTCCCGACGCTAAGAATGGGGACAAGGCCGAAAAGAAGGAGCTATGGAACACTATGCTCTCTTCCGTGGCGAGCGGAAGGCGGCTACCAGAGAAGAGCATCATTCTGCTAGGCGGCACCGTCGACTCGCAGCGGGAGTTCTTCGAATCCCTCTCTCACAACGATCTCCGCCGCAATCTCGACCGGAACACAGCTCGAGCCCCGCCTGTCGCAAACAGCTTCGCGCTTGGCTACACCTACTATGACGTTCTCGACGCCGACCAGGAGGATACACTCGCGCGCATTTCCCTCTACACCCTCACGAGCCCATCGCCCGCCTTTGCCTCGCTCCTCCAACCGCTGCTCACGCCTCAGTCGATATCGAATACCCTGATTGTGATCTTGCTGGACTGGTCCCAGCCGTGGAAGTGGATGCGGCAGCTCAGACAATGGATCTTACTCCTGAGGACAGTCCTGGTTTCGCTTAGCAACGAGTGCAAGGAAACCATGGAAGAAGTTATGCTGGCATGGCGGGACCGAGGGCGGGGTGGTGGCACGAACCTCGACGGGACCGCAGCTGTGGCAACAGGTGACGGCGTGACGGATCTCCCCTTGGGGCCAGGAGAGTGGGAGGATGCGTTGGGTTTGCCTTTGTCCGTCGTTTGCCAGAATGTGGGTCCAATACCTTCGTGTTTATGCTGCCATGTTGATTCTAACGGTATTCCTAGGCCGAGAAGATGGAGTATTTGGAAAAGACACAATCTTGGAAAGAGGAGGAGTTCGACATTGTCCTACAGTTCATGCGGACCGTGCTCTTGAGGCGTGAGTTTACAGTCCACCTTCACATGCTGGACAGTACCAGGCTAACTCGTAGCAGATGGCGCATCCTTAATCTACACCACCCCCTCCGTTCCGTCACAACTCCCGATTCTCATCCACTCCAGCTTGGGGATACACTCGCTCCTGAAGAAGCAACCACTCAAACACAATGTTATCGACAGGGACAAGGTCGTCATCCCGCCCAACTGGGATTCGTGGGGCAAAATCCGAGTGCTCAGGGACGGTTTTGACGTCGATTTGGTGAGCACCGGCTGGACGATCGATTTGGACCAGCCAGCACCGCTGCCCCATGCCAACGGTGTCGACAACGACGACGAAGAAGAAGACCAAGCAAACGGGATAGTCGAGCGGCCAGACGAACCAGATGGGTCCACTGTCGGCCTGTATGAAGAATCCGTCCAGGATCCCACGATGGATGCCCTCCAACTCGCGGGGCGCGATACCCAATCCACAGCACTCGAGGTCGAGACGATAGACACCCAGACCTTCCTAGGCCAGCAACTCAAAGTGCTGGATGCGTTCAAGCAAAAGAACGAAGAGACCACACGGGAAGACTCCCGGCACAAGCCTCTCAAGCAGGGCAAGGTGCCGGACGATGAGCATCTCGTCGATCCCGAAGGTGGCAAGCCGGACGCGAGGGTGTTGGAGCACATTGGCCCCGTGCAGTTCAACATGGGTGGTATCCAGGTCGATGCCGATGACATGGTGCAGCGGCTGAAGGTATGCACAAGTTCATTTTTCTCTTCTCTTCCACCACACCAACCTTTTTTTTCCACGCGCTGTTGCAGTGCAGTATGTTAATGCGCTTATCTCTCCAGGACCGCCAAGGGTTAGGTTCTTCTTCCCGCCCTGACAGCCCTGCGGCGGAGGACGGAGTCGAACCAACCAGCCACATGGATACAGAGAATCTACAGGCCTTCTTCCAAGGCCTGATGAACAACCGCAGAGGAGCCAAGTAAACACAATCTTCATTCAACCCCTACTTGGGTAGCGACAACTGTGCGAGTAGTCAGTCACACATGGGCCTCTAACGGACTTCCCCGTTGTCTCTATTCCCACACCATAACCCCATCTCTTCGAGTACACCCAGTTCTTTCCCCTTTGTCATTCTGGTGTGTGTGTGGTAGCTAGCTGCTTGTTTATTTTCTTGTACATAACCAAATTCCGGGACGTGGAAGGTGGACGGATGATGAAGGAGGTAGCGATTGTATTGTCGAGTTGTCATCCACAATGTCTTGGCCACACAAAAGGGGGCGGCAACCCAGAAAATTGTAGACTAGATACCCATACCCATACCCATACCCATACCCATACTCATAACCCATAGCCCACGTTTCGAGAGAGAGATAATGGAATAATGCACGCGTGTAGGTACATGTATATGTACGTGCAGTAAAAGTCAGGAGTCAATCTTCATCGCTGTGAACGCTTATTAATTACAACTAAACAAACTACATCTGTAAAGCAAACCGTCCTCCTTGCCCATGTACAATACACCATTACAATGCAACGTATATCCGCCCCAAAAGGGGCCGGTACTGTGTCCAGTCTACCGTAAAGCAACGGATGTTGACTCAATTCCCGTAGCGTTACGAATCCGCCCCCATCTTATCCAGCCGAGTCCGGGGTGTGTTAATACCAGAAGGTCATATCTCCAACGGCCGCCTCATCCAATCCCAATTCACTTCAATCCCCCTTTTCCCTTCTGCTCTCCGTTCTCACCCTCGCCCTCAATCTTCAACCCCTCCTTGAGCTTGTCTCCCAACCACTTGCCAAAATTCCGCTCGGCATCGGCCTCGTCATCAAGCCCAGGCACCTTCTCCTTTCCCTTTCCGCCCTTAAGTAGCACTAGCGCTCTCGTTTCTGCCCTTGGCGTGGTATACCATTTCCTCAGCGTATCCTCATCGCCTGTCGCAACCACCACCTTCGTCACGCCGAGCCGCGCCGTGACGATACCGGCCAGCATACTAACAAATAGCCAAGGGTACTGCAGAATCTCGGCCTCGAACGCGCTGATCGTGTGCTTAGCCTGGGAGTTGTATTTCTCCTCATCGAGCAGTGTGCCCAAACTGAAGAGATTGAGCGCCGAGACAGCGTTGGTCGATGGGAGCGACTTGTCCATGCCGCTCTTGAGACGGAGGATGGTAGGGCTGAGAGTCTCGAGCTCGGTGGAGTAGAAACCACCCGAGCGGGCTTGCCGCGAGGAAGGGTCGCTAGTATCCTTGCGGTTTGAAAAAATGGTAGGGAAGTCATAAAAGAGTCGTGTTTGGACGTCTAACACCGGTTAGCCACACTGCTTACAAACGCCTGCACGTCAAAGGGGAAATACCTTGCAACTCTTTGGCCCAGAACAACCACTCCCCTTCAAACGTAACCGCGTAAAGTTCGAGCAACCCTTCAATCAGGAAGGCGTAGTCATCCGCATAAGCGCGAACTTGGCTCGCCTTCTCGTAGTAAAATCGAGGCAGCGGGTTGGTCGTGCTACCCGTACTATCCCAGAGAGTTTTCTTGATAAAGTTGGCAGCGTCTCGGGCAGCCTGGATGTACTGGTCCCCCTTCTTCGGGTCCAGGTCTAAAATGGCACCCCCAACCCTCGCTAGTGCCCCGATCACAAGGCCGTTGGTGCCAACCACCACTTTCTCGTCCCTCGCTGGACGGGGCCGTTCGGCTTCTCTGTGCGCCCGCAGCTTCTCCCGGGCACGGTCAATGAGATTCTTAATCTCGGTTTCGGGCATCCCATGCACCCTCGACAGCACGGCAGTAGAGTCCTTGACGGACAGAATGTTCTGGTTGATAAACTCGTCAAAGGGGTCCTGGTCCCTAGACACGTTCCCGTCTTCCTGGACGTCCCAATATGCGGCTGCTACCGTTCCCGCATGGTCGTCCCCACCAACCACCTGGTCAAACTCACGCCGGGTCCAGGTGTAAAACGCGCCCTCCCGCATGTGTTGATCACCCTTGCGGTAGTACGAATCGGATGCTTCGCTAGAAATAAAACCGCCGTTTTCTAGCCGAATGGTGGGGCTGGTGAGGTAATCCGCCAGCTCCAGGGTGACGTCGGCGAACTCGTCGTAGATTGTTGGCGGTTTTTTGTGTAGTCGGGCGAAGCCCAACCACGCATCGAGGAAGACGCCCAAGAGGAGAGCATTGTCGGGCACGGTTTTCTCGAAATGCGGTAGGCTCCAGTTGCTGGTTACACTAAACCGCATGAACCCTGATCCCACATGGTCGTGCAGCGAGCCGTCCCGGATACTACGCAATGTCTGGGCTGCCATCCAGACCGCGTGAGATGCCTCATCTTCTCCAAGAAAGCCAATAACTTCTTCCGGAGATTGTCCCAGGCGCAAGAGGAAGGACAATCTCGCAGGATTTGGAAATTTGGGAGTGCCGAATCCATAATTCTTAGGGTCGAACATTTTCTTGATGCGTGCCAGTGCCTCATCCAACTGGTCAAGATCCAAGTCCCCAGCATCATCCACGACCTGAATTGGAGTTGAGCCCACAGTGGCCAAGCTACCAGATGAGACAGGATTGGACGATGGAGGGGTGTCAATGGGTTGCGCCGTCCCAAACGTGCCCTCTTGTGCAAAGTCTTGCAACTTGTGCAACATCTCGAACGCCTCTCGTCGACATCTTTCCTCTTGCTCTATCCAGAACTTGTGGATCTTCTTTGCAATCGCTAGGAAATCGTTGTATGACTCTTCACCGGCCCCGTCACCGGAGATCCCCTCCTTGTTCCGGCCCGACTGACCCAGGACAGCGGCTACATCAGTGCTGTGCTCGGTACCCGGACCCGGCCAGTAGGTGCCGCCAAAAATAGGGTACAGGTCCGGGGTGAGGAACAAGTTGAGCGGCCAACCCCCAGTCGCGTTGACAGCTTCGGAATAGTTTTGATAGATCGTATCTAAATCCGGACGTTCCTCGCGGTCGATGATAACCGGTATGAATGAAGTATTGAGTAACGACGCTATGGCGGAATGGGAGAAGCTGTCTTGTGTTGAAAGGCGACAAACTAGTTTTAGAGCACATCGCGGTCAGTTTAAAGATGGCCTACAAGTAGCAGCGCGGAAGTGGGGCAATAGTGTTATTTACGATGATCCGCCAGGAAACCAATGTGCATGAATATCGGCTTGTTCTCGGCAGTCGCCCGGGCGAGGGTGTCGGCATCAAGCGGTTGCCACGCGACAGGTGTAGATGCATGAAGGCGAACGTATGGGCTGTCGCTCTCGCCGGCGCGGTTTTTGAGTTTCGGTAGTGTCGAGGTGCCGGACCCCGCGGCCGGGGAGTTGTATTGCCCCTGAGGCTGCTCAAGCTGTGCCTTCATCATTGTAACGGTAAAGGGGTATGGATGGCGACAAAAGAAACCAAGAATGAGGGTTGGCCTTGCTGTGCCAATTCGTGATGGGGATCGTGATGTCGATGTTGATTGCGGGGTAATTTGGGACCGGGGGCGACGGGATAATAAATCAGTTTCGTCCCCCAGGACGTAATCGTCTAAAGCCAAGCAGTAACGCGAATAGCATGTGATATATCGTACAAGAATGGGGCGGCGAGTGTCGTTACCGGTTGGCTGGGTCGCAATGGTCGGAATGATGGTGGGGAGGGGCTGGAATGCTGAGAAAGTACATACAAAGCAGAAACTCAAATCGGTCACTGGGCGTTTCGATGCTTTCGCGGCTGCCCCTCTCCGTGGAGTGCCGATTGACAGGGATCTTACCCTGAAATATCGGGGATATACCCCCACCTAACATCGTTGTTTCCATTGTTATGTTTGGCAGCCATGCAGCCAGCTTCCAACTGCTCTCAGGAAAGCGAGGTGTAAACCGGGGTTAGGGTTCGCCACTGCTGCCCTTTAAGCCTCCTCTTCACCCGTCCAACCCGTCCAAAATCGGCCTGCTGCAGGCCGCATGTCCGCATGTCCGGGCGGAGATAAAGCTTGGCATATCGAGTTCGACGACATTCAGACAATCAGCGGAGGATCACAAACCGTCGTCTCATAGCACTTTTTAAGGATAATCTAGGATTGATCCTCCGCTTACGCAAACAGGATGGATGTATGTATGCAGTAAGAATTCAATGGTAACGGCTCTTTAAGCAATGTAGAACCCCCCCCTGACATGTGAGGATAATACGGAAGAATGTATCAAGTATGGCCGCAGCCTTCCGTCCGATCCCAACACAAAGAAATACCAAAACAATGATTATGCCATGATCGCCCAAACTTCCTTAGGTCAATTCAATTTCCAGAAACCCAAACCTAGAAACCAACCCAAACAAACTGACTGCCTGAAAAAAGCCCGTCCCACAAACGCCATAACAGTGCGGCAAAGAAATCAACTGGATCTGCCCGTAGAAGCCTTGTGGCCAAAGTACAGCCCAACGCTGATCCGGATCGCAGCAAAACAAGATCATAATGAGATAGAGGTGCGTGTCTTGTCGTGTCTCTTGATCATGAATTCCCAGGGGACAGGGGGGAGAGTTTTGGCTTTGCAGTCGCCGCAAAGGAGATCGGAGGCACTAGAAAGTGGTATCGTGGTTAGTTTTTTGATTTCGAAGCTAGGTGACTGATTTTTCTTGGGTGAGAAGGGGTGCTAAGGGGAAGGGGGGCGTTCGTACTATTCAAAGTAGGAGATCTCGGCTGGGCATCGCTTGTGGGTGACGGTGTAGGTCTCGCACCATTTTGAGGCGATGAAGCGGTAGTGCCCGCAGCTGTATTCCCGTTGGATGAAGTTGCACATGTTGATGGTTTGGGGAGGTCGTCGTCGGCAAGGTAGAGGGAGACTGTTGGGTTCAACAACTAGATAGTCTCGAGGTGGTATTGACGAAGAGAGAGCAAAGTGATGGGTGGGGAAGCTCGAGATGACGCGGAGACGCTTGAGTGGTGGGAAGAAGACCCGCTGGTCTTGTATTCGAGAGCAAGCTTCGGGGATGCTAGCGGAAGATTCTGTCTCATTGACTCAGGCAGTTGCACGAGGCTTGACGTCTTGAATCGATGGCCGAATTTGGCGACTTGCAGTAAAACAAAAGGCTGAGGGCGTGAGAGAAGGCTTGATGAGGAGCACCAAATCTGGCTAAAGGTCTCAGATCGGGGAATAAAAAATGCGACGGAGGAGATTCCCAGGACGGATTTGGAAGTGCCTGATTATTATGAGCTCGAGAACGTCAGGAGACACCCTGAGCCAGCGAGAGGGGCGATGGGGGGCTTGACTAGAGCTGTCTTCAGAACCAGGTTTTGTGAGCAGGGGAGCAAGCCCATGAGGTTGGTCGTTTGGATGAGCACCAGTCGAGCCAGTCGAGAGGCCTCGTGGGGAACAGTGCAGACCGTGCAGGTGACAGTGGGGGAGGACGTCTGGAGTTCGCAACCCAAACCAAACCCACTCTGCCGGCCGCTGGTGCCCCCCGGCCCCCTCACAGAACATACCCTTGCTTTTTGAAATGGGATGCAAGCGGTGCCAGTCTCCCGGGACCAAGGCCCCGGGAGCGGCACTCGATCCTGGAAGGGGGCCCAGCGTGCTGCGACGCAAAGTTGCCGTTAACGTTGCGTGGGAGCGGCCCCCGTCCTCTATCCCCCCCCAAAGCCCAGTCGTTCAAGAACCACGCCGCCACGGATCACGGCTCTCATGATTCGACCCCCGTCCCCTTCGCGTGGTGCCACCCTAGTCGCGTCACACATTTCCACTGACACACGCACAAAGCTGCTCGTTCGTCGGCCTATCTCCCTGCTACCGTCCGTGGTGCGGCCACGACAGCCACGCTAATTTGTCGAGTCAACTAGCGCCAGGTTTGATCCGCTGGTCTCGGGAAATTCGCCGGTGGAAATACCGTTCCGCCATGGTTCACCGTGGAGCGCAGGCAGGTCCAGCAAATGGACTGTCAAAACTCACATTCTTTGTCGTTGGGGCCTAAAGGGGGTAATAAAAGGTTTCCTTTTTGGCCGATGATTTTCGGCCAGAAGGCGCAACACGAAACAAAAAGAAAGGAAAGCAGGAGCAAACAGTTTCGAATGGTCCGCCCAAACCAGAGAGAGGCGGTTGCGATCCTTGCTTTCCCCTCATTTCAACCCCGGAATGGCAGGAACCACCCGCACCATGAGAACCCTCAGGGGCCCCTAGACCACCAACCACCCCCACGCGGCGCTGTGGCTTCCTCGTTCCGCCAATTGCATGCAGGATTGCGGGTAAGGCGAACAGGCGAAATGGATCGTCAAAATTCTCTGCGGCAATGCGGCAAGCGAGATCAACAACGCGAGATCACGCACTTATCCGAGCCGGAACCTCATGCTGCGCGGTTTGAATCGGCACCGGGCGGGTCTTTGTTCAAATGAGAGCAGCCCACGGAAAGAAGCAAATGGGGAGCGCGAAGAAGCGAAACATTTTCCAAAAGAGTCAACCAACAAAGACGACGTGTTTGCTTTGAGCGACGGACGTCCCACAAAGTCAGTCAGCCGGTATCTTTTGCTATGCGAGACATGTGGAGACAACTTGGGCCAACGGGCCAAACACAAACACAGACGACTTGACGACCCATGAACGACGATGTGGGGCCCTCGCGGCCTTTCGCTGAGCAACAGTTCCAGCCCGACAACAACAAGCAGCCCCTTGTGGTCTGCTGCTAGTCTGGATTCTCCGAGGCCAAAACCGGACTCGGATTCGAAGTTGGAGGGTTATGCGAGCTTGGATGAGACCGGATGAGCTTGGATGGGGAATGGGGAGTCAACGAAGTCACGCTTTTGCATCTCCGCGTACACTACACCTAACAAAAGTTTGTTCAACGTCGGAAGGCAACGCATCGAGCCCTTCCATTTGTTCGACCGCGCTCGTGTGCGTCATAGCATCCCCTCCCGCAGCAACCGACGCTCTCTGCTATCAAGTAACTCGGGTGCTAGACCCGAGACAAGGGTGCCACGGTAACACGGCTTGAATCAACGGTTGTCCTCTCTCAACCTCTCACATCACCATAAGTCCGAGGTTGGGAGCGGTCACCAACGCACCACAGCAAGCATCACATGCCCTGCGATTTGGTGCCTCATTGGGCCACTTGGTTCCGATCTCGCCTACTGACCTCATCCGAAGACGCACAACGGAGGTCTCTGGGTCGAACTCGTGGTTTCTCAACGTCGATCTCGTCCCGCTCGCCCATCCGAGTGTTACTGGAACACCTCAGAGACAGCATAACGAGTTCGTAATAATGTTGTGGCCCTGATCGATGGTGCTGTGAGGATTCAGCGGACAGCCAACCATATCCCACCGTGAACCTCTCAAACAACGGAGCTCGGTAACCGGAAACAACCTTAGACTTACAACCCTCCCGATTGAGCTGCCATGGTCATTGTCCGCCCGTTACCGGCTTTGGGCCACCCGTCGGGCTATTTTTGGCCGGGCTACCCCAACTCTGGTTGGTTTATCCGCCGGGAGAATGCAGCGAGTCAACCGTGCTGAGAGAGCCTGAGGACAAGGTGAGTCTTGTGTCGCCATGATGGTTCGGTTGTTCGGGTGTTTGGGTCTGCCATGTGTTACCTAGGGATGCTGACGACAGTACTGAAGCACCGGAATCACCCCCCCTGAGATACCCCACGGCGGGGTTCGGTCGTTATGAGGTCCGGATGAAGGTGATGGTACTACATACCGGTGCTTGGCTCCTAGTCTCCTTTATGGGACGACCGGCTGCTCACTTGCCGGTCAAATTGAAGGCGGCAAGCCGCTACGGGTATGGGAATTCCCTCGCCAGGCAAAATCCACCACTCGGCTACGGCCATGGATGCTTAGATGTCAGCCATGATTCCCATCTGCCGAAGTCACTGCGCATTCTGAAACCAAGATTGTGTAATCGGCTTGATTGACTTGTGATAGATACTTGAGACGAGGAAAAGAGAGAAACAGAAACTGTGGGAAAACATCAAAGAAAGAGAAGCGGACAGGTTTGTCAGCGGGTCACCAAGCGCTCTCTTCCCAAGGCGATCAAGAGTCCCGCGCACAGTTTGGCCCCAAGCTTCCACGCTGCCCAGACCATGCCCAACTTTTTCAGCCTCCGCTGGTGTCACCTCTCGCCACTAAACCAGCCGGATTGGCCGTTTAGCGGGAGACTGGGTGCGCTACCATCTAGTTGTTGCAAGAGCGCCACGCGATGTTGATCTGCTGGGTGAAAGCGACGGTAGCATCGTCGTCGGTGATGAGGCCCGAGGCAGACGAGTTGGTGCTGGTCAGGGCAATGCGGTTGTTGATGTTGAGGATACCGCTGGCGCCGCAGGGCGAGAAGATGTAGCTGGCCGTGGGGATCTGGTCGGCCTTGGTGTAGACCTGACCCTCCTCCCAGATGCCGCCGCCGGTGATGGAGGTCTGGGTGGTGGTGGTCGCCGACGCGTCCTGGCTGAAGTAGTAGGTGCTGTAGAAGTTCCCAGTGACACCGGGCTCGAGCTGGGCGTAGCCGTGGTAGGTGCTCTCCAGGACGGAGAACTGGAAGCCACCGGGGTACTGTGGGAAAAGGGGGTTATGTCAGCATGTCTTGCTCCTCGCCAGCCCGGTGCATTGCGGGATCTTCCTTGCTGCCTTACCTTGAGACCCAAGTGAAGCTGGCAGTTCTTGCTCTTCTCAGTGGGGCTGATGCCGGGTCCGATGTAGGTCTGGAACTTGTCGAAGCCGAAGGTGATGACCTGCACGGAGAGGGGTCAGTCAGTATCCGGATTATCCAATTCTCCCCAGGCCGGTCCGGGCACGCGCTCGACACCACAAGGTCTTACCGTCTTGTCAGGGGAGATGTTGGTGGAGACGGAACCCTGGGGGCAGCCGTTGCCGGAAAAGGTAGCCGAGTCGATCTGGATCTCGCTCGGGTCCGGAGAATCCGACCAGCCGTCAGATCCGGCGTTGATGATGGGGGTAGCAGCGACGAGCGCGGGGAGGAGGAAGGCGATGGAACGCATATTGGCTGATGGGTGTCCGGAACGGAACGGGTGTTTGGAGATCTGGAGATCCGAAGATGTGTGAAAGGGCTGGAGAAGAGGCTCTCGAAGGCTGTGAGGCTGCTGTGGGATGGGAAGGCTGGTGAGGAGAAAAAGAAGACTGTGATGTCAGTGGTGATGACCGGTCTTTATATCTCTTTTCTCACGAACCACCCTTTGGCGTGTTTGGCGGCTTTTCATGATCCCCTTCATCCCTTCACCCTTTCAACCCCTCACTCATCCCGTCGCTGCCACCATCACCCCGCCTGGTCCTCGCCTTAGCCTCATCCTTGGGACGGCACGCTCTCCGGCAGCGGAGGTATGTTGCGACCAGCGAGATTTCTTGGCGTTCTCTAGCCCGGTGTTGTTAATTTGCATCTTCAGATTGATGCATCCGTCCTCCGGGCTAGAGCATCCCGCCCAGACCTCCATCCTGTGCCCACGCCCCGGGATATCGCTAGGTGCCCTGCATCAAGGGCAGACACGCATCAAGGGCAGACACATGAGGGGGCCCCGGTAAACAATCGTGTTCGTTGCGCTCGGTGGTTGGCTAGATTGTTTGTTTCCAAAAGGGTCAAGGGCGTCCTCGCGCGTTCTCCAGGCCCTCATGGTTCGGTGGTTTTGCGGTTGGCCAAATTTGCGGATGAAGTGAGGATAAATGAAACAGATATTAAGACGGGACGTCCAGCTCTTATGGCCTCGCCGCGCAAGGTACCATCGACCCGGCTAAGTGGGCGCCGAGACCCAAGGTCAGCTCCTTTCGGCTGACACATTCCATTTACTTTCGAGAGGCTGATTCTTTTTATAGAACCCGTTTCCAATCGCCTGTGGACGTCTGTCGAATCGAGACTCGCGCTCTGCACGCTTCGGGACAGCCGGAAGCGTCGTTGTCGCTGTTGTTGCTGTTGCTGCTGCTGCTGTTCTTGGCTGGTGGGCGGTCGTTGGGATCTGGGACGTTACATTGCGTCTCGTTCCAGATCCAGCCGCCGCTGCGGGACACGGAGCAGAACACTGCGTGTCGTTTCGATTGCCAAGCAACCTTAGCCAAGAGAGTCTCAAAACAACGACAGAACTTGGGAACGGGGCGATCGATCCCTTTCCCTCGCAAATCCCCCTCCAAAACCCGGCAGCATGGACAGGAGTTCAAAGGCCCGCGCCGAAGGGAATTCTGTCGCCGATCTCGTCCTTGCTACCCGGACGACTCAGGTCCTCCAGAGCCGGCTCAGGCTCAATGGCACCATTTGGACACCGGGTCGCTTCCTCTCTAGCTCCTGTTGGGCTGTGCTATTTTTGTGAGTCGCCTCAGGGGTTGTTAATTAAGCTTAATTGGGCTCCCCACCAAGGCCACCGCGCATTCCCCAGATCACAACAATGGTCTGACCTGGCTGGTGGAATGGTAACATCTTGTTACAATTGAGGGGTTATCGGGAATCTGGCACTGTCACTCTGTCAGTCAGCTGATACAACTGCAGCGGGAGGGCCTTGGGGGTCCTGAACTAGGGTATATGGGTTTGTGGACTGGCCTGACGGGGCTTCCCTTGGATCCGGCATGGGATTGTTCTCTCTTACACTAGTGTAGATTCCCAGACGTCGCTCTCTCTCGTCCATAATAGGTTTCATGTTCGACGGACCCCCTCAAGCTTCAACCGTTAACCCGTGCCGTGGTTCCGACTCTCCGCATCCACTTGGGAATTATTGTGTCCGCCACTCGGGGCGAGGACCGAGTATCTTGTGTCATATTATTGGTTAGTTTCTTCGTGTTTGTCCCGTAGGACAGACAGAGGGAGCCTCGCCAGCAATTAGCCAAGTAGAGCGGTCTTTCGCCCCGGTTTGGGCGTCCCGCGCTGCAGTCTGGATCTGAGCCTCTCCGGCGATCTCCCTTCTTCTAGAACCCCACGGGCTGCTTATTACACAGTTATTCTTAGACTCTGGGTGTGGCAGGTCACCCGGTTAAGGACTCGCATTCGGAACAAATCTGAGCAACACATACATACATAGTAGTACGTACATATATTACCCCTAGCCCGTGGCTCACAACTGAAAGGTACAATGTAACATGGCGTAACCCGGAGAAAATGGTCTCATTGCAGACGCCAAAGACCACGGACGAATACATCCCGTCCCGGGTTCCTGGAAGGGGCTGAGTTTATATGACGAAGACTCCCTAAACGACCCATGGGAAGGTCCTTCACGAATGATGCCTAACTACGGATCCCTCATACAGCACCACTCGGGTCAGCACGGAATAGTTGCCCGAGGTTAGTCTCCCTGTCTAAAGAGGCATTTGGGACCGCCAGAAATCCGGGTTAGGCCGTCCACCTCTCTCGATATGCTTACGCAGTGGTCTTCCGATGCACAGGGCCGCTCCTACTGTAACCTCACTTAAACGCCATGGTGCTATGTACTATGTAAATAACCCGGCCGTGGACGTCCGGGACAAAAGATGCTCAAGGTCCTTTACGGATTTTTTTTTCCTATGGATATTCCGTTACGGATGTTCCCTTTTTATCACTGGCGCGCTTATTGGTACAGTCCATGGGTTGTTAATATACTGACTCCAGCCTCTTCATCAACGGGTGCGCCCGTATCCGTATGTTCGGATCGTGTGGACGGCAAGAATAGCAACATTGTATATGAGTATGCGAGGCAGTAGTGTGTTGACCGGGAAACAGAACCGGGTACGAGCGAGCCCAGCCGGGGGATCCGGGGGAAAGGGCGTGACGGAAACCCGGGGACAGGACTAGATGCCTTGCAGAGCGCACGTTTTATCGCAGATCTCACGATTTGGTGACTGTTCCTATCGTCGATGTTTCTTGATACCTATGACAGGGTATTAGATCCGTGTCTAGTTATTCCATAATGGATCGAAGTCACGAAGAGATCGTAATGCCGGCGTCAAGGCCCTGATATTTCGTCTTTGTTGTTTAGTCTGGAGCATCAACGACAGCTACAACGGAAGTGTGTCAACATACCCCCGAACTCCATATATCTAGTACCCATCTCCTTACTTCCTCCCCATAAACTTCCGCAATCCGGCCCGCGATCCCACCTCAACGGCCAATACAAGACAATGTCCCATTTCCCCGGTCAAACCTGTCAGTCAGATCGCATCTGGAGCCGGCAACCCGGGTCGATCCCGCCCCCAAACTCCCAACCCGCAGTCCTCGGAATAGAACAGCGGGCTATCCGGGCTAAACCTTACCCAGCGAGCTAGGGGCAAAGGGGTAGAGTCGTAGCCAGACATACTATCCGTATGTAAGCATCGTTCAGAGGCTGAAATTTGTCGGGCACGGAAGAATAGGACCCCCGAAACCAAAGGGGGGAGAGGGGACCGGCAACTTCGGAGCTCGGGAGCTCGAGGCCTTAAACGACTAATTAACCTTAAGGGTTACTTACCTCCATAAGCGGATGCATTGCCGGCTGTTGTTTTCATTTCTCCTTTTCTTTGTTCATCCTCCCAACCCCCCTATCTAGACTGGACTTGTCATGCCCCTTGCCCTGTCTTGTTTGCTTGGTTAGGGTGGGTCAGTGTTCACAATGGCGTGACGTTGCCATACAAAGTCCCAACTTGCAGAATAGCTAACATCATGAACATCAAGTCTTGTCTATTTCTTTTTTTCCTTCTTTTTGCCATGAGTTGAGTGTACAAAGTCGTCGAACAAGTCCCCGTACGATAAGCTGTTTCATTTCCCTTCTAGAACACTTCATTGCATCATTACCCAAAAAGGTGTCATCGCCTCCTCTTTCTTCTCCTTGTCGCCAAGTCATATCTTACTGCCCCTCCACCTGCTTCAGCAAGCCCTCCAGGTTAATGCTCTTGGGCCGCTCAATCGGCAGGCCGAGCGCGCGATCCCAGATCAGCTGCGCCAGCGGGCCCAGACCCCGCGACACACCAAAGGTGGCGGTGTAGTACAGCGTCTCGTGGAAGCCATAGTGGTGGAAGAGCACGCCCGAGCTGCTGTCGACGTTGGGGTACGGGTTCTTGGTCTTGCCGTGCTTCTTGAGCACATCGGGCGCGATGCGGCTGTTGGCCTCGACCAGGCGGAAGACAGGGTCGTTGGCAATCTCTGGGCGGGCGGCGGCGTAATCCATCAGCGCCTCGAAACGCGGGTCGGGCTTGCGGAGAACGGCGTGGCCGTAGCCGGGCACGACGCGGCCGGAGTTCAGGGTCGACCAGAGGTAGTCGTGCACGTCCTGGTCCTTGTAGGTGGAGGGGATAGCCTCCTTCATTTGGAGGATCCAGCGGAGGACTTCTTGAGCGGCGAGACTGTGAGGAGGGGTTGGTCAGTATGGTTGTGACTCGAAGAGCGGGAAGGGGTAACCCCTAAAATAGAGAAATCTTACCCGTGAAGCGGCCCGGCGAGGCCCTGGAGACCGGCGCTGTAGCTGAGGAATGGGTCGCTGAGGGCGCTGCCGACAAGGTGGGTGGCGTGGGCAGAGACGTTGCCTCCCTCGTGGTCACCGTGCAGAGCCAGGTACAGCCTCAGCAAGTCCTGGAAGTTCTCGTTTTCGGGCCCAGACTTGCCGAGCATGGCGGCAAAGTTGTAGGACCAGTCCTGCTCGAGGTCGATCTCAGCGGGCAGAGCGCCGCCCCCGCGGTACGAGTTCTGGTAGATCTTGGCGGCGATGGTGGGCAACTTGGCGAGCAGCGAGATGGAGTCGTCAAAGGTGGGTTCCCAGTAGTCCGCCTTGTTGAGCCCCTGCTCGTACGCCTTAGCAAACTTCGAGGTGTAGTTGAGTGCGGAGACGGCGATGGCGAACTGGGTCATCGGGTGGAGGTCGCGGGGAAAGTCGTCGAGGAGCTTGTTGACAAAAGCGGGCAACTGGCCCTGCTCGGCAAGCTCGCGCGAGAACTGGCGCACTTGGTTGACCGAGGGGACTTTGCCTGTAAGCAGAAGCCAGAACATGGCCTCGGGCAGCATCTCAGTGCCGGTCTTCCCCTTGGGCAGCTCCTTCTGGCAGTCTTTGATGGTGCGTCCGTGGAAACGGATGCCCTCGTTGGCGTCGAGCACGGAGCCTTCCCAGACCATTGCCTTGAGTCCACGCATGCCACCGATAGTGTTCTCTACCTTGACCTCACCGATGACCTTGGACCCGTGGGCCTTGACCTTCTTGAGAAGTTCCCGCTTGGCGGGGATGACCTCCTTGAGGGTCGTCTTGAGGTCCGGCTCGGCCGTGGCGTATGTACGGCGCAAGGCATGGCTGATGGGTGCGGCGATGATGGGCTGCTGAGGTCAGTGACCAAGCACCAAAAGCGAGGAAGCTTCCCTTCTTGGATCAGACGAAACAGGAGGACGGCGGGTTGACTTACACGCAAGGCCCCGTTCAGGGCGCGCCGCCCCGTCATCATGTTCAGTGCCATTGTACGGTGTTTACTTCTTGTTTATTACAAAAAATAACCTTGCGGGTTTTTTTCTTCGAGTCGAAGGAGGTCGAGATGGAAACCCAAAAACGTCTTTGGAAGATCGCGGTTCAGGGTGTACTATGTACCTCGGGCACCGTTGGTGCGGGGTGTTGCTGATCCCTGTCAGTGGCCCGAAAACGACTCGGGTCTCAGTTTGAAGTTCGGATACAACGTTCGGGGTCCTGGAGGAGATAGAACACGAATTTTAGGTCGATGGTCTTGATGAAAAATTAACTTAACCGCAGAAAAGGGCCGAAATTCGGACAGTTTGTGGCGTTTGCTTCCCCTTGAAGAAGGCGCGACTTACCCAAGCTTCGTTCAGCCGAGGAAAGCCGTCGGCATCCCCCGCGTGGCCTGTGATCCCCCGGACAAACGGTTCTGGGGCACGTCAACTAACCCATTGGCCAATGAGGCCATGCCTCGGCTTCCGGCCCTGCGAATGACTGCGGGCCTAGAGTTCCTCAGCTCCGAGCCGGGACTCGACCCGGGGGAGCAGCATAACGTTTCGAGTTTTCCATGCAGATGATTTTCACTTGGCTTCTCGATGAACACCTTGACGACAACGTCTCTCGTTGCCTTGGCCAATGAAAAGGTGCTGATTTAGAGTTTGCACGATCTGATGCAGGGTCCATGATGATCGGGAACCTCCTGAACAGCGAAAAGGGTCAAACCTCTACATCGTGCACTAGTGTAGACTGCTGAGAGAAGCAATGCATACATACATACATAACCCTTTAAGTTGACTCGCCCTCCAAATGCCTTCCCTTTGAACTTCGACAAACACGGTGGTTTTATTCGTACTTTGGTGTACGCCAGTGGGAAGTGAGCTTGGTGGTCACTTCCTTGTTTTGATGCCAAGACATCTGCAATCTCCTTGGCGGCGGATCCCGCGGTCCGTACACTAATGACGCAGTTCATCTGGTGCTGTGCCCCGCGACTGCCCCTCCACCCATCAGGCACTCCAAAACTGCTTATCGTGTGATGGGACGTTTCAACTCCCAGCCTCCTTTCTTCTTCCCCTCAATCACCTTGCTCGCGGCACAGCCAGCTCGCCTCGCCCTTGCTGCTTCACCTGGCTTGACCTCGAATTCAACAATATATCATTCTCTACCGCGCCCTGTTGTTCCATGATTCTGTTCAATTGAACCCCAAGTCTAACTGTGCAACACTGAAGATTTCCAGCGTCCCCTCCCCGCAGCCACAAACCAACTAGTGCAGTATTACCTAAATACCGTTCGACTCCAGATCTTCGACCGATAAACCTTCTAGATTCCTGTCTCATCATGGAGATCACTGCGGTGGACCTCCCCATCCTGCTGGAAACTGACACGTCGGTCAAACTAGCCGGTGTCGACGTCGACGGCCAACTACGCGGCAAGCTCGTTTCCAAGAAGAAGTTTCTGTCCATTGCCGAGAGTGGCTTCGGGTTCTGTTCCGTAATCTTCGGGTGGGACATGCACGATGCGACGTACTTTAGGGAGCTTAAGGTCAGCAACAAGGAGAATGGGTACAGGGATATCATTGCCGTGCCAGATCTCAACAGTTTCCGGCGTATTCCTTGGGAGGACAACATTCCGTTCTTCCTCGTTAGCTTCTTTGATCCAGACACAAGAGAACCAGTTTCGGCGTGCCCCCGCGGCTTGCTCAACACGCAACTGAAAAAGCTCGGTGCCCAAGGCTACGGTGCCATGGCGGGAGGTGAGTGAAGAACACGCCCCCCATAGCCACATCAAACAAACGACCAACCGTCTTGCTGCAGCCGAGTACGAGTTCTTTCAGTTCCGGACTCCATCCTCCAACGGTCCCCAGTCGGCCGCCGCATACCTCCAACAGAACCCTCCCCATTCGCTGCCGTCGTTGACCGAAGGCATGTTTGGCTACAGCCTGACACGTCCTGTCCACAACAAGGAATACTACTACGACATCTTTAAGGCCTGCCAGGCCTTCGAGTGTGACATTGAAGGCTGGCATACCGAAAGCGGGCCGGGGGTGTACGAAGCGGCGCTTGAGTTTGGCGAACTGAAGCAGATGGCTGACCGCGCGAGCTTGTTCAAGTACGTCGTTAAATCGGTGGCCGTGAAGCACGGCATCACGCCATGTTTCATGGCGAAGCCAAAACAGGGGCTTCCTGGGAACAGTGGACACATCCATGTCTCGCTGGTCGACGAAAACGGAAAGAACCTGCTACACCGCGGCGAGAAGGATCCAAACCCGCCTTACCCGGACGTGGCCGACCTATCCGATCTGGGTCGGCATTTCCTAGCAGGGATTCTGGAGGGACTGCCGGATGTCATGCCGATGGTGGCCCCCACTATCAATAGCTACAAGCGTTTGGTTGAGAACTTTTGGGCACCAGTGACCGTCTCATGGGGGCTGGAGCATCGTGCTGCATCAGTCCGCTTGATCGCTCCGCCCACATCTAAACCGGGAGCCACGCGGTTCGAGGTACGTGTTCCAGGCGCAGATGCGAACCCGTACTATGTCATGGCGGCCATCCTCGCACTCGGCTGGCGCGGGGTGGAGAAAAAGCTGGACTTCCCTTGCCCCCCGCTGGGTAAAGGGGAAGATGTGGGTGGGAGTTCAGATCAGGGGCTCCGGCTGGCGAAATCGCTGCGCGAGGCAAACGATAGGTTCACGCGCAAGGAAAGTATCGCGAGAGAAGTGTTTGGAGACGAGTTTGTGGACCATTATGGTGGGACTAGGGACCACGAGCTACGGCTCTGGGATGAAGCCGTAACGGATTGGTCAGTTATCATCCCTTCTCAGTCTTCGCCCCCTTCCTGTACTCCTGGACCCGTCATGTCAGGACTTTCGATGTTAACGATTCGCAGGGAAATGAAGAGATATATCGAGACAGTTTAGAGCGCTGAAGACGGTATGCTATGCGGACCAATGAGTTGTGGCGATTCCCAGCGGTTTTACGATACCCTGAATGAGAACACGGTAATCCAAAGCCTTGTACCCTTCCTTTATTCTTCGAGTTTCCCCTCGCCTCCCGGCGGTTTTCTAAGCTCGACCCCAGAGCTCCAATGGCGGGCTGTCCGATCACCATCGGCCAAGGGAGGGAACATTCTAGGATCGAGCCCGGCATAGCGTCCCGAAGGGGGCTAAGGCAGGCCCGGCACGAGCTTATACACGTGGCCGGGAAGGACTCGATTGAGAACCCCACCGAGAAATGACGGTCACAGCTACGAGCGGGGGTTGAGAAGGGGGGAATTGCCGGCGATAGATGAAACCGATTGCGGCTTGCCTATCTTGGGAGCTAGGGATCTTAGCCACCCGGCATATGGGAAGGGGGTAATGCAAGCGATTCAGTGTTTGCTCCTCGGCCTCTCATCTCAGCTCGATAGAAGTGCAGGACGGGCGTGGCTTCCGGTTGGAGTTCTTGCTGTCTTCGCTGTCGTTCCGTCGAATAGTGGACAGGAAAACCCATTTTCATTCGTACGGGATAGGTCTGAGAAATCGAAGGACAGAAATGGAGTTGCGGCCTCATCATGAGGCTCTTTGGTCTCCATCAATGGGCAGGCAGGTTATCGTGGCTGCTCGTTGGGGAAGATGGGGGTGGTGTGGCTTCAGAGTTATAGCGGCCCAGAGACCGCCACGTCACATTCCCCGCGGGCCGCGGGTGCAACCCCCCTGCAACGAGGTAGGTGGTTTCGACCATGGGCCGATTCTGAGATCTGACGAACGGCGTTCCCGTCGTGCTGCTGTTCGCCAGTCTTGGGCGAACGGTTGGCGTTATGCTATGCAGGCGCTGTGTTTCCGAACTTGTGGAAAAAACGGTGACGAAAAGGGGACCGGCGGGGCCCGTCAAAAAATAATAATGAGGGAAGGATTCCGGGTCGTTGACGGGATTTCAGCCCTGTGCGGATGGGTTTCTCCGCCTTGGGGACCAACTGTCTGAGCGGGACGACTAATCACGACTAGGTAGTACAGCGCTAACGTTAAGCGGTTGGCACCGTCCGAAAGAAGACGGTGTTCTGATCCAGCGATTTCCAGCAGTTCACCGGGAGCCACAGCAATACGTATGAGAGAGACGGCGATTCCGGTTCGCCCTTCGACAAAGGAATGGGAAGGTTTTGGAACGAAACATGGCGACCAAACCTATGTTAACGGATATTGCATTAATAGCAGGGCGTCGTTTGTTCTGGGTCTTGCTAACGTTAATTAGTTCCATACTATATTTTGCCCGTACACACAAACATATCACTCGGGAAAAAGAGAAGCAGACAGGCCACGAACATGGTTCCCGCCCTCCCTTACGACTGCTGTCTTGCTTTCCATCCCCTTAACAAACCGCTCCATTACCCCCGCCAGAATAGCATCTCATCCTCGATGGCTGTCCAATCTACCGGGACCCGGTAATAACGCCGCCCAATATCGTACCGATACCAACGAAGTTCCCTAGGTAGGTTGGCCCTTCCCATGGTTCGGGGACGTTAATGGTTCTGGGGATTGCTTCAGCAAGCGGAACGTGTAGAATGTATTCATCGTAAGTCCCCGGATGAAATGCTGTATAGTCTTCGGCCGAACGATTTGATTAATTAACAGGTGAAACTGGGTAAGGACTGTAAGGTAATAGGGGTACGAGACGTTTTGTTTTCCGTCTCCTACGTCTACGGATCTTAGTGGCATGTCAACGTTCTACAGCCCAGCCCAACGTTCTATTTCCATTTTCATTGTTTTTTCTGTTATTATGTTGGCCGTAGAAGGCCTGCGCCTCTCTGCAGCAGGCAAACCAAGATCCAACCCGATCGCTACACAAAGGCTGAGTGAGACCAGCTGCGAGCACATGCAAGGTGTGCTTGATACATGCGCATGGCTGCATGCTACCCACATGCATGCTACATACCTACATACACGATAACAGGCGCCACTAGGCCGCTTGTATGGGTCCCGATGAACGAGGAATGGTGAGATTCTTCGCAAGAACGGCATCAGAGAATTGGCACTAGCCTGAGTAGCCTCTAGGGGGATCAGCACGACACAACATGACACGAATCTCGTCCGGCCGGATGGGTCCCACGCGCCGGTGAGGGGACGGGATGCATTCACTACCACTCACGGGGTTGGGAACGGGCCAGTGAGGGCAGAGAAATAGGGGTGGATGGAAAACGGCATGTCTCAGGGGCCCGCCCGTCTGTCCGTCCGCCCGTATCTCAACCGGGGAACCTACTCCGTCGAAGTCGAGGCGAGTCGAGTCAAGTTAATTTGGGACATTGTCTACTTCCCGCCGGGGGCCTGGGTGTGTGTGTGTGTGTGTTTGGGGTAGGGTTGTTAGCGCGTCCGCCCGATTTTCTCCTGCATGGCTCAACGACCTGGGCCAGACGGCCGAGACATTCGCGGGTGTGCCACGTCTAGCTGAGACGGACCATCCCTGCGGCCTCATGGTGCTACAGGACAGTACAAGTCGTATTACCTTGCGAGGAGGGGACTGATGGTTCGGCCATATCGAGGACGGCCGGTAGATATTCTTCTGATCGGGTGGTATTTAGCTGGAGAATCCCGAGGTTTGGGTTCAGAGAATGGGATGCTGAGTTCGTTCGTGGACGCCAAGCCATTCAGCAGGAGATTTAAGAGACTAAGATCTCACGACTGAGGCCTCACCGCAAGTTTCTGTCGTCCACCAATCGCCGGATTAGCAACATGGTAAGCACTCTTTTTGGTGGTAGCTTCATGGAAATTGAAAATCAAACAGTTGCTAACATGTCATTGTTCGATCTAGGCCGGCGGGCTGTCCCTCGACGACCCCATATCCACCATCATAGCCCGTAATCTCAACCACCCCTTAATAGGTACCCCAACTCGGACATGAACCATGAACTCACCAACTCCCAGACGCCGTCCACAACCTCACATCCATCCACCAAGCCCGGCCCATCCTCCTCGCCTCGCCCGCCTTCCTCCCTGCTACCACCGCTAATAATAATGATAATGATGATCCCGAGGCCGAAGAACCCGTGCTGACAACCATCGCCACGGAAACCGACCGACTCCTCGCCACCCTCCAGCTAATCGACACCCTCCCGGCTCTGCACACGCCATCTGTCAAGGCTCATGCCCTGGCCATTGCTAGGTTGGCGGCGTCGCATTCGTCTGCTGTGATGGTTATGGCGGCTGATAGTCTTACCAATACCACGGCGACTACGGACCCCAGTAGCAATGAGGATAGTGGTGGAGGGAGAGGTGTAGGACCTGGTACTCAGTCCGGCGCCCAAGCCCACCTCGAAGTCCTCAGCCGACACCTACGAGACGCGCGGGAGGAGTTGGATTCACTGGTGCGCGGTGTGCCGGTGGGTGTTCGCGGGCGGGCGGAGGATGGGTTTTGGGTGTCGCGGAGGGAAGTGTGGGAGGTGCTGGGGAGGGTGAAGGATGTTGTTGGTGGGGAGGAGATGAGGGTGGTGGAGGTTTTGGGGGGCAGGTTGGGGGTTGAGGGGGAGGGAGGTGAGTTCTTTTCCATTTTCTTGAATACCCTCTGGCTCTTGGATGATGAGGGATTTGGTTCGTTGTGGGTTGCTGACTGGAATGACAGACGACTTGATAAAACTGGATGATGAAGAGGCCGCGAAACTGGGGTTGCCTCAGACGACGAGCGTTAAGGTTGAGCTGTGGCGGGCGGGTGTTAGTTAGGCCACCGGATTTCCTTTGTTGTGGGTTCGACTTGCTCAGTAAGGGGGCGGCGGTTTGATTCTGTTCCGGGACTCGATGGCCCGTTGATTATCTTCTTTAATTATTTCTTACTTTTCTTTTCGGGTTTGTGTTGAAACTAATTATACCACCGTCCTTACCGTAATATAATTAATCAATACCAAAAGACCACCCGGGCTTCATACTCGGCCGGTATCACCTAATACTCGTCCCCCCTGCCCGTCACACAACGGCCACAACTTTACTTTGTGCTTCCCATTCTGGCTAAGATGAATAATGACTGTGGTGCGTCACACAGTCACACACCCGTAACGTAAACGGAAATGCAAGTCCCCCCGTGCGGAGAGGTGAGACACTTCGGTATCGTGGTAAGACGTTGAGCGCATGTTGTCTCGTCGAGTTGGTTGTCTCGGGTCGATTCTGGGGCCGAGACGGTTGAATTGTCGTCGACTCGTTATGTAGGGTTCAGGGTGGGATGGACATCAAATTGTGAACTGGAAGGCCTGTGTATTTGGTCGGTATTATAAGCCATGTCTACGGTGCTAATTAATAATATCGGGGGTGACCGTTGAATAGAATACTGCTCGCCCGTAGTTGTGTTGTCTACCCGATTAATTACTGGATTTAGGAGTTCGGTTTGTTCCGAGCCCCTTGGGAACCAACACTTCAATACACAACCAACCGCGGCACCAATGGCTCGTGAATGTGTCATTGCACCGTGCTAATCTTTAATCAACAGCTAGGGGTTAGAACTCAATCACGTCATACCCAAGGATGTTTTCCCCTTCTTTCCAACATCGTCTTCTCTATAGGAATACTCTTTAAACTGCCACACGCGTTGATCATGGCCGACCGCGTTGCACAACCATCCGGGTGGTGCTCGCGCAGAACGAGTGGACGGTGCGCATCTGCATTCTGCTCATGCCGTGGTCGGACGGCATCAGAATGACGGACGAGCTGATGAAGGTCGCGGTTGACTGGTCAGAGATCCCGAAAGATGCAAAACCGTAAGTGTGTCCAGTGGTTTCCAGTCTCTGAGGGAGGTTTATGGGGCTTGGGGTTCTGTGCTATGTTTTGGAGGTGTGAATTTATGCGATTGCTTTCTCAATTGAAAGCTTCACAGTTCAAGGCATTTACTGTGTGAGCCCAAGTAAAAGACTGCTGAGCACCCTGCGCTGTGTGATTTAGCCGGAGCAGTCCAGCGTGGAGGAAAAAGGTACACCCTCAGGGCGATGGAAGGCGAAAGGAAAGACCAATTCAGCCCCGCCAATTGACAGAAACGACAGCTCTCCACAGCGCTCAGCGGATCATCTCTGATGGAACTGCCGAGCGCTGTCGGGGGCAAGCGGGGGTGGGTCAGGGGTTTGGAGAGCTCCTTCCGCAATTCCCGATGGGACGAGCCGACTCTCGGGCCAGGGCAACCGGGAAGCTTCCATGGGAACTTAGGAAGGGATCGCAATGGCGAACAGGGAGTTTCAGTGGCTGGTTCATCGCTTAATGGGCCAGTGAACGCTGGGCGCGCGGGTGTTTCACGCCGCGGGACGATTTGATAAAACCCGGGATTCTTTCCGTTGTTTGCTGATTCTTGGTTGAATCGAAAGATTGACGAACTCCCAAACTTGCGGACATCCAGCTGGAAATTGGAGTGGGTGAACGTCACTGTGGGCCCGAGCTTCCACTGCCTTGCGACCTCCACCACCGAGAGATCCCCTAATCAGCACCGTTGTCGACCCTGAAATGGCGCCCGGACAGGCCTACACGGGGGGTCCGCCTGGACATGTTCCCCTTGACAACGCCTTTTCCTTCGCTTTCAGCCAGCCTCTGCAGGCGGCTAACGACTACACGCCGCGCGAGCTAATGCTGCCGCGCATTGAAGATGAACGGCCGATTTTCATTGACAACAAGACGGGTACGTACAGGGAATGGAAACCGTTGAGATGAGAAGGTCGATCAGTTGGAGTGTGGAGATGATCGAGCTTGTCTCGAGCTCGGGTCACACCACAACACCGCCGTCAGGAGACACAAACACCGCTAACTGAAGATAATCCTTAGACCGCACGCTGAGGTTTGGCCAAATCGGCAAAGATGCCCGCGCCGTCGCGGCCGGCCTACTGCGCTTGGGGCTGGACCCCAACGACACTGTCAAGCTTCCCCCGACGGCATCGTGCCCCGCCGGCCCCGAGATCGCGCCTGTAGTGCTGATCCAGCTGCCGAACTGCCTGCCCTACGCACCCATCCTGTTTGGTGTTCTCGCGTCCGGGCTGACGGCAACCCTCGTGTCGCCCGCGCTGACGAGCGACGAGATCGCCTGGATTCTGCAAAATGCCCGCCCGCGCGCCATCATCACGGCGACCGCCTGCCTGCCCGCCATGCAGGGCGCCATCGCGAAGCAGGCCGACGCGGCCCGCACCTTCTTTTCGACTGTTCCGCTCTTCACCGTCGACGCGGCCGGCGACCCGTACCCGCAGCCGGCCTCGCCCACCCCGCTCCCGTCCGACTGGCGCGCCCTTCTCGCCCCAGAGCCCAAGCCCAAGCCTACCGTCAACCTGTCCCCCGGCTTCCCCGCATCCCGCGCGGCCTCCCGCACAGCCGTGATCCTCTGGTCCTCCGGCACATCCGGTCGCTCCAAGGGCGTGCTCCTCTCGCACCACGCGCTCAACTTCACCATCGCCTCGATGTGGCACGACGCCGACTTCTACCTCGCACGCCCGCAGCGCCAAGTCTGGCTCGGCTACGTGCCCTTCTACCACGTCTTCGGCCTCTGCAACGTGTTCCTCCTCGCCGTAGCCACCGGCACCGCCGTCTACACCATGCCCAGCTTCCACCTTGAGACCGTCCTCCAGGCCGTGCGTGACCGCGGCGTGACTTACTTCCACATGGCCCCGCCCGTCGCCGTCATGCTGGCCAAAGCCGCCGTCGTCGAGCCGTATGCCCGCAGCGGCGGGTTCAAGACGGTCACGGCGGGGGTCACGGGGGGCGCGCCGTTGGGGCATGAGGTCATTGAGGAGGTGTACAAGCGCTGCGGGTTCCGCGTCCGCATGGGGTATGGCCTGAGCGAGACTTGCGCTACGGCGCTGCAGGGCGGGTGTGGTGAGAAGGAAATGCGTGCACACGCGGGGGATACTGGCGTGCCGCATTGGGGGGTGGAACTGCTGATTGCTGCGAATAGCGGCGAAGGGGTGTACGCGACGAAACCGGGGGAGAAGACCAAAGCTGCGGCGTGGGATGAGGAAGGGGAAGTCTTGATCCGTGCTCCCGGACTGCTGCTCGCCTACCTCCCCATTGGCGTTTTCTCCTTTTCGTCTTCGTCTTCATCATCCTCCTCTTCAAAACAACAACAACAACAACAACAACAACAACAACTAGACATGTCAGTAACGCAAGAAGCCCTCACCGCCGACGGGTGGTTCCGCACCGGCGACGTCGGCGCACTGTCCCCCGCCGGCCGCCTGCGCATCACCGACCGCCTCAAGGAGCTCATCAAGGTGCGCGCGTACCAAGTCGCCCCCGCCGAGTTGGAGGCCGTGCTCTGCAGCAGCGAGGCTGTCGCCGATGCCGGGGTGATCGGTATTTATGACAAGTCGGAGGCGACAGAGTACCCGCGTGCGTTTGTCGTGCCGCGGGCTGCGGGGACGGTTACGGGAGGGGTTGCGAAGATGTCGCGGGCGGAGTTGGAAGGACTGGCGCAGCAGTTGAAGGTGTTGGTGGAGACGCGGACGGCGAAGTATAAGTGGTTGGTGGGCGGGATCGTGTTTGTGGATCAGATTCCGAAGAGTCCGAGTGGGAAGATCTTGCGGCGGCTGTTGAAGGATGGTGGGGAGGTGGCGAGGGGGGTTGAGTTTAAGGTGTATACCAAGAAGAGGCGGGATGCTAAGTTGTGATTGTTGGTTAGCGGGTACGTACTCACACGGTGGGTCGGGGGGTAGATTGATTCTTTTATATTGACTTGTTGGCGAACTAAACAAACAGTCTATGTGTTTCATGCTATATGTGCTTCATGCCGGTATCTATCCTTGGTGCTTATCTTGCAGACTTCCAGAACCATCTACTCATCATCATCACCATCCCCGTACCGGTACCCATTCCGATACCCATTACCATACCTCCCATTGTACCCATCCCCATTCCTATACCCATTGCCATCCCTATAGCCATACCCATCCCCATTCCTGTACCTATACCCATCCCGATACCCACCCCGATACCCATACCCATAATACCCCCCCGTAGCCGTCGCAGTACCACTAACAGTAACCGTCTGATCCCCATCCCAATCCGTCTCCGTCGCCATAGCAGTAACAATCGCCACAGTAAGCGTCGACGCCGTCGAGCTACTACTCGTACTAGTAGTAGTGGAGGTAGTAGTGTTATACAACACATTCGGCCGTTCAAAAACCACCCGCTCCGGCTCGTCCACGCGCATGATGGGGCCGGAACCGGTTTTGTCCAAGAACCAGCCGGGCTTTTTGAAGTCTTGGTCGTTTTGGCGGTATTGGGAGCCCGTGGTGTCGGTGAGGTAGGTGTGGGCGTTGTGGAGGAGGGATTTGACGCTCGAGGGGTGGCGGCGGGTGAGGGGGTTGGTGATGGTTGTGGTGGTGTTTGTGGTGGTGGTGTTTGAGGGGTTGTGGTCGTTGTTGTCGATGTCTGTTTCGTTGACATTGTCGTCATCTTCGGCAGGTTCATCCGCATCAGACACAGACTCTTCCACCTCAGACTCGTCCTCCTCAGTCTCGTCCTCCTCAGTCTCGTCCTCTTCGCCATCGTCGGGATCGTCATCCACAGGGGACTCCTCCTCGTCATGGTTATTTTCATTGTCGACATCATGATCAACGTTTTCAACCACGGCTGACTCCTCCTCGTGCTTCTCTCCGCCGTCATCCTCGCTGTCATTGGTGGTGGTATCGATGACGGTGGCATCAACCTCGGCCCCATCACGAGTATCGACATCCGTCTTGTCGGTGGAGTCATCATCCCCAGAAGACTCCTCATTCTCCTCGACATCGTCGTCGTTGTCATTGGTGTTGATGACGGTGGCGTCGTTGTGATGATCATCGCTAGTCTCAATCGCCGTCTCGTTGACATAGTCGTCGTATTCGACGTGCTCGTCCTCATCGTCATTTTCGTTGTCAGCGTTATCAACATCGTCATCGATGTCGATGATGGTAGTGGTGGTGTCATCGGAGGTGGTGTTGGTGTCGATAGCGGTTGTGTTGCTAACGACGGTGGTGTTGTTGTGGTCATTGCTGTCGACGTCGCCGTCGTCACCAGCGCCAACAGGCGTCTCGTCGAGGTCCTCATCATCCACGACAGCGTCGTCTCCGGCGAATTCATCCTCGTCCACTTCGTCGACATCGTCAGCCCCGTCATCGATATCAATGACGGTCTCGCTGACAAACTCGTCCTCATCTTCACCCTCGACGTAGTCATCAAGGTAATGGTGGTCCGTTTCCCCATTCTCATCCTCATCTTCACCGTCTTCGTTGATGTCTTCACCGTCCTCATCGACATCATCATCGACATCATCATCATCCTCCTCCTCACCATAATCTCCATCGTCATCACCATCATCAACCTCACGGATAATAACAGTAGTGACAACCGCCGGATGTGCCGAGGCACTGTTCGAGACCTCGGTGGAAACGGTGACATCTAGGACTCGGAGTAACGACCGGCTAGAAGACGGCGCGGTAGTGGTGGGTCTGTCTGTATCTGTGCCGTTGCTGTAGCCATTGTCAACCGGTACAGGCACGCCAGCCACGAAGCTAGCGAGGGCCCCGATGACGGCTAGGAAGGGGGTGGTGATTTTGGAGTGCATTTTAAAAGGGGTTGGTTTGAGGTGTTTGGTAATAGTGAGATGGAGTAGAGAGGATTTTAGGATGGGAGCGTGGGATCGGAAAGTCAAGCTAGAAAGAGGGGGATGAGGACTCTCTTATATATTGTCTGCCCTCGTGTAAGGTTCGCTTGGTGTTGGATTCAGTGAGTAACACGGTTGTTGCTGCGAGAGGTGCATAAGGTTCATGCATCTACTTGAACCTCGAGTTTCTCAATCTTTCCATTCCCATCCCCACTGAAGGCTCTAAAGTTTTGCTCGAGCATTGGGTTTATGATTTGTCCACACGTCCAGATCATTTCCTTCATTCTAGTAATTAAGTTACAGATGACACGGCAGCGTTGACGATTAACAACCATCTTCCATATTCATTGGCGTCTTCAACTAGGGATGCTAGGAATAGACATCATCATGCATATTAAAAAGGTCCACCGAGGAAATATCAAAAATAAAAACTCCAACTGAAGAAAGCTATCTTCATGAGGTTGGGAGCCCGTTTACTAAAAGAGGAAGCAAAAAAACAAAAACTTATTGAAGAACACGTAGAAAAAAAGATCCAAATGGCAAAAGCTCACCACCCAGCCCTACTGTTACACCCGGCCAGTAGAGGTAAATCTGATG